TAACAAAGCTGTAACAGAACTCTTCTTTTCTTCCACTCATGAGAAGTGTTGAATACTTCTTATAGCGAGAGTAAATAAACCTGACACTGACTAAAACTGCCAAAGTTCCTCCAATTGTTAGATCCATGTTTACAGTTTTGAATCTCACAAATGCTTAGGCATGACATCTCACAACTTTTGAAAAGACATCTAGTAGAGAGCAAAAGGGGGAAAAAACAAAGAAAATGTAATAAACAGAAAATGCAAGATTTTATGGAAATGGTATTAAATTTACTTTTAGTTAGGATTTCTTTTGTATGTATTTTCATTCATGCTTCACACTTGCAAAAAATTTTTTAAAAAAATGTCCTTTCCTGCTCATGAAATAAATTTCATATACAACTATAAAACATTGATTATCCTCTGTTTTGTTTTTATTGAATGTATTCAACAATGCTTTGTGTACTTTATTAAATGTTTAAAGTAAAAGCAAAAAATGCATTTCAAGGTGACAGTAGTTCACCATTTGAAACTAGTCTATTTTTAGATCATTATTGTATGGTATATGTATTTGTTTTACAGAGAGCAACACCTCATAGTCACCATACACCCAAATCCTCCCGCCATCACCACCTTTTTGCTCCAGACAAAAAGAAAATTCCAGTTCACTCATCATCATCCTCTTCTTCCAAAAACTTATCAAAATCATTTTCCAAGTCGTTATCCAGTAAAAAGAAACCAAAGAAGCGACGGAAACGTTACGGCAGCGATAGTGAGGATGACAGTGCTGATAGCGACTTTGTGTTATAACTAGTGTGTCAGTGTTGATAGCAAAATTGTAATTGTGTCATAACAGGTGTGTCTGTCGGTGCTGATTCTGTGTGTTATTGCTGACGTGTCGTTGGTGCTGACACAGTGTGGTAATACAGCGTGTTGGCATTGCAATCCACTTCTAAGGTCCTTTGTCACTGAGGCATCCCACAAGGGAAAACAACAAATCTTTTTGCTCCCAAGAGCCAAACTCTTAGGCTCATGCCAAACTCACATGACAGCATGATTGGTTGTGACATTTTCCTAGTGCAATATCAGCTTTTAATGAATTGTGACGTGAATTAAATTTCATCAAATGTACTTCCTTATAATCCTGATATTGAGGAAATGATCATCAGAAGCAAAACATCTCTCGGTATTCTTAGTTGGAGCAAATGCGTAGGGTTAAAAATGTGTACCAGCACCCCCTTTCCTAATGTAAGATGAACTTTCAGGCTTGTAAAGAGAAAAATGCTAATAGGAATATTTAATACTAAAAGTGGTTATGAACAAATTCTTTTGAAGATAATAATTATTTAAGTAATTGCTTTTTCTTCAGCAAGATACGTATGATAGTTAATGATAGAATGAGTTAATATTAGTACACGAATTAACCAATAAAATTCAATGGCATTTTGAATGGCAGATGAAACATAAGTTTCAATGTACGGTGCATGATTCTGTTTTAAACAAGGGAGGTTATACATGTGTAGATAAGCATAATAAAACTTGGAACTGTGTTTGAGCTGAGACCAAATCAAATATTATTGATGTCATCAAATAGAAACATCTTCTGATGAAATAACTTGTTCTGAATATTTATTATGGAATACTTGAATTTTTTTTAAGCATTACGGTTAACGTACGTTTTAGATTGAAACTTTTACTGAAATTGAGGAGCTGAGTTTCACTACTTGAGTGACTGTGTGGGAGATTTTACTATGAAGTTTTAAGCCAAGCACTGCTGTATTTTACCAGAACTTTTACTATGTCAGCTAATTTTACGTCTTTCTTCTCAGATATTTATTTTCTTTGTTCATCTGTTGATAGTCATCTGTTCCATGTCATCTTATTTTTCATAAAAACTACAAATTGAAAAAATATAAATTTTGCAGAATTAAATTTTTGAAAACTTGACATTTTCACTGTCTTTTTATTTTTGCATCAAGTATACATGTTCTGTTGACTATCCTTTTTGCAAATGACTGCATTGAGACCAAGCTGTCATTCATTAATCATTTTAAATTGATTTACGTTTGGAAGTCATTACTTATCAAGAGATTAGTATTTACAAGTGATTGGTACATTGTACTTGAAAGGTAGGCAGAAAATGTGCAACAAACCAAGGAAATGTAGAGTAAATTTAAAAAATATCAGATAAATATATGCAAATACAGTCAAACTTTGTATCTCAGACTTTGAACTGAGAAAAAAAAAATGAGATATCCAAGGATTCGAGATAACCAGTTTAAAATACATAAGGAGTAGTTGGGACTTTCAAGTGATTTGACTTAATGATATTTGAGACATCCATATTCAAAATGAGGAAGTCCAACTGAAAGCACAGAAAAACTCACTATACAAGGATACTCCATTTCTATGCCAATTTTATTCCTATTTGTTACAAAGGATCATTGAATGATGGGGTTCAAGTTTGTTTTAATCAATAAGGTCATGTCACTTTAAAGGGAGATAAATAAGGTGGGACATACTAGAAATTCTTTGAGAACCATGCTGCCAGATCAAAATGACAACTTTAAAAGCTTCCTTAATGAAAATTCGAGTTTATTTAAAACATGCCTGTGGACCACAAAAGTCATGATTGATGCCAAGTTTACAGGAGAGTTTCAAGACTCAAAAAAAAAACCCAAAACAAAACAAGGGGGGGGGGGGTTAAATGCCTACAGACTGTTCTTTGAAAATCAAATTAATTTTGCTGTTTGAAGCTAAGTCAATCCTCAGAATCTAAATGTTGAAAAACTGAGAAATTGTGATGATGCCTTTCAACAGAAAGAAGATGGGTGAACATGACCAGCAAAAAGCCTATAGTGTGACAAACATGAAGGTGAAAAATTGAATCTCAATTATATCAAAATTTTCCTTGATATTTCATCTAATATTAAAATATACTTTATGTAAAATCTCTACAACTGGCAAAAATCTCACGAAGATTGAAATTATTTGCTTATGAAATATTATACACACACTAAAGAGGGCAAAAAGAGTCATTTTCTCATACTTTAACACTATTTTTTGATATGAGTGGGTCTTCGCTCCATTTTTTTAACACTTAATCCTCAAAGTTTGAATAAAAATAAAAATTTTTGGTTACCAAAAATATGGAGCAAAGACCCACTATACCTTAAAAATATACTTTTATGACATAACATTCGTATCTTTTTGAGAAATACTTACCGGGTAAGTCCATTAAGTCAAGGGTCACGTCACAAACATGATTTAATGCCACTATTCATCAGGACTTGTGTAGTCTAGTGGTTAGCGTGCTAGTCTCGAAAGAAAATGACACTCGGGATTTTTATTGCTAGGGTTCGAACCCCATGACTACCACATTATTTTTTAATAAAAGAATAAATTTTGCCGAGAAAACTTTCCTCAGAAAAGTTTTGTTTATCATAATTTTATAAATTTCAATAATGAGAACTTTACTCTAAATATTAAATTCACAAATTATACATGATTTTTATATTTCTGAAGCTATAGGCTTTCTGCACGCTATGTTTGCCCATCTCCATTCTGTCAAAATTCAAAATCAGTGAGCAGTTTTTATTAGGATATGGAACCCAAACAATAAAGTAAGGAGTAATGACCCTAGCTTTGCTCTAAATTTCATTTTTTTAAATTATCAACATCTATATAGCATTAGTTTGAAGCAGTGTGTACTTTTCAGGTATGAATTTTGTGTTTAATCATGATGTGAAGAAAGTTTGACACGAAATAGAGGAAGAACTATCTGCCAGCAAAAACTTCGCCAAATGTTATTAATTAGCCCTGCAAAAGAGCAGGCTAATTGTGGATAAAAAATGAATCCATTTCCAAGTTGACAAATTGGTCAAATTTCCATAATTTAGATTTTGCATAATATTTTAGGTAATTTTCTATGGTGGCATATTTTTGCCCCCTACATGCAAGGTAAATTATACCGGTATTAACATGTGAGAAAAGTATGTCAACATACAAGATAATTATGTCTACATGCATAATAATTAGGTAAACATGCAAGTTACCAATCTTTTTAGAGAATCTAATTTTAATGTTCGTAAACTTACTAACAACGGTATACCAGTATACGACATCATACAAGCAAGACGAAACAGAATTATGTTGACATGCGACTTATTTAGGTTAACATGCAACATAATTATGTAGATATCCGACTTATTTGTGTTAACATGCAAATAATTTATGTCAACATGCAACTTATTTATGTCAACATGTGACTTATTTATGTCAACATGCGAGTTATATTTTAACATGCAAGATACATTTATGTCAACATGCAAGAGTTGCATGTCAACATCTCACATGTTGACATAATTAACTTGCATGTTAACATAATTATCTTGCATGTTGACATAAATAAGTCGCATGTCTACATAATTATTTTGCACGTTAACATAATTTATCTTGCATATATAGGGGGCAGAAATAATGCCACCATACTTTTCACTGCCCCAAGTTTATACGTATTAATTGAAGATTTTCACTTCCATGGTCCTTTGTGTATTCTATCACTTTAAACCGATACTCAGTTGATCGCAGTTTTTTTTTCTTTATAAATCTTGAATTATTGCACTTTCATTAGAAGAGAACCCCCCCCCCCCCAAACCGTTTAGGCGTTGTACGAGATGGAAACGATATACAACAAGTGAATATATATTTCCTAATCACAGTCCCTTGCAATCATAAATAATCTTTTCCGCTAAAGTTTAATCAATTATGAGTTGGTTTGATTTTTTTTTTTATTTGAATGCGAATGGTTGGATCTAACTCCGGGCCATCTGGTAACTAGCCATACCGGTATTTTCTCCATATTGGAAAAAAATACAGAACAACAAAAGATTTAGATATGTATCAAACTTTGAATTCATTTTTGTCATCAAAATGATATATATTTCAATAATATTTCACAATATGTCACAACTCCATCTATCCCATTTTTCTGTGCTTCTGTGTCCTCTCCGCTATTTAGTGCAACCTCTCATGTTATGGGTTGCCATGTGACGTTTTCCCGCTGAAGTACAGAGCAAAGGATGTAGAAGTGAAAATTTTCGGGGTTTTGTCAGCTGTTTAGGATAGAAAACTAATCATGGCCGAGAAAAAATTCAACGGGGCTCCATTTGGAACACAAACAGCAAGGTAGGTATGCTTCATCAATACACAAAGAACCGTTAAACCAACATAAACAACATTACGTGTACACGTACTTATGACCTAGATCAAGCCTAAAGTTTTTAATTAAATGCATTTCTTCATAATTCCGTGTGATAGTATATTGATAGATGAAGTGTGATAGAGACTTTATAACTGTAAACATCATTACAGGAATATTCTTATGCCCCTAGCTGTAGATGAATGTTAACTCATGATTTAGCCAGTGCAATATTATAAACATAAATATTATATTTGACCTTATATTGTATTGTCAACTTTTAGTTTTAAGACATTTTGTTTTGTATAATTTTAACAGATTTGATGTGTCAGGTGTACATCCAAAAAGTAAATATCCAGGAACCTTTACAGAGATCCCGTACGATAAAAAATCCATAGATGAATTGGTAAATATTAATATGATTATTTTGATTATGTCATTCAGCATTGAAAAGAAAATTATAGTACAGTGAAGTCGCCAATTACGGGACACGTCAGACTGTTGCGATGATATTTCACAAAGTTGTTCGATTTATATTTTATGCAACATATGTATTGAAAGTACAAATAGTGAGTCATCCAAGAGTCTTTTTATTTTTAAAACAGGTAAACAGGAACAATATTTACAGCCGTATTTGAACAAGGTCTAGTTTCCCCACTTACAAATCATTTTATCCATTTCCGGGTCATGTGACTTCATGGTCTTGTAATATGAAGGGATCGTTTCGGAACACGATTTTTATGATGTTGAGGCATAAAAGAATTCATGAAGCTTAGAAAAAACATAAACAATCACAGAAAATAACAGTTTAAATTATTAATAAAAAAACAATTGCAATATGTAGTAAAAAAAAAATTAATGATAAAAAAATGACTATATCATATCATATGTACGTAACGTTATCCATTAGAATTAATATGAAGAAAAAGTACTGAGAATATCGTTTAATGTCAGTGTCCTCTGGAATGTTCTGTATTTTTTTTTTCATTTCAGAGAGTTCAGAATTAGAAATCTTTAATTTTGTAAAATGCGTAATTTACAAGGATTTATAATTACTATCCCATCCATCAACTCATTTTGTGCGTCAGGCATGGCGAAAGGGTGTGTATGGGAGGGACTTGGAACCGGTTGTCCAGTGGTATCAGCTGTAATCTCTCACATGTTACAGAAAAATTACGAAAAAAGATTTTTCTGGACCTTAAATACAGCCTCGGATAACAATGAGGATTCAGAATAAAAAAAATATATTAAGATTAAAATTATACAATTAAAGTTAAAAAAAATGTATTTGCAAGGTAAACTCAATTTTATTTTTTAAGGCATTTTTTCCAGGAAGAATACTTTCAAAACTCAGGGTTAATACATGGTTGCCACAAGGTTTTGTACATCGAGTTTTGACATGTTCCATGCCATGAGATTACGTGAAGCGCAATTGGAGAAACTACTACAGTTTGATTTATTAATCAGTGTAATTTTATTTGAGCAGTAATCATTATGATTGATTTTTGAGTTATAACTGAATGGAATGCATGTGCCATACTTTCGAGCTACTATTGTTTATCTAGAACCTTTATATCAGCCACACTGCAGCGAACAAAAACGAAAGTAGGCAGTCAAAGAAGCACAAACATCCCTGTTTTCAGTGCGCGCATTTCATAATTTCGTTTGTCGGATGCTCTCTTAAAGTTGATTTTCAAAATTTTGCTATTGATTACAGACCGAAATACCAAGTCTTCATGACCAGTGTATTTATTAAGTTTTTTGCGCTTTAATTTTAATAATACGGCATAAAATACATACGAGTGACCCGGAATTGGCGACGACCCGGAATTGGCGACTCCACTGTATGCCTTTTTATCTATTACTACAATATACAATTCATTGTAAATTAAATCTCTCAACATTTGCTCTTTTAATTGATATTTACATAATTAATTGTCTCTTTACTTTTCAAAAACCAGTGAAATGATTCTTTATATAGGAAAGCCTTTCAAGTTGATGTTTCAACAACTTACTGAATGAGTGTTTATGCCCATGAATAATAATCATGTTTGTATTTGTGTGAACTTAACTTGGAATTAATTAAGTATTGATATTGGGGTAATTGTACATTAATATTCAAGTTAAAAAAAAGGGGCAAAATAAGAAACAGAAGAAATTGCTAAGAATGATTTGTTTTCAAAATACAATTGAAAAAAAAGTGTTTTTTGGAAATGTTGTTGGTATATGTGTTAGATATATCAAAGAACAGAATTGTTTTATGTGGCAATTGCTGGACTTTTCAATTTGACTATGAATTTCTTTAACAGAATCGACGACTAGCCCCAGGCACATATAAAGTGGATGTAGGTGGGTTTAACAAGAAGTCCGTAGATGAGCGGGCTGCTGGGCCCGGCTGGGCGCGGGCATATGAGGTGGAGAGAATGGCAGCTCTTCCCCATCTTCTGCACAAAGACCAGTGGGAGCTAAAGAAACTACTGGTATAGGGTTTATATCCCAATAAGTGTGTAAATCACAACCAGCTCTGCAAATAATAAATAATAGATAAACTGTAATAGAATACAAGATTAATTGGACAACTAGCATTTATACATATGAGTAGAAAGGAAGGCTACAAGTGTTATACTCTTGTTAAATACTAATATTGTCATGAATGTACCATTTTGTTTGAAAGCAGTCTTTTAATTTTTATGTATACAGCAAAGGAAATTAGCTCCTGGTTCATACGACATCAAAGATTTTCTCCAAGTGTCAGAGGAAAAACCAAGAAGTATTCGTGGAATTTGTCAAACTAGGGATCAGCGCTTCAAGGAAAATGTAGCTGCAGTAAGTCAGAGTTACATCAGGAAAACTTGAGATTTTAGACAAAGGACTATCTAATTTTTTTCTAGAAGTAAATTGAAGCAATAGTTTGTGTCAAATTCAGTCATGTCTTATAAACTCGGACTTGAAGTACACCAGAGGCCCTTGGTTCGGGTCCTAGATAAGAGCTTGTTTTTCACAACCTGTGATGTATGGCCCAACAGTCAATGTCTATACTTCCATGAGAATATCTCAGTATTTAAGGCTTTCAGTAGCTCAACTGCCAAAAACTCTGACAAATATGCCAGAGGGCATTTGCTTAAATCCAAGTTGGTCTAGACTTGGTTTACACGATTTGTAACTACAGTTTAATCATGGTTTTGTAAGTTTGGTAGCCTTATAAGTAATTTGGGTTTGATCACTGAGCTTCTCAGAGGATCACGTCAATCCTAATCTAGTAAAAGCTGATGCACAGTCGAGATATTATTTCTTTGTTGCAGAATGAGACCCCCGGCCCTGGGACGTATGGAAAGGGAGGAGTGCCACACGCAGCAGTAGAGGAGAAAGCGAAGAAATCCACCAGTACTGTCGGCATGCTGGACGCGGGATCCTCCACCCCCAGGAATCTACCAACAGTAGTCAGTACACACAACCCTTATCACTGGGGAATATAATTTAAACTATAGTTTACCAAAAAAAATTTTTTTAATCTGATGTTTTTAGTTTCAGTCTTAGGTTCCATAAACTGACTGTAAAACTCTTAATACACTTCAACTTCTGTGGAAAAATAGGGTCTTTTTTTCTATTTTATTTTACCCTGATGTAGGCATGATTTGGGTTAAAAAAATGTTTGGGATGATATAGCTTCGTAGAAAATATTTTACAAAGGTATGCTATCCAAAAAAAATTAAATAGTTACCTGGTACACTTGTGTGAATTAAGGATATAAGGCCAAAAATAAAATTAGCTTTGTTTGGCATTGCCGGCCAACTCACATAAATCGGTGCGGTCCGAAGAATTTTTTTCAACAGATACTGATCATAATTTTTATTTCGTTATATTCATCCAGATTTAGGTGTTTGTACGTTTGCGTAATATATACAGAATGGGAATGGGAAAGAATCATGTAAAAGCTTGATTGATCAAACAGTTTTCATTTATAAGCGTCTATGTGATGTTGAATAAATGTGCATCACGAATCCAAGCAAGGCTGTCAAAAGTGGTAAAATGTAAACTCGGTATAACAGTACTTGATGGCATGACTCTCTGTGGTAATGTGGTTTTAAAAGTAAACTGATGAATAACATATACCAGTTCGAAATAGAAATTTCACGGTACAATGTCCTGTCCGATTTGCTAGATGAATCTAGCTGCCATGGTTGGATTCGTGCACATGATAACGACTTTACACTAATTTAATGGTGGTGATTTTTAATACTATGTATATTAAAGGTTTAAAACTAATAGGGTTTGAAAATCAATGACAAAACTGGGAATCAATTCAGACTGTGGTTGTTGTTAAACTATCAGAAACCCATGACGTTCAGATACTAACAACATGTACCATTTCTGAAATTTAAATTAAAAAAAAAATATTTTCCCTACCTACCAACCCAAATGCAAAAAGACAATATTTTAATTGTGGCCTAATGGGCCTATGAAGATGCATCATGGTGAAATAAAATAAATGTTAATAAATCGCAGCATATTTTCACAGTTATAATAGTAGTGTGGTTACTTGCTTACAAGAATTTTTAATGAACTTTGAATTTTCTAAATTTATTACTCTGACCCACAATTTTTTATTTTTTGCATTACATGTCAGGCAGAATGTGTTAGAACCAGTAATTCTCTGCCATTTCAGGGCTCTGAGCTAGGACCAGGGACCTACAATTTTAAGAGTTTCACCCAGGAGACAGTTGAGAAGGTGACAAGTCTCCGGGGCCCATATGACCTGTTCTCTGGGGACAGAAATAAACCTATCTCTGACGGCTACCTGGCAGCTCCAGTAAGTCCACTGTTGTTGTGGTATTACCAGAATAATATACATTGTAAATGTAACTAGAGATGTGGATTTAGTTGTTGACTGGTAGTGTGAAAATTACAACACTTCAATATTTGATGCCATTTTGTGATAATGTAAGAATTTTTTGAACATTAAATCAATGCTTCATTTCTTTTTGTTTGACTACATTCTGTTTATAAGTGTTTACCTATATAGAAAAGCTGATTTTTATTTGTTCAGAAATTAAAAAAGAATTCCAATATGTATGAAATGACAAAGAAATTCCAGCCAGATTCATTCATCTAACGAAATGTTTATTTCAGAAATTAGCAGATCTTGGTCCAGGCCAGTATGAGCTGAAGTCTTTTGTGGATGATTGGCGGACAGAACATAGAATCCGGCAAGGAAAGTTTGGGAAGGTGGAACAGTATCCCAAGAAAGGAACGGAGCGAATCTTCTGTTCCACGTTACAGCAGTGTCCTAAAGAAGAGGTTAGTAGAGCTCTAGCTTATATAAGAGAAATATAGAGGAAACAATGTGTACTGTATAATTTGTCTAATCTGGGTTCTGAGTACTTCAGAAATTTGTTCAATTCAGCCTTAGATTTTAGTCTCATGCACTTCTTTAGCAAATGTAGTTAAAAAATGCGAAACTGTCTGTTCTGTAATCTGTACGGCCATTTTGGTCCCAACTGCTTATAGTTAACGTTAATTATTTCCACTAATTAGACCATACAATATTACCTGAGACATGTCATTGCAATATGTAACACCTGGCATGGTAGATGTGCTAGCATGAAATATATGCAAATAACAAACAGTATTCAAGCTCAAAAGTTCATTAAACAATACAAATCAGGAGCAGAGCAAACACGGACCAGGTGGGATCAGGTGCCATGGAGGAGTGAGCATTCCCTGCCGAACATGTATTTACATAAATTAAAATCTAAAGGCAACACATCCTATTTTAATAAACAAAAAGTGTAGTTAATACTTATAGTTAATTTTGTTTGTTTTTTTTTTGGTCACCCACATGGCGCAGTGTTTGGAGCATACACGCTAGAGTCGCGGAGTAAGGAGTTGATCCTTATGTCACAGGTTCGAATCTCACTGTGGGACGTGGAGACCGGGCCTTTGGATGAGACTGTATAAACCGAGGTCCCGTGTCACAGTAGATGCTGGCACGAAAAGATCCATCACTGCTCAATGGCCCTGAGTGCCGAGTATAGGTCAAAATTTGCAGCTCTCCACCAGCAAGTGGAGGTCTCCATATGAGTGAAAAATTCTCAAGAGGGATGTTAAACAATAAGCAAACTAGTTTTTTTTTTTTTTAAAAATATGCAAAACTTGATTTTAGCTCATAATATCACACAGTATTCATAAAATTATATACTGTTTACAAATCAAAATTGCGATCAACCTCAAACATCTAATTTCAAAATGGTGTCCTAACATTGGAGGGAAGACGTGAATGTTAAGATAATAAAATTCAATGTTATTTCAATGATAATCACATCGTAAATGATCATATTTACGTTGAATGTGCTATTTGACTTATTTAGTGTACAAAAAAACACACTTCACAGATTACATAGCCTCAAACTTTATGAACAAAGAAGAAAAATTGACAGTAGGTCATGTATATACAGTGATGCCTCATTAATCAGGAGCACCAATACAGACACTTCACCTTCCAGGTGAAATTTCTGGGAAACAATTTATTGTCTATTTAGATATATCAAGGATGTTTTAGTTATCCAGACGCTTCATTAATCCGGATGATTTGCTTCGGAACACAAGAGTCCAGATTAACAAGGCTTGACTCTACTCTTGATTAAGATGGAATAGTTAATAATTTTATGATATTTTTCCAATATATGCATCATACTTTTGAATAAAACAAAGAGAAATAGATTTCAAAAAATATTTTCTTGGATTTTTCGTGCACTCCGGATTCTGTCTAATATGGCCAATTTTCATGGAATTGTTGGTATCCAGTTGGACTAGTTATAATATATTACAGGGGTGCAACGATACACTAACCTCACGATACGATACGTATCACGGTATTCAGTTCACGATACGATACGTATCACGATACATGACAAGGTTAAAAAGTCTTTCAAGTTTGTCATCATATTTTTTTAAACTTGACAGGGTTATACAAAATGTTCATATTTTTTAATAATAATTAAAATAACATTTTGTTAACTTGAATTGGATTGTTAGGTTAGACAACATTCTAAACCAATGATGAACATTTACAGGGAACTACGGGGATCGACCTTTCCTAATAATCTTCCTCTTAAATTGGAACGAAAAGGAAGACATTCATTCTTTTATTCCTTTTATTTACGTAGAAAACCAGTTGTCATATTTCTTGTGTTAATACGTTTTAGTCAACAAGACAGCGAATTTTCATCGAAATACACACGTGATGGAATATCGTGTATTACCAAAGAATACGTTTATAGATCTAAAGGGTTTATCATTTGTCTTAACATCTATAACTTATAATCACATTAAGTCCTTCTCGGTGTTAAATCTGAGGTCTGTAAGATGATGGAGATGAGTTAAACTGCCATAAATGCGTTATCGGCGACCTCACGTTTTGCGCGGAAGCCATTTTGAAATAGTAAAGAAAGAAATAAAACGGATAATTCTGGACCGATTGAACCGAACCCCGATATCAGTTTAGCGTATCGTGAATTGAACCGTGGAAAAATATACCGCGATATACCGTCAAACGGTTTATCGTTGCACCCTTAATATATTACTTATGTACTTAACTTTACTAGGGAACACCTGGACCAGGTACCTATGAACCCAAACAACTGTCCAAACCTGAGACCAAAAACTCGCCAGGATTTCTATCAACAGCCCAGAGGAATGACCGGGTGTCACAGAGGTTCTTCACAAGGAACTTTGTAGGTTCTTTATATAAATGAATCGTGTATAGTCTTCTGTGTGTATTGCTCTATAATATGGCACGCCAAATTTACAAAAATGAGTAAAACCTAGTTTCACAATTGATAAACTAGGTTTATCGACTGTAAACTATAGTTTACAAATCGTAAACTATAGTTAACGATTCGTTAAGTATAGTTTTCATCTGTAAAACTATATTTAACGGTTGTTAACTATAGTTTACGAATGCTAATCTAAGTTTATCTGTCTGTAATAAGCGTTAAAGCGACAGTACGGCTGCAAGATGTGTGCTATTTCATCCAAATTTACCCAATATGTCATTAAGAAATAAGGTATAAAGTTGATGTAAGCAGTTTGAGAAACAGAAATATTCTCTACTCAAACAAAATTAACGTAATTAGAATCTGCCGGAAAATCAATCTTAGATCTGTTTATTTGTACCACGTGAATTCTAAAACGGCACGTGCCTACACTGTAGAGTTTACAGTTATAATGAATATTAGGTGAAAGCAATTTTCAAAAACACAAATTATCATTACTTTCTGATAAAATAATCTAAAATAATAATCGTAAAGATTTTAGTCTGCATTCAGGCGAATTTAACAGAATTGAAAGTACAAATGTTTACGTATTTTGTATTGGGGTCCGAGAAAGGAAAAACCAACTAATCATACGTTATCGCGGCAAACGTCAAACAAAATATTTTTCTGCACAGTTAAAAAAATTAGCATTTCAAATGGCAACAATGTTTATAAGTCAAAGATGTATTTTTAATGTTAAGTTTACACTATTTTTTTTTTCTTTGAAAGCGACGGAAAAATGAGAAATGATAACAAGTATCAACAAACCTGTCGAATAGAACCTTCGAGAGCCCTGCGTGAGTGTCGCCGAGTTCCCGTTTCTTCCTTATCCAGCGATTTTATTAATCCCCAAACTAAATTTTAGTCATGAAAGTTGCTTTTTCAAGTTCTATTTTCAGTTTCTTTTTCTTTTTGGTCGACTTGGTCAATGTAGCAGGCCTACCGGGATTCCCTCTCTAACCATGCTGTTTTGTTTATGAAAACTACGCATGCGTGCATAGCATGGAATGTGGAACCCCGAACACGTTGCGATGTATATATTTACGTCCCATAAATAACTATTAATTTTAATGAAATAATCCAAATTATTTAATTGTAAAAGTTGTAATTTTCTGAAAGTTTATACATTTATAAGTAGTAAAAAAGTTCCAAATCTTGTCGGAAAATTTTATCTAGTCAGTTTTTTGATGAGATGCGCCGTACTGTCACTTTAACAATAGATTTTGTTGATAAACATAGATTCACGTTTGTAAACTATAGTTTACAATCGTAAACTATAGTTTACAATCGTAAACTATAGTTAACGGTTGTTAATCATAGTTTCACAAATCGTGAACTATATTTATCAGATCGTTAACTATAGTTAACGGTTTGTAAACTATAGTTTACAAATCGTGAAACTGTATTTATCAGAAAATCTATGTTTTGCAATCGCAAATGATTGTTTTCGGTGTTAAGTATAGTTTACGGTTGTGAAACATAGATTATCGCGTTAACTATGGTTTACAGATGTGAAATATAGATTAACGTTGTTAATTATAGTTTACAATTCGTAAACTATAGTTTACAACCGATAAACCTAGTTTATCGATTGTGAAACTATGATTATCTCATTTTTGTGAATTTGGCGTGCCATACTATAACTATTTACAATACACGAGGAATCAGATGTGAGAGAACTTGCATGCACTAAGTATCAGAATCTCATGGCAAGACACATTCTTACGCTAATTTTTTTTACATATTTTCCTGGCTGCTTACAGAACCCTGTTGGTGCTGGTCGTTATGATGTCCAGAAGTGGGAGGAGTCTCAACATAAGAACGGTCATGGCAGTGTGTTCCAATCTAAGACCGGCAAACTTAATGCTGTCATGGAGAAATTCCTCAAGTAAGCCACATATTTTAATTTTTGCAATTATAATAATTATTCCAGATAATGTTATTCAGGCAGTTAAGTTAGTGTATAGAAGGGGGGGGGGTACATCTGTTAAACTTTGGGGTACCCATTTTATATCTGCAACTCCTCTTATACCATTGAATAAAATTTAATGAGACTTTCACTGAATCTTTGTTACATTGTGCCATTGTGCACCTCCATTTTATTTTCTAATCAGACATATATTTCAGTTTTTCCATAGCAAAACAGAGACACTGCCATTCTCTCTATAATATTGGGGGTACCTATCTCTTATCTGCAACTCTTCCTATACCACTGAATAAAATTTAATACTTTCACAGAATCTTTATTACATGGTGCCATTGTGACCTCCTATTTTACTTCTTGATCAGCCACATTGTCATATTTTGGGTTTCCCATAGCAAAACATGGACACTGCCATTCTGTTTTATAAAATCAGGGATACCAATCTCTTATCTACAACTCCTCCTATACCGCTGAATAAAATTTAATGAGACTTTCACAGAATCTTTATTACATAGTGCTGTTGTGCACCTCATACTTTATGTTTTGATCGGACAGATAATTGGGCTTTCACGTAGCAAAAAATGGACTTTGCCATTATACAATTTACATGTGTGTACTCATATGGGAGCGGGGATATCATTTTGTGAGCTCAGTGCTCACAGTACCTCTAGTTTTATTTTACATAAAAGATTCAACAACACCAAAGGTAAATTTCAATGAAATGTACAAGCATAAAATTGCACACTAATCAACTTTTACATACTATTAAATACATGTAAAAGAAAAATATGTTCACAGGACCTGGTCACAAGGCAATTCACAGTGGACTGTTTAAGATCATACATTTTAAGTTCACAATGAAGTGTTATATCCATTCTGTTTACTTACCTTTTCAGTAAATACAAAAGGTGATTACTAGTAGATAATTCTTAACAAAATTAATTTCTCAGTATTATGAAGCTTAGCTGCCTTCATATCATGTATTTACATAAATGTAAGTAGTGTTTTGTTTTTGTTTTTTTTTTAAACTCTGTTTTAACAATTCAGAAGTATATAGAAAACTGTAAATATTTTATCATTTTTATATGAAAATACTGCACCATTTTACAGGGAAAGAGTTCGTGCTAAGGATGTGAGGCTAGAGGATCGTGTCTTCTTGGTGACACCTGAACCCCCAGAAGTCTACGTCGGTCGTAGTAAGGCTCAGGTGGAGTTTGCGGCCAGGCGGGCCTTTACCGTGGTATAATACCTCTCCTCTTTCCAAGTGTTGCACGGGTGTGGTTGCACTGGATTATCACCCTTGATCAGAGTTCTTTGATTTACCTCCCCTTGTTATAATTTCTCTTCACTGTTTTTGTGCTGTGGTTTTATTGTGTGCTTTCCACTATGGCTGTACAGTATTTATGTTTGTTCACACTTTTTCCCAAGGTTTTTTTTTAAATATATTTTTCCATGTTTTTGGTTTATGTCTATTAAGTCCTGAGTATTTGTTGATGGCTTTTGCTTAGTTTTACTCTCTGATTTTAGCCAGTATTAAGTGCATCATTTTGCAGTATTGCTGCATTTACCACCAAGTTTTAGGACATCTAGAGGTAGAAAATAATTTCATATCGGAAATTTGCAGTATTTTTTTTTCTAAGAAAATTTTTATTCCATGATTATAGATCTAGTCTTTCATTGTAGAAAAATTGAATTTGCTACGAAAACATATTTTGTTGAGAGTAGTCTTTATGTTTTGACCAAAAAGTAATTTTAAATTCTTTTTATTATGAATTTGACAGATATTGTTTTGGGAAGGTTTTGATTGATTATCAAAGTTTTACCACCAAGTGATATTTTAAGAAATATTTATTGAGATTTGTCCAATATTTTGTTTACAAACTGAGCATTGTTTGTGATATGTTTATAGTTTTTTTTAATGTTTACTTCTTGAGAGGGCACAAATTATCCCCTTCAATGCACACTTATTCATAAAGCTGAAAATGTTCTATTTTGAAAACATGTTGTAGTAGAAAGAATGTATTATTTACCATACATCTTTTAGAGGGGGTATTTATAAATATTATTTCCTGAGGTGCACACTGAGAATTATCCGAGCTTTACCTGTGTTTCGTGTACACTATGAAGTATGTTCCATGTAGAAATACAACCCCCTCCGTTTTGTCACCCTAGTCTCTAACAAATGCTGCCAAATTATATTTTGCTTATCCTCATTAATTGTATGCATCTCTCCTTGCATAAAATGCAATGTGTTAAATAATTAGTGAATTTTGGCAGGATAATTAAAAGTATTACATGTAGTAAAAATGGTTTGAAGTTTGAAATCAGTATTATAGTTTAATAAGTATTATTCACATACTTCATATTAAGATTTAAGTATTTTGTATATTTACATTTAAGACATAATTTATTTATCACACAATTTATATTTTTTGCTTTTTGAGAAATATTTTTTTTTGCCAGGTTTATATATACTATTGTTCATTTTCAGTGACAAATAAAATTAATTTTAAACCTTTGATTTAATCAAGTCTGTTTTGCACAGAGTGTACACTTTATTGCTCTTTCAGTGCTGTGATTTTGTTCTCACTACTGCACAGTACTTCAGATTAACAATGCAATAAAATTAAAATCACCTCTTTCAATCACGTTAAACATTTACATCCTGGGCTCCACAGTGTGTTTGTTTGTGTGTGTGTACATATATTATGCAAAATCTCATGTTATCTTCTTACAATGTATAAGCATCCTCTGTCTTTGTATACATACGTGGTACGTCTGTTATATCATAAAAGTGATGCTGTATCATAAAAATATTGTCACCTTGGGTTCTCCTGGCTGCAATAAACCTTTGTCAAGATTTAAACCTGAAGCAACTTGTAAAAGGAAGAGTTCTCCTTGTCCGCCATATTAGTCTCCATTCACATCTTATCCTTGAGCCTCTATATAAGCCTCTGACTTCTTAATAGTTTGAAGTATTTTGCTGTACAAACGGTGTGTTCCCCGAACGTCTACTGGACTAAACCAACATCTAATTATCACACTCAATTGAGGGGTACAGTTAGGATCTACAATCATTTATGAACTAGCTTTACCTGTATTTATTGAAGGAGGAATTCTACAGCAACAATAATGTTTGACATCTCTTCTGAAACATGGTTTCAGCATGGAAATATTGATAAAAGATATTTATTGTTTTAACATGATTTTTTTTCGGGGAAATGTAAATTGTTAAAGAATCTAGTTGAAAATGCTAAAAATAATGTGTTTTATTTTCATAAATAATTTTTTAGCAAAAATTAAAAAAAAAAAACCTTATCTGATTTTTCTTGACATTTTCTATTAAATATTTATATTATCCATTTATTTAGGGCAAACTTTAAACTCTAAATGATCTTATTTGCAATTAAAACAATCTTTTCATTTTCTCCTAAAAAAGACCCCAAAATTCATAAAAATTAATTTATACTATTATTGATATTTCCATACTTAAGCCATATTTCAGAGGAGATGTCTTAAAGATCGGTTAAATAAAATTTCCATGAGCATGTAAGTAGCATTCTTTCTTAAACAGGAAAAATCTATCAATCATATGTCATTTTAAATAAATTTTGCATTAGATACTTTTGATTTAATTTAGTTTTAATCATCATTTCAAACCATTAATTTTATAACAATAAATAATTTCAAAATCTTTGTAAGTTTGTATCATAAAACTCAATCACAATATACATGTAACTTATTTTGGTAAAAAATCTATCAAGAAGAGTAAGATACGATTATATTTGAAAAAAAAAATCATTTTGAATTTTAACCCCCCCCCCCCCCCCCAACTTTAGATATTGCTTCCAAACAAAGAGGTAGCAATGGTTTAAACAGTGGGAGAAGAGGCAACCCCCAGAGAAATCTAACAAGTAAAATTTAAAAAAAAAAAACCTTGAAAATCCTATTTTGTGTGTTCGTGTGTGGGAAGGGGTGGACTTTCTCTGTTTGTAGCTTAAAATATTAAAATGTGGTGTAAATGATGCTTCAATTAAGTGCCAAGTGTTAGTTTAAAAAAAAGTTATGCTTAATTGAAAATAATTTATAATAAATTATTTATTACATGTACATGTACATGAAAAAATATTTAATTGTTTAGTGCCTTCAATTATAGCAAGTATTTAATCAATAAATCTATGCTTTAGTACACAGTTTTATCAGTAAATATTAAATTATTTGATTTTGACTACTTTGTTCAATCAAGGTAACACAGGTAAACTCTACCTGGACCCCTTAGAGGGCCTCTTAAGGTGGTATGGGATACCAAACGAAACTTCTCCTACATATTTATGTACCCAAATTAGAAGGATTTGAAATACCCCCACCTATCAGTATATTAAAGTGTAATTTTAATAATTTTTTTTTTATTATTTTAATGAGAAATACAAAAACGATTTTTTTTTCTTGCATAATTCTTTTTTCATAAGCTTAATATTATAGGCAGGCGTTTGCTAATATAAAGTGTTTATAAAAACATAAATGACAAGAAATATGTCTTAGTATTTTTTTAATTTTCAACAAAAAATAAGCGTAAAAACTGGGAAAACTTTATTTCTTGAAAACAGACGGATAACATTTCATGAAAGTCTACAATAAGAATGTATCTTAATATGTTAGCAAAGTGAAATAAACAAATTGAAAATATATATATAAATGGAAAATATAAAATGCATTTAAAATTTTTTGAATTAAAAGATGCGAGCGGAAGAGTTATCCTTCTTTATTTTCCAAGGGTTGAAAAAACCTGGGTGCTATTTTAGAAATGATGAGCATTTTTTCCCAACCATAAAAAAATCGCACTTTGTAGTTTTCAACTTTGAGCGGTTTTGAAAACAATGCATGGACAATCGCTTTCCAGGACGTGTCTTGTTCAGAGCAATTGCATTCATCTGTACGTTTTGGGACTATATACAACAGCTAGCTGATTTGTGACCAAACAGTTACTTCTTGAATTAAATAACAAAAAAGTCCAGCTCTGGTTAACGTGATAATTGATTGGTGATAATTCAGCACAATGTGAAGTAATCGCACTTATCCATGCCTCACCGCACACAAGGTGCTGTACAGTTACTCAAACAATTGAAATACAGCTTTTGCTTAAAAGTGTTCAAAAGCAGCAATGTTGAAACTACCTTTTACAGGGGTTTGCTTTTTTAAATGTCTGTTGTACAATTATAAGTAAATTTATATACTTGCGATTTTTTTGTCTGTTTTTACTTAAAATGCCGACTTGTGAGAACTTGCATTGAAATAGGCTTCAGAGTGTTCTTTTCAACGGTGTATCTACAAATTTTGACCCGATAATAAGCACTCATGCAAATCAAAACAATACTTCAAACGGAAATACGTCATAACGTGGAGGTATCCCATACTACCTTAATTGAGTGTGATAATTAAATACATGTAGTTGTTTTAGCCAGTAGACGTTCGGGGAATAAACCGTACAAACCACCTGTTAGGATGTGTCTTATATGGCCATCGTTACTGCCATGAGTTTCAGGTGTGCAGTCAGGTGTAATGAATGTGAAGGGTTTTATATACCCTAGTGCTGTTATAGGAGATAGGAAAACTAATATGGCATATGGATATTTATGAGAAGTGTTCTGCTTTAAGTGCAGGGGAAAGGTCTAAATTTGAAGCCCTTCATATGAGTGAAATGATCTAGCAAGGGACGTAAAAACTTAACAATCAATCTTGCCCAATATGTGTGTGGAAGGGTGACGTAGAGTTGTAGTACTGCTCTTCCTTCGTCCTAACCAAGAGCTAGTGGTCCTTACAGAAGTTATGTTAAACAGTGATTGTTTCAATTATAGACATAAAACATGCTTTATTTGAACAAATTATCGGATTTTTTAATGATAAATGTGGTTTAGGTGTTTATATTCTTGCAAGATTGCATTTTAAAGTAATGCGGGCCATTTGCTTGAGTAATTGCATAAACATATCAATTTTGAAATGAATGGAACATTCAATTATTTTCACCACTGAAGGAAGTGAAAAGGCATAAATTTGAGCTTTTAATGCTGCCTTAATGTATAAATTGGATGATCACAGAATCTCGTTTCTGGAGACGAAATGCCAAAAGACTCCAAAGTTTATCTCTTTTTGAAGTACCGAAAATTGGAGATTTTCCGCTTTTAATAACTGTTGATAATCAACTTTTGTCATTTTTCAGACTGGCAAATAATTCACAATTCAGTATTGGAGTGGGACAGTATTACCTGATGGAAATCTGTGATGGTTTGTTCTTTGACACTGCTTTGTTCAGTATTATTAGATATTATATGAATAAACATAAAGCTGCAAATGTTTGTATTTTCTCTGTATGTAGTTATACGTGTATTACAAAACCAGGTAATTTTGTCCATATATTTTTACAAGCCAAGCTTTAGGCTAACACAAGACTGCATGGAGAAATTTAACAAAACAACGTAATTTTTAAGGTTGTCATAGTCCAAGTGACTGTTGCTATCCGTTTTTGTCCATCAATCGTTGAGCGTCAGTTAACTTTTGAACATCAGCTTCTTAAATCTCATGAACCGTTGAACAATTTTCAACCAATTTTGGCAATTAGCATCATTATGTGAAGGGATACAAAACTTTAATAATTTCGTGGTCTCTGTCTGCCTAGGGCCTGAGGGGTGGGAATATAAACCTTCATTCCATCATATGGAATTTTTCTTGAACACGTATGAAAACTTAATAATCAAGATATTAAGAGTAAAAAATTTGACTTGTCTATTCTCAGTTTATGGTCTCGGGGACTGAAGTTCTCAAGAGGATTTTTCAACTCCATCCTACTTTTGCCTCTTTTTGATTATCTCCTGTGGAAGTGGGCTTAGCCCTTCATTTGAACAAATTAGAATCCCCTTTACCCATGGATGCTTTGTACCAACTTGGCTAAAATTGTTCTAGTGGTTCTTGAGAAGAAGTTGAAAATGTGAGAAGTTTACAGATGGACGGACGGATGAAGGGTGATTAGAAAAGCAGATGAATGCCAGACAACTGGTGATCAGAACTCACATGACCAAGCTAAAATAGCTGACAAGTTTTGATGATCTCCTGGGATCTTGGAATCAAGGCAATGATGAAATTTATAAGTAGGTCAATGCAATCTATTTTGACAGAAACCTTGGCCACAATATACATCAACTCTGTAGGTTTGGCAACCTACCTCAAAGTACTTTACATATTTCAAACTTCCAAGAAAATTCTGTACGAGGTCAATTTTGAAGTGACCATGAGAAAATAATCCTTGCTTTAGGATGATGCCTTGAGCTAATTCCAACCATCACATCCAACATTTGGAGAAGGAAATATTGCAAGTACTTTTTTCCCCAACTTTTTAACAACCATCTTTTAAAATATTTCTCAAGTTCGAGAATCACATCCCTATTTTTTTTTTTTATATATACAAAGAAAAGCCTTTCATCAAATACTTTGATAAATTTTAGCCAAGGGGTTTCCAAGATATGGCCAACATTCAATAGTTATACACAGTGCTCAAATGGCCAATGCAAATGGCTCTTAGAAGAGCTAATATACAAACTGTTTTTTTCCCACATATGCCTCTTTAGATCATTTAACTGCAATCTTGTCCCTGTCCTTATCAAAATTCACTTCATAGCACCTGCAGATTTCACAAATTCTAAAGCTGGCAGCTGTTTGCAAAGTAACAAAGAAATCACAATTTTTTTTAATGTTTTTTTTTTTTAATTAAAAAAATATAACAGAAAACTATAAAAAAAAAAAAATCATAATGAGAAACAAAACAGATGGAATATCACAGCGGTAGTGGACTAGAGCTATGGTGTGATGGTTGGCAATGATTGGCAATGATGCTACCCTGAGGATACCCTGAAATGCGGTGATCCATGAGATGAGATTCAAAGTTCACAACAACAATAAAATGTTCTCTGAAAGACATGGGTATTTATTGCACTAGGTCTGACATGAGACTAGAATTCACTTCCATACTTTCCATTCGTTATGCTCAGCGACAGACCGTGCTGCCAATAACTGTCCCACACCGAGCTCGACCACGCGACCCTGAATTACAGTCATTTTTGGGTTTGTCTCGGCACACCCGATACTGGGTCAAACCGCCACATATCATTTCTCCTTTGTTTCTCACAACACGATGTTCGCATCACATTCATCCTTCTACATCCCTCCTCAAGTGTTAAGCATTGGTTTAATAAATTTCTGAAGGATCCATGTAATTTTTCAATCCATCAATTTTATGTTGATCAACATTCTCTCTTGGTTTTGTTTAAAAAATTCCATTTGGATTGGTCCAAATCTACAGATTTTATGAGTAAATCAGTTCTAGGGCAAGACTTCTATTGATGTTTTATTTCTCTTCAAAGATTACTTCTTGAATTCATGCCCTATTTTTTCTTGAAGGTTCAACATCCAAAATTTGCTTTCGAAGGAAGAGATGTCTGTAATGCCCATCAAATAAGACGTATCAACATATGTACACAATAAAACACGCAAAGAGCACTACTTCAGTCCCTGTAGCACCTAGTGTTCACAGCCTTCCTGGCTTCAAACAAAAAACATTCTCTGTCCTACACAGGGAGGCATTCCTTTTAGTTACATGGAGGAAAAAAAGGGCCTAATCCCAGTTTTCTTCATCCTCTTCTTGGGCACCACCTGCTCCAACGGATACAGAACCACCAGCCCCCAGAGGGTAGCCACCCTCCCCCTTGTGGGTCTCTCTGGTCTGAAAACAAGTCAACACTAGTGAAGGACTTACAATTACACTGAACCTTTTCTTATACAATTCTTTTATTTTTGTGACAACCTGTTAGATATCAATTTTAATTTATTATCAATGTGTTTTAACTATTTATATTCACTTGTATCAATTTGCACATAAGAATTTAAAGCTGTGCTCTGCTGGTCATACAGGTATTTACAAAATACTTCAATAATCTGATTAACATACCCTTGGCTGATTTTTTCGAATGTCACGGCCTCCAAATTTGGCGCCCACATCAGCATAACCAGCCCCTGGCATACTGGTCTTGGAGTACTCCTCTAGCCAGTCTGGGACTTCTTGCATTGCCTACAAAGTACCAAAAATATACTCAACAACCAGCATTCATGAATCAAATATTTCATTAATAGTACAAGAAAGACAGTTTATCATACAAGTCCAAACTGCTTTTACATGTATAATACATGTATGTGCCACCCATTTAAAATAACAGTTGCACATTCTTAACACTAAATGCAAATCCTACTGCAACTGTTACCTTCACAACAAATTTATTGCAACACCTCTTTTACTTTCAGAAGTGCTACGTACATCACATGTATGATAAACCTGCAGCCAATATCCACTTCACATTTCCATCCCTAATTTGAAAACATGATCACGAATTCAATTCTGATTTGAAATTTTTCAATTCTACATCCCATCTACTTACATCTGACAAAATTCTGACCAATGGTTTGGCAAGAGCACCATCTGTATCATTAGAATAGAAACTCATGGCCTTGCCCAGGTTCCCACAGCGACCTGTTCTACCGATTCTGTGGACGTACTCATCAATGGATTGTGGGAGATCATAATTAATGACATGTTTAACGAGAGGGATATCCAGACCACGTGCTGCCACTGATGTAGCAATCAAAACGGGAGCTTTACCCGTCTTGAAGTCTCGCAGAGCTTCCTCTCTCTCTGCTTGAAGACGGTCCCTGTAAAATTCAGCAAAAAGATATACAGACTTCTGAACAAAAAAAAAAACATGAGGCAACAACATTGTAAAGTATACAAATGATTTTAAACCTCTTGTTTAAGAGTCTGAAACACATACCCATGAATACTAGTAGTAGGAAATCCATTTTGAGATAAATAGGATGCTAAGAAATCTGCGTTGCGTTTCTGTTCCACAAAAACCAGGGTTTTCTCTGTGCCTAATAAAAAAAATGAATTACAGCAGACATTTAACATAAAATTGTAAACAAGCTCTGCCACTGTAAGCATACATGCATTGTTAATCTTTTAATGAATTATTCTTACCTGTTTCTGTGAGTATGTCACAGAGTCTTGACCTCTTTTCCTGCCTGTCAACTTCAAAAACTGTCTGTGTTACATCAGTACAGGCCCCTCCCACTCTGCCAACGGTCAAGAAGAGGTAATCATTCAGGAAGTCTCCAGCCATCTCCTGAATTTCTTTAGGAAAGGTGGCAGAGAACATAAGGGTCTGTCTCTCTGTTTTAGGGGGAGTGCCCAACTCCTCAACAATCTTTCGAATGTCTGGACCGAAGCCCATGTCCAACATCCTGTCCGCTTCATCCAAAATCAAATACTTCAACTTTGCAAGACTGATCTGTTCCAAATAAACCTTGCATTTTAATTTAAGAAAAGTATGCACTCTGTCCAATAGTTGGAAAATGAGTTTAAAAAAATACACTTTCAAAAGATAAGTTAGATGTATCAATTTTTAATTCCAGCTTCAAAAACTGTGCTGATCAATAACAAAGCCTTTACTCAAGCTGACTAACCTTCCCCTTTCCAATAATGTCGATTAACCTCCCTGGCGTTCCTACAAGTATGTGTGTCCCCTGCTCGACCTGTCGGAGCTGATAACCCACGGAGGTCCCACCATATAACACCACTGGCCTCAACATGGTGCCGTACGCAAACTTACGGGCATCCATAAATATCTGTACTGCAAGCTCTCTTGTGGGGGCTACCACGAGAGCCTGGGGCTCTTGAACTTCAGAGAAGCTGCTTCCAGAGATTCCATTTTTCATCATTCCTGTCAAGACAGGCAGCAGGAAGGCAGCCTGGATGAAATGATGCATCAACATCAGTTCAATACAAAATTAGTTGTATCACAAAACTCTCCCTCAATTTTATAAATTTCTTGATTACTCCAAACGTATCATAAAATCAAACTTCTAAGAACCAATAACAACTTGATCACTTGAATCTGTAATCATTAAGATTTATCACTTTCCATACCGTTTTGCCAGATCCTGTCTGAGCACAGGCCATCAGATCTCTGCCAGCCATTACTATGGGAATAGAGTACTTTTGTACTGGGGTTGGTTTCTCATACTGAGCTTTGCGGACATTTTCCAGGAATTTCTCGTACAGTCCAGCCTCATCAAAGCTTTTGATGGCTGGAGGGGGATCTCTCCCTGTTACCTCTACAGGAATTTTATCATACTTGTTAAAATTGATTCCCTTCTGTATGACTTTAAAGATTTCAGCTTCGTCTTCAGATGGGGCAGGTGGTACATAAGGAGCAGGTCTGTCTGGATCTAAAATTGCAAACATAGACAAAAAAATCCTATTAACAGAGATACAAGATACCTCATTCTTAAATCTGAGGTGCCAAAGGTTGCATAAGCAATACAGAGTAATATGTAGAGATACATGTTTGATGCTTGATACTGTGTTGATTAAGGTATGAAGAATACAAAATACTAAGAATACTAATGATGAATACTAACCAACTGGTGGAGCATTGGGACAGTCTCTTGCCATGTGTCCTTCCTCCTGACATTTGAAGCACTTCCCCCCTCCACCTCCACCACCTATAAATTGTAAACCATAAAAATAGTCCATTCCAAGAACAGGGTGTAATATCTCTATCTCAACCAAGATTTAACTTCGAGATATCCTATGAATTGAGATGACCAGGGTAAAAAATCACTAAAGTGATTGAAACTGCCAACTTGATTCCATATATCCCTGGTATTCAAGATATTGGTGTTCAAGATAATCATAATGAAATTCAACTGTACCCGAAGGCAGAAAAATTTTTCAAAGAATAAATGCATTTTAACTATTATCAATAGAGCCCCACCCAACTTCAGAACACCTGAGCCAGGGGCTATGAATTTCACTGTTTTGGAAGAGGGCTCAATGCTTATTACAATCTTGCCAACAATTTAACTGCTTGATTTTTAGGAGTAAAGATGAAGATTTTTAAAGGTTACATTTTGATGGTTTTAGCCCCACCCTTCAGGCCCCATGGGGCCAGGGACCATGAAAATCACAATTTTTGTTCTCCTTTCCCATAGATGTCATATGCCAAAAATGGTTGAAATTGTTCAATGGTTCTCTCCCTTGGAAAGAGAATCAGTGCCCCCTCCTCCCTTCTTTAACTAAACTATAAAAGTGAAAGTTAATTACAGTGTTCCTTTTTTGATTACCCATAAACTGAGTTCTTATGAATCTGTAATGACCATTATATCTGTACAATAAATGACAGTAAATACAATTTTGATCAAAAAGGCACCTTCAGCTAGGTAATATGGTATCATTGGGTAAAAAAACCTGAGAAGTTAACACTAGGCTAGGCTAACTTATCACAATGCTCACCTGAACCTCTGGATCAGATTTCAACTAAAAGACACCTAAACATATTTTATTCAAAATCTGTCACTTCTTAAAAAATCATAATTAAAATAGAGTATTCAAAAAAACAAGAGGCCCAAGGGCCTTAGCGGTCACCTGAGTATGACACAATAATTTAAAGGATGCATAGAGTATAAAATGAACTGAAAGGTGAAACTTCGTTGCCCAAAAGAAAAAAAAATAGGGTGATCATGATCAACAAAATAATTGGTCTTAATACTCATTAACAGTTCATAAATTAGGTTCTAATCTGTTCCCCATTTATCACTATCACCATACAGTATATTAACAAATTATCAATGCTTCTGTACTACTTTAATCCCTTGTTGAAATCTCTTACATTGGTCTCTCTTGGTCTTTGATGAACATATAATAAGACAAGTTATTTTTGTCTTATTTTTATTTATCTACTACTTACAAGTCTATCTGATCATTAAAACAATGAAAGTACTTTTTGTATTATACAATAAAAGTTTTTGCATAATTCTCTTATTCTATTTACCTTTCAAGTACATTATTTACAGGGATAAATTATCAAAAGTAAATGGCAAAGGGGAATAACTCCTATCAGTAGAATACAAACTAATAGAGCCCTGGCCAGGACCAGAACACTTGACCAAATGGTCCAGATGTTCAAAAATCTGGTAAAAATTCCCTTCCTTACAAAAATTTTTACTCTATTTGCCTCAGATATGCCCAGGTGCGGAGAAGATTTTTAAAGAAATAATGCATTTTTACTACAGATTCACTATATTATCAATAGAGCCCCCCCCTAAAACACCAGAGCTTCTGACCCTGGAACCACAAGTTTGCTCATCAAAACTAATCACTTTATTTATCTGCTTAACACTAAGGAGCAAACAGGATTATTTAATAGAATTAATGCATTTTCACTATATTATCAAGAGCCCCACCCTCACACCAGTACATCTGACCCAGGGGTCATGAAATTAACTACTCTGAAAGAAGCATTCTTGCTCATCATAACTATACACTTAGCTTCTTTGCTTTTTTAACCAGAAGCAGAAAAGAATATTTTCAAAGGAATTTTGCTTTTTCACTTTATAATCAATAGAAGCCCCCCCCCCCCAGAATCCTTAAACCTGGGGTCATAAAATTCACAATTTTGGAAGAGGCATCCTTGCGTATCATAACAATGTACTTAGTCTGTTTAAACAATACCCAGGGGCAGAGAAGAAGATTTTCAAAGAAATAATTCACCTTCACTATCCCCGGGGCCATGAATTTCATAATTTTGGAAGAGGCATCCTTGTTTATCATAACAATGTACTTAGTTTGTTTATATAATACCCAGGTGCAGAGAAAAAGATTTTTAAAGAATTAAAACATTTTCACTTTATAATCAATAGAGCCCCGCCCTAACACCAGAACCCCTGATCCAGGGGCCACGAATTTCACAATTTTGGAAGAGGCATCCTTGATTATCATAACTATGTATTTAATGCGTTTCAATAATACCCAGGAGTAGAGAAGAAGATTTTTGAAGAATTAATGCATTTTCACTATATAATCAATAGAGCCCCACCCTAACACCAGAACCCATGACCCAGGGGCCATGAATTTCACAATTTTGGAAGAGGCACTCTTGCTCATCATAACTATGTACTTAGTTAGTTTATCTAATACCCAGTAGCAGAGAAAAAGATTTTCAATGAATTAATGCATTTTCACTATAAAATCAATAGAGCCCCGCCCTAACACCAGAACCCCTGCCCCTGGGTCCATGAAATTCACAATTTTGGAAGAGGCACTCTTGCTTATCATAACTATGTATTTAGTTACTGAATTTAGTACCCAGGAGCAGAGAAGAAGATTTCCAAAGAATTAATGCATTTTCACTATATAATCAATAGAGCCCCACCCTAACACCAGAACCCATGACCCAGGGGCCATGAAATTCACAATTTTGGAAGAGGCACTCTTGTTCATCATAACTATGTACTTAGTTACTGAATTTAATACCCAGGAGCAGAGAAGAAGATTTTCAATGAATTAATGCATTTTCACTATATAATCATTAGAGCCCCACCCTAACACCAGAACCCCTGCCCCTGGGGCCATGAATTTTCCAATTTTGGAAGAGGCACTCTTACTCATCATAACTATATACTTAGTTTATTTAATACCCAGGAGAAGAGAAGAAGATTTTCAAAGAATTGATGCATTTTCACTATATAATCAATAGAGCCCCACCCTAACACCAGAATCCCACACCCTGGGGCCATGATTTTCACAATTTCCGAAGAGGCACTCTTACTCATCATAACTATATACTTAGTTAGTTCATTTAATACCCAGGAGCAGAGAAGAAGATTTTCAAAGAAATAATGCACTTTCACTATATGATCTATATAGCCCCGCCCTAGCACCAGAACCCCTGACCCTGGGGCCATGAATTTCACATTTTTGTAGAGGACTCAATGCTTATTACAATGATGCCAACAGTTTGACTGCTTGATGTCCAGGAGTAAAGAAAAAGATTTTTATAGATTGCATTAATTTTGGTGGTTTTAGCCCCACCCCTCAGGCCCCAGGGGGGCAGGGACCATGAAATTCACAATTTTTGTTCCCCTTCACCCATAGATGCTATATGCCAAATTTGGTTGAAATTTGTTGAGCGGTTTCAGAGAAAATGTTAACGCACATCGCACGACGACGGACAAAAACGGATAGCAATAGGTCACCTGAGTGACTCAGGTGACCTAATGATTATTTTGAAGTGTTAACTTGTGTGATTAAACACCATTACCTCCACTTTTAGGATTTGGACACTCTCTGGCAAAGTGGCCCTCTTCACCACAGTTTCTGCACCCCTTGTCACCACCTCCACCACCACTGCGGGGCTTCGGACAATCCCTCGCAAAGTGCCCTTCCTCACCACAGTTCCGACAGCCTTAAATATGAACATACCAAATCTATATAAACACAACTCCAAAGCACACAGTGTACAAGAGGCCCATGGGCCACAATGCTCATCGAGTCAATATGGTCCTGCTGTTCTTCATCAGATTTTTTTTATTATATATTCCTATGTAAAACTTTGATCCTCCATTGCAGCCCCGACGTACCCCCAGGGGTCATAATTTAAACTTGAATGTACCCTACATGAGGATGCTTCCATATCAATATGACTTAACAGGCTTTGCTGTTCTTGAGAAGACGATTTATAAAGATTATTCCTATAAAAAACTTTGATCTCTCATTGTGGCCTCAATCAAATCCCAGGGGTAAACTTGAATCTACACTTTGTAATAAAGGTTTCATGCAAGTTTCAACTTTTTTGGCCCAGTGGTCAGGGATAGACATTAAGTTTCAGATCCACTTGTCTTTCGGGCAAGTGATCTTAGACTTTGACTTGTCCGCATGCTAAACTTGGTTGCCCAAAATTAGGAAAGAAATTAAGAAGAAAATTATTAATTTCTGTAGACGTTATGATAAGAAAAAATGTGACCAAATACACTACTGTCAATTTGGCAAGTTGAGCTACCTGAAAAAAAATTTCGATGCTGTATTTGTACATAAATGTATACCGCTGTACTTGTAAAATTTAACCTGTTAACACATACTGCCATGCAGCATTAACCCTCCATTTCCTTTTGATAAAATTCATATTTTTAAAAAATTATTTTCGGTAGGATCCTTTTGTGATTCGTGATTTTCAGAGATAACTGTGAAGCAACACTTAAGGAAGATAGTTGCTACGAAACATACATCTTATCTTGATCAGGATACGTTGTGTTATACTGTACTTATATATTCTGTGCGTAAATAAATAATCTAATTTCCTAATAAGAAGTTAATAAAATTTTGTTAGACATAGAGCATATTTATTACGAAAGAAAATAACAAACCTGATTTTTAAATGAACAGTATAATCCAGAAACGCTTCCAGGGAATTTCGAATGCAAAAACATTGTCAGTCAGGTGCATGACGGAAATCAAGTGTTCAATTTATTGTTTTATTTATTAAATAATGTAAACTAAATCAATATGTACATTAAAATGTATCAGAACAATTCACTTGCCCGATCGGACAAGTACGTCGACAATTTCACTGGCCCGAACTGAGAATATACTTGTCCCGGGCAATCGGACAACCTTTAATGTCGATCCCTGGTGGTTCTTGAGAAGAAGATGCCATCAAATTGTCACAAATTCTTAATTATCTCCCCTTGAAACAAGAGGCCCATGGGCCACATCGCTCACCTGAGTATCTTTGGCCATGCTGTTCTTTACCAGATTTCCCCCTTTTAATATACCTATTGTGGCCCCGCCCTACCACCGGGGGTCAAAATTTGAACAATTTAGAATCTACACTACCTCAGGATGCTTCCAAATATGTCTCAGCTTTATTGGTCCAGTGGTTCTTGAAAAGAAGATTTTTAAAGATTTTTCTTTAAGTTATATATTTCAATGTAAAACTTGGATTCCCTATTGTGTCCCGCCCTACCTTCGGGGGTCAAGATTTGAACATTTTATAATCTACACTACCCCAGGATGCTTCCATATAAGTTTCAGCTTTTCTAGCCCAGTGGTTCTTGAGAAGAAGATTTTTAAAGATTTTTCTCATGTATTTCAATGTAAAACTTGGACTCCCTATTATGGCCCCGCCCTACCCCCGGGGGTCATGATTTGAACAATTTAGAATCTACACTACCCCAGGATGCTTCCATATAAGTTTCAGCTTTTCTGGCCCAGAGGTTCTTCAGAAGAAGATTTGTAAAGATTTTTCCTATATATTTCAATGTAAAACTTGGATTCCCTACTGTGGCCCTGCCCTACCCCCGGGGGTCATGATTTGAACAGTTTAGATTCTACACTACCCCAGGATGCTTCCATATAAGTTTCAGCTTTTCTGGCCCAGTGGTTCTTGAGAAGAAGATTTTTTAAGATTTTTCCTATATATTTCAATGTAAAACTTGGATTCCCTATTGTGGCCCCGCCCTACCCCCCGGGGTCATGATTTGAACAATTTAGAATCTACACTACCCCAGGATGCTTCCATATAAGTTTCAGTATTTCTGGCCCAGTGGTTCTTGAGAAGAAGATTTTTTAAGATTTTTCCTATATATTTCAATGTAAAACTTGGATTCCCTATTGTGGCCCCACCCTACGCCCGGGGATCATGATTTGAACAATTTAGATTCTACACTACCCTAGGATGCTTTCATATAAGTTTCAGTATTTCTGGCACAGTGGTTCTTGAGAAGAAGATTTTTAAAGATTTTTCCTATACATTTCAATGTAAAACTTGGATTCCTTATTGTGGCCCCGCCCTACCCCCGGGGGTCATGATTTGAACAATTTAGATTCTACACTACCCCAGGATGCTTCCATATAAGTTTCAGTATTTCTGGCCCAGTGGTTCTTGAGAAGAAGATTTTTAAAGATTTTTCCTATATATTTCAATGTAAAACTTGGATTCCCTATTGTGGCCCCGCCCTACCCCCGGGGATCATGATTTGAACAATTTAGATTCTACACTACCCCAGGATGCTTCCATATAAGTTTCAGCTTTTCTGGCCCAGTGGTTCTTGAGAAGAAGATTTTTAAAGATTTTTCCTATATATTTCAATGTAAAACTTGGATTCCCTATTGTGGCCCCGCCCTACCCCCGGGGGTCATGGTTTGAACAATTTAGAATCTACACTACCCCAGGATGCTTCCATATAAGTTTCAGCTTTTCTGGCCCAGTGGTTCTTGAGAAGAAGATTTTTAAAGATTTTTCTCATGTATTTCAATGTAAAACTTGGATTCCCTATTGTGGCCCCGCCCTACCCCCGGGGGTCATGATTTGAACAATTTAGATTCTACACTACCCCAGGATGCTTCCATATAAGTTTCAGCTTTTCTGGCCCAGTGGTTCTTGAGAAGAAGATTTTTAAAGATTTTTCTTATGTATTTCAATGTAAAACTTGGATTCCCTATTGTGGCCCCGCCCTACCCCCGGGGGTCATGATTTTAACAATTTAGAATCTACACTATCCCAGAATGCTTCCACATAAGTTTCAGCTTTTCTGGCCCAGTGGTTCTTGAGAAGAAGATTTTTTAATGACCCCACCCTATTTTTGTCTTTTCTTGATTATCTCCCCTTGTAAGGGGACTTGACCCTTTATTTTAACAATTTACACTCCCCTTCACCCAAGGATACTTTGTACCAAGTTTGGTTAAAATTGGCCCAGTGGTTCTTGAGAAGAAGATGAAAATGTGAAAAGTTTACAGACAGACGGACAGACGGACGGACGACGGACAACGGGTGATCAGAAAAGCTCACTTGAGCTTTCAGCTCAGGTGAGCTAAAAAGGCATGACCCTACATTTGAACAAACTTGAACCCCCTTTACCCAAATAATGCTTCATGGTATGTTCGGTTGAAATTCGCCAAGTGGTTCTTGAGAAGAAGTCGAAATCAGTGTTTTCTATAAAGAGAGACTACTGGCCAAATTGACCACTTCAATCTATATAAATGCCACTTAGAAATCAAAATTTAAAAACATACCTGTTATAAGGTCCTCAGAGATTTTATTCAAAGACCTCGACCCCTAGCCTGTTACAATTGATCTAAAACCCTTTACATTGACACTGAAAATGTGAAAAGTTTGAAGAGGGAAAGACAGACACTGAACAAAACGTGATCAGAAAAGCTCTTTAGAGCATTTAGCTCAGGTGAGCTAAAAATGGGACAGAACTGTAATGGAATACTACTCACCAGAGCCACCGCCCCCACCTCCAAATCCACCTCCCCTGAAAATTTACACAATTAGAACATTAAAACTTAACATTTGCTGTTACATTTATACATCACACATATAAAACTGCCTCTAATTTGAATTGTCAAAATGCAACATATATTCATGAACACGTACCTTGGAGGTCGGTCACCACCACCAAAGCCTACAAAACAGGACATTTATATATTTAGAAAAATCATTGATTAGAAGACTCAAGTATACAAGAAACGTGTCTCTACTAAGTGCATTTAAGCACTTGCACTGGTTTTAATGTCAACATTCACTTCATTGTATAGGTAATGTATGAATCTTTAAAACTGCTCAAAATAAAATATGCTTTGGTTTTATTTCAATCTGCAAACTAATCCTGTATTCAAAGTAATTATACAGCAACAGTATAGACTTTTTGGAAAGAAACAAGCATTTTGACCTTGTAACTCCAAAGAAATCCAAGCTAACTTCTTTATTTGTGCTATTACGAACACACCTTCCACACTTTTGTCAAGTTGTAGAGAAACCTTATCTTAAAACTTCTTACCTCCTCCAAAGCCAGAAGATTCTCCATCATTTTTGGCCCCAAAGCCTCCACCTCCACTGAATCCTCCACCCCCACCAAAGCCTCCTTCCTTCTTGGCTCCAAATCCACCTGAGGACCCTCCACCAAATCCACCAGATGATCCACCCCCAAATCCACCGGATGATCCACCCCCAAAACCTCCCCCACTGTTGTTATTGTTGGTATCCGATTTGTTTCCAAATCCTCCTCCCCCTCCACCAAACCCTCCTCGAGATCCAAAACCACTTCCACCAGAATTGTTCTCCGACTTCCCAAATCCGTTGGACATTCCTCCTGGTCTGCCGACGGACAGACTCGACATGTCATTGGAGAGTTCATTGTCATTACCATTTACCGTGAAGCCAGCACGTAAAACACCTCGTCCAAAACCCTTGCCAGCTCCACCTTCAATGAAAATTATTCAGTCATTGCAAATTATCCACTCCTAGACATCATACTCTGTAAGTACTAGCATCTAAATTATCAGGGTTCACCACAAGGGATTTTACCATGGCAGCTCGCCAAGGTTAAATTATGTGGGCCATGGTTAAACGAGCTGCACCATGGTCAGAATTGGCAGCCACCATGATTAAAACTTTAATGCATTTCAGTATTGACACCTACTTTCTAATTACTTGAGTAGTTAATTGCCTTTATTGTACTTTCATGTAAATTAGTTGAATTTGGTTAAATTTTTAGATGTGGAGAATCCCGATTTATACTATCCAAATTGCACGGAATTTAAAAAATTCCTTGTCTAACCTGTGCTATCACTAGATGATGGAGCACCTCTTCCGAACCTACAAAAAGGCAGAACATTCAGAATGAAGATATGCTTACAATGCATTACAATTACAAGAATTGCGATGTCAAGATAATGAAATTGTTAACTGGCTGCATTACTTACCCACCACGACCAAAGCCATTCTGGTAAAGAAAATAAAAAATAAAATTAGTTAATCCACTGCAAGATACAAAGCACCTGCTTTTGATGAAGCAGCTAAATGAATTTTCAATTTATGTTGCCATTTTAAATTGTATTCAAATTTAATTAAAACAATTTTGAGAAGTGTGAATGAAGGGGTAGATAGCAAGTACAAGCCATTTCTGAAGAAGTTTTACAATGGTAAATTGAAAGAAAAAAATGCTGTTACTTTTCTCATTTAAAATGAGCCCACTTCAAAAGATTTCTAAATAGTTTCTGCATTTCCTACCTTTAAAATGGTAAGTGTGCAACTGATTTACCACATCTTAATATTTCGAAGATGTAGAAAAGGGGGGGAATTCTTTATCTACCAATAGATCTGAATGGTGGGAAATCATGGATATAAACACAAATTCGTTTACGTGACCCATTTTGTTATTTACTAAAACAAATGGATTTGCAAAACTTCAGAGACTGGACTATAGAAGCATATTACTGCTGTCATGAACAGGGTTTGAAATTAACAATCGCCCACTCACAATTTGCGACTAATGTTCCATGTGGGCGACTTAAAATTACGTTCAAATTGCCCACACGGCGATTAGAAAATTTACGATAATAAATATTTGTTTTTCAATTTTGTCCGAATGTTTTGTATTTTTCTCTTGAAAAATTTCGTAATCAGTAAAGTGCTTTATAATTATCCGTAAGAAGTACTTATACATAAAGCGTCTAAGTGATTGTGTCGGGCACAATGTGGCATCGACGGGTCAATGAGCCAAAGAAACCAAAAAGTACTGTTGTTAATTGTGAATGAAAACGTGCCATGTGCTCTATATATGATATTGAATGATTATATCAATCTTCATAAACAGAAGAGTTCCACTTCAAATTTAGATAAGTCGTGCATAATGTTACAACGGATAGAAAAGAAACACGAAGCACACGATAAAAAAAACGAAAAATGGGTTTGTTGTTTTTATATTCAATAGAAGGTGTGATAATCTGTGGGCGAATAAATTTTGATGTGGGCCCCAGAATTGCAAGGTTCAGTAGCCCACATGGCTATCAAGGATTACAAGTTAGTTTAAAACCCTGATGAATTTGATTATTTGGCTGACTTGGGGGGAAAATGTGGCCCTTCTTCTAAGATATCCAAACTTTTCTCCAAAATTTTATCTTTTCTGCAAATAAGGAAATTTTAGAAAAAGAAAAAATATCAAAAGAAATCTGTTTCCCCTTTCTAATTACAATGAAACTAAATAAACATGCAAGTTTCATGTATTTGTGAAAATATGACCAAAAATCAGATTTTTTCTTAATTGAAAGGAAAAAAATGTAGTAAAGTTGGAACTGTCTAACACATACTATAAATAGAAAGATATAGTGGGTGTTTACTGGCACACCATCTGTAATATTATTAATAGCCTGCAAGGCTATGAATTCAAACTGCACTTTTTTCCTTCATATTAAACTGATGTTGTTATTTACCCTAAAATTTTATCTGCTTTTCATGGATAGGTTTAACCTTTAAAAACTTCAGAAGTGGAAAATACATTTAAAATTCTTATCAAACACTTGAGGTATAAAACCACTTCTTGTGGAAGTTATGGACTATACAAGCCTTTCAAGAAACAGGTTGAATGAATGAATGAAAGGTTAAGATACTACCTGTGGAGATGCACACAAAGTAAAAGCAATGAACATGAACTTGTCGAAAGTATGATCAATATCAATAAATGTGAAATAAAAGGAATAGCACAACGTGACTTCATACTTCTAACACTTTTCCCAGGAAGTACCGTAAGTTTTGGGGTATATGTCGATGGTGTATATAGGTCGAAAGGCTCATTTTCAGCCATAATTTTTTAAAAATCCTTAGATAGGACGATTTGGAAGATAGGACGAGGCTTTGTTTATCGACTTTCTAGAGATTCTTACGTAGAAACTATGTATCAGAACATGTAAAGGTCTTTAACTTAACCCGTGATATTAACGTATGAAGAAAATAAACTGGTATTTTTATGAGTACAGCATTTTAACAGTGTTTTACACAAACATAGTTAAAACTTCCTTGAATTGTGATATAACGCATTTTCTCCAACTTGCCTGTTCAACGCCGTCGTTGTTTGACTCCGTCGTTAAACACATAAATACTTTAGTATACAACAGCTATAATTAGGGAAATACCCGAAATCAAACAATAATCTTTTCCATTTTAGAACATCGTGGACACATTCTTTTATTCCAACATTATTTACCGGGGTACAATATTAAGTGCGATGACCACCATTTTTATATTTCTTGTTCAGGGATTTGCTAAAACACGCAAATGACTATTACATGTAACAGTGAGCAATTGAAATTAATCATATTAACATGCTATAATTTGCTCGAGATATTGTTGTTAAAAAATAAATTTAATTGAGAGTACATTCGCAATTTAACAGTCATCAGGAATTTCACAGTTTTGTTTGTTCAATGATGTATAGCACTAATACCCCTGTAACGGCACGTGGATCTGTTAATCATGCCCCGCAGGTGTTTAAACCTACAGGTGTTAACACCTTTGTGTACACAGTGTATATCCCTCTATCTGTCAGACAATTAAAATTCTATTAGAAGCCAATCTTTGTATAATTCAGTGTACCCCTTGGATATAAAACAAAATAGTTATGACTAGCAGTATTTTAGGAATTTACCGGCAACAGTTTATTTCACACATTTTACATTTAAATAAATATCACAAGACAATGAAAAAATATTTAGGTATACTATTTCAATTAATCCTTACAAATAAATGGTAATAAAAAAAATTCAATTGCGATTGTGAAAACTCCACCGTATTTTAAACTTTGATACGGTTGCGGTTTTATTTTTAGTAAACGATTGCAACTTCCAACTTCACAAGATGGACACAGCATGTTGTAAATATACTTTGAGACATTATTGATGATATAATAAGTTTTTTTGTACATCAACGGATATTTAATGGAACTTATTTTGTAAGAAATCAATGGAATAAATATTTAATTCTTTATTGTTTATTATTTTTTTCTCGGTAAAGTAATTTTTAAAAAATACGAAAATGGCACAGATTTGCTTTAAAATTTATGTAAATTTTACTGATTTGGGGGCATTTTTCGTAAACTTGGGCCTTAGATGGGTCGATTCGTTAAATAGGACGATCCCAGCAGTACTGAGAAAAAGAGTATCGTCCTATCTTCCAAAACTTACGGTATTCAATCAAAAAAAAAAAGAAGGAATTTTATGGCTTTTCACCATATTTATGAGGTTATGACTATTCTTTTTCCATGTTTGTAAAAGCATGACATGACTGTAAACAAAGCAACAACACAATAATCCCAAGGGATTACTTTATTACATAATCTCAATGATTGTCATGCTGTGATTTTGACAGCATGATGTAGTTCTTTAATTACATAGATCTCTGTCAACTCAGTTCAAATTTCTAAACAATACAATCATTCTACATTTACCAGACTTTTCATATAATGTGAGAAACTTTCATTTTCTCTTTTGTTCCAATTTTCCTGGTACGTGGCCATGAGAGAAAGAAAAGAAACTGTGAGATCACTTTTTTTTCTTCTTTAAATTAGAATTTTTATTTTACCTTTTTTCCTAAAATACCACGTCCTCTCCCTCCCATTTCACTGAATGTGCCCAAACTAATTGTGTATTTATTGCAGTTATTACACAGACTTGCAGTTATTTATTGAACATGTATACATTTCTACCTCTTCAAACTAGAGAGCTCCATAAACAAGGCCAGTGTGTGACAAAAGATGTTGAAATCATATTATAAGCTTGTGTATGTGCATGTATGTTTGTATTTACAAATATCCTTAAATTTTAATTTACACATCATGCAATTTTGTAATCAATCTCTTGGGGGGAAAAATTACTGCATAAAATACGGAGCTAGGAAAGGGATATCTAAAATATCTTATCAAATTCCTTGATAGATAACTTTGCAACAAAGACAACCGCCTGCTTCATATTCTTCCTGCTGCAATCACGTTATTCTAAATATGTGTACTCCTCAAATGAGAAAAAACTTCAAGTGTTCAATCTTCTAGAAATTGTATAAAAAATAAACATGCACGAACTTTTAATTGCACCAGAGACGTATATATATATATATTAGTTGATAAGTCCCTGATTGCACATGCTATTTTTTCTTCATAATCCTTCGGAAAAAATTCTAAAGTGAAACTGATTCACACAACATCTTTTTAACCGCAGATGAGGGTGCAAATGTTCAACTTTTATCAAGGAATGCCTTGCAAATTTATACTTTTTTTAAAATAAAAAATATACCAAATTAGCACACATTCTTTGGTAACAGTCAGATTTATAAACCCAAGAAAGTATGTCGAAAGAAAGTGTATAAATAACTTGACTTACTACAACCTCCATCTTCTGATGCCAAATTCACATGTGCTTCTTTCCCGCGCCGATGGTCACGTGATCTTCATGTTGGTGCCTCAAGATAACTCGTACACAGATATTTCTGGAAACTATGACTTGATAAATTTTAAAAATTATGAAATAAATTTACAAAAAAAAATATTATAAAACAAGTGTTACAGTGTTGATTCATTAATGATATTTTTCAGGAGTAAATTATATAAGATGTGAGTTATAGATGGTCATGACATTTACACATGTAAATACGCCGTCGTATCGAAATGATAGTTTGGAATATCATGAACTTATCATAAAAAAAAGTATGAAAAAGAGTCGTAAAGGCTCAGGATTCCATATGGGACGGTTCAGGGAGTGAGTAAGGCTCCTTTCGATACACAGGCAATTATGTTATTTACATTATTTAAAAAAGAAAGTTTGTTTTCCGTAAGTTTTCGAAACGTTCCAATCTAATAATTAAATCTTTGATCCGCTCTATCTAGATCGTGTGTAACGATGGATCAAAGATATAATTCAATTAGATTGGAAATGATACCTTGCGTATTTCGAAAATGACCTAAATCAAACATTTTAAAAATCCTATCCTATATACTCAATATCTATAGGGCTTGAATGTTGAATGGGTTTTTTTTCCCGAAATCATAATACGGATTAAATAACAAATATGTCATAAAGAATTAATTTAGAGGGGAAAGTGGACTCCGACAAAGCCCGTGGGGGGTGTTCTTGAGCAACTATGGTAAAGACTTGATTTGTGACCCTTCCTTGCATAAAGTAAATCAACAAGAACATATATCAGGGACCCGTTTCACAAAGCTAACTTAGGACTAAGTTGTATCTTAGGAAAGAACTTTTTCCTAAGTTCATTACTTATCCGTTTCACTAACCTCGTCTTATCTTAGGATATTCCTAAGTTATGTCGTAACTTTAAGACAAGTAAATCAATGACTTAGGAAGAAACTAAATATGACGGCTGTAGATACATGTACAAGGATTCTTACAGAGAGATACTGTGTGTGTCCAGGAAGAGAAAAAAATCCAAAAGACTACTAGTATATGAATGATTGTGATCCCTTCAGGTTATAACTGCTTTACTTTGTATGTAATAGCTAAGAAAGAGATTTTAAGAATTGTCAGAGATGCGTCTTTATCACTGGTCAAAATTAATACAAGGTAAATAAAAATGTCCATTGTTGAAGTTGGAACTACAAATACATTATACTTAAAAAATGTTTGATTTCTCACAATTCGTGGATTTCCCAATGTTACTACAAAATAGACGGTACACATGTTGGATTAATTCCCCATCATTTATAAAAAGCACGATCTTGTAAAAAAAAAAAAAAATCCACGCTACATACATGCACTATTGTCTGTGTTACAAAACTTTGCATATAAGAACTGCGAACGATAGTATTGTTCTGCCGCCTACCTCCAAGTCAAATTTCAGAAGTTAACATATTTGAATGATTTTTCATATTTATATAGATATTTATGTGAATCTTCGTAAAACGTAACTTATTTGGGAAAACAAAGAGAGATACATGTAACTCTTTAAATCTGGTAAAAATAGCGTTTTTCACCATAGAAATCAACGAAAAACCGAAAATATTTTTAAAACATAACCCCCCCGTGAAATAAAAATTCCTTTTTATGGGTTTTTTTGAATTGTTATTTCACAAATTCCTACCGAAGCTTTTGTTGTTTCAAGGGGGAGAACATATGTTTATGGACAAAAACTGCAAAATTGGTCACCTTATGACCAATTTCAAATGAAATTACAAATAAAATAAGGTCTTTTTCAATCTTTTATCTTGAATTTAAAATAAGTTAAACATACGGAAAGATTTAGGGGTCTTTTATCCATTTCCATGCGTTTTTGAAAATATAGTGATTTTTAAAGCATGATTTCAATGGATAAAATTTTCAACCCCCCTTTTGAATAGAGTCGTAAATAAGAGCAATTAAGTTTTTGACACTGGATTTAAAATTATCAATCAATTAATAATGAACTCTTCTTTGCATTCATCAAGTTTTAATGGCCAAACTGCCATTTATATCGAATTAACGAGGTTGGATCCTGATATTTAAAGTCTTAAACTTTTTTTGTCAAGTATATTTTTAGTTTCTTCACACATAGCTTAATTAAAAATCAAAACAAAAAATGGGGGTCAATATGCTTCTTTTAACGCTACAGTACATTTAATATGACCTTTTTGCACTGAAATTTGTGTCTTAATCAAAAATCACATCTTCGACATTTTCCCTTTAATGTTTTTATCCAAATAAATCATGGGACAAAATAAACTATTAGTCTACTTAAAAAAAGACACTTTAAAATTGTGACTAAGATAAAGTTTCAAATTGCTTCGCCTAATCAATTATTTGACCTTTCTGCACTCAAAAAGTGTGATTTCCCTGAAAAATAGGAATCTAAACTTAAGAGTACTGTATATATTTCAAAAGGGAAATATTGATCATTTTCTCCTAAAAAAACTTCCGCCACAAAATATAGATCCTGGCTTAATCCTATTTGAATGGAATTTAATCGCGGTTTTTTCATTGGATATAGTTTAATTTGCATTGTAGAATCTAGATTTAATGTTTGAACTTAAAAATGATGCAGAATTTTATAAATAAAGGTCCAGACCAAAATCTCCTCAAAAGCTCAGGATCGAACCTCCTTAAATGGGTGCAAGGGGGAGAACAGAAAATGTAGGCGGGAATCGAGAGTTAGCGTGCGTGGTTCTTTGAACCATTATTACATATTTTTAGATCTAATAATATTACTAGTATTTGAATCGATATTTAGTATTTGAAAGATTATATTTGATAAGGGAACAAATTTGTTCTCTTCAGCTCCTGATATAGCTGTTTCTCCAAAAATTGCTTGTATCTTATCTCCCATGGGAGGAAGGAGGCGTTGAAGTGCAAGACTTGGACCATTTTCCCTCTGTTTCCGCTAAATGACTCCACTTCTTTTCAACTCTTCCCCTGAACAAATGTCAGTTGTGTTACAGAATGTTAGGTCACCCTGTCCATTTTGGGGCTGATTTGTCACGGTATAATTATGCATAAAGATTATATATATTTCTTTTTTCAACTTTTTTCTGTTAGTGTTGTGATTTCCACAGTCGCGAATTTGGAATTTCTTATCTGTCGAAAAATTCTTATTTAAAATTACACAGTAACATGGACAAATAACGTGGAGCACTCATTCGCGAAGAAATAAAAAGAAAATAAGGCCTCTGTTAGATTGCTTTCCCTTCGAAGCAATTATTGTTTTAAATTTATTCCATTTCCTAATTGAAACGATACTAGCAGAAAAATATATAGTAGGGGGGAAAATAAACAATTGCAAAATTGTAATTGTAAAAAATTATGCAAAACATATAATAGCACAAATATTAGTTTAAAAAATATACGTCATGTGACTGCGGGGGGTGGGGGTATATGTGTGTCACTTTGTGTGTGTGTGTGAGGATGTGTGAGTGCTTAGTTTAAGTAGGAAACTCGTCAGGGTTAAACCATACTTCTGTCCAAGTCCTTTGAAAGTGGAGGGTAACCCCTAACCTCCCGATCCTCCTCTTTTCATGCTTTTTTTTTTACTTGAAAAAAACCCGACTCAAACTACAGATTTTTACTCATACTGACATCCTTCTAACAGTATGCTCAGAAATGTAGATAGAGTGGAGAAGTTATTTCATTAGTCCGTAACACAACTTAAGAAATGTCTTAGGATAAATTTAAGATAAGATTGTTTCGTGAAACAGATGTGACAAATCTTAGGAACTTCCTAAGTTATAACTTAGGCATATCTTAAGTTATGTTTTACAACATATCTTAGGAAACCTTTGTGAAACAGGCCCCTGATCTACAAATTAAAATTTTTAAAATCAAAAGAAATTCGATGACAATGTTTGATGTATAAATAAGATATGTACTTACTCATACGACGTGTGCTTTAGAAACACTCTTAATTTATTGTGATATGTTTGAGCAATTGTCGGATCTAAACTGAGTTTAAAGAATGTCCGGATGTGTGGATGCCATTGTTTTACAGCATATAGATCTATGACATCCAACTATTGCACAAACATTATGTCATGTTCTAAAATTTGAATTTACTTGCTGGGAGAAAATACAAAATGTAGTACTTGACAACTTTCTGTATTTACTTCCATCAAGTAAAAGCAAAATTTAGAACATGATTTTGTTTATGTAAATACCAGATGAAGATAAAGTTTATCTTATCGAAAGCCAGAGGTATACCTTGCATTTTCAATCTGCATGTTTTTTTTTTATAAATTAAAAAATTCAATGTACTATGAATATTAAAAGTTAAGATTTTCACATATACTGTATAAACTATAAATAAGGTTCATTGTCCTGTCAGAGACGGTGTGTAGGTATATAGTGATGATATCTATCAGCTCTACTTCTTGTGTCAATGACTTGGATGAAAATTAATTTACACAACAGTAACCTTTCAAATTTTGCTATAATATGAAAATGGAATGTGTCTATAATCGTTAGGACTCACGACCTTGATCTATGGCATTAGGTCACAGTAAATTATTTCTTTGTTTTACCCCGGGCGGGTAGGTTTTTTCATGAAATCCAGACAAAAAACAAAATAAACACAAGGTTTATCAATTTTCAACTATTTTTCTATGAATTTTCTGGAAAGTTTAGACAACGGTATCTATTATATTCAAATATAAGGTGGCTGAACTTCACATCATTATTTTGGACCAAGTAAATTGTGTGAAATATATGATAATTGTTTGGAGAGAAAAAAAAACACAACAATATCTTTTTTCATTAATTGCGTATTATGGAAAGTGTTTATATATTTTATATATATATATATAGAGAGAGAGAGAGAGAGAGGTAGTTTTAGTCGGAGTGGAAGGTAGCTTTAAAAAAAAAGTAAGGGATGTAAAACACAGATATTGTTTATCACGTACGTATAATTATTTATTACTAAACCTACATGCACTTGTTTCTGTGATAAAATTATAATCCTGGGATTTGAACCCAAGGAATAAAAAAACAATAAACAATTCATTATTGTGATATATCTGACTTTCTTTATGTTGAACCATAGGCATTTTTTCTCGGCTTGTTCGCCCATCCTCAAAATGAAATTTTATAGAAAAATACTGTACTTAGTAAGTGAAAAAGGTGCATGACCCCAATTTTCCCACACTGCATCGAAGTTTAAACCTGCCGACGACTGTTGCAAGATGAGATCCAGACGTTTTAGCTGTGATGTCGTACATTGAACTTGTTACATTGATACGGAAAACGTGTCAGTATAAAATGTCAGCAGAGGGCACAATAATTTATGGACTGTGGTGCTAAGAAAGGAACTTAATTAAAGCTTGTTAACATTTGGCCATAGATATAGCAGAGTGATGGACGAGAAATCCTCCATATTCTAATTTCAAGTTGTCAACAAGATACACAAATTTACACAAAATCACTTTCAAAGGCATTTTTCCCATTGTTTTTGGATTTCCAGTTTGAGCGCATGCCTGAAAATAACCAAAGAAATGCATTATAATTATCTATTTGACGTTTTCTGAGTAACGCCCAGCCATTTACACTTGCCTTGGATTTAAAATTTTGTTTGCAATTTGACCACCCTCGGTATTAGATATTTTGATGCTAGATTTAAAATTAAATACATTTTTTTTTATTTAATAGGTAAAAAAAAGGATAAATTAAAGCATTAACTGAATTTTAACACCATTTGCGTCCTTACCTCGGGTTCAAAATTGAAGTTTATGTAAGGGATCCTTATTACTTGTAGTTGTTTGATATTCTACTGGGGATGCAGTCCAAGATTTTCATATCTCTTACTTAGACGTATGGACGGGGTGAGGTGGCAACGGCGGATCCAGGATTTGAATGGGGGGGCAGCTGATTGGGGGGGGGGGTCCGCCTTGGGAGTGGGGGTGGGGCAGGAGGCGAAGCCGCCCCCCCCCTCCCCCGGAAGCTCCTGAATTGTAGAGATTTAGAAGAGCAAAAATGAAGTTTTCTGAGAAGACGTTTTCATTTCTTGTCGTCATAATTCATAATATATCTACGGAAACAATTAACGAAAACCTAGAAATTAAGCCCCCAGAGGCTCTGCATTGCATGAAAACAGAAATAAATCCTTTTACTTATACACCTTTCCCCAAAATCCATTCAATGATTTATCTTAAATTTGACAATTCTTTTTTATGGGGGGGGGGGAGGGTCCCTTAAATCCTCCGCTGGATCTCGAGGTGGGAATAGACAGAGTAATAAAGAAATGTATTTTGAGGGAAAAAAAGAACAATGCAATACAATGATTACATTCAATTTTTGTACTATATCTTGAAAAAAAAGGATTTTGTCTTTCAGGTTTTAGTTTTTTGACCTGAAACAAAAAAAGCCAATGATTTTGAAGTAATTGGCACATGTGACAGGTAAATTGTTTAATTAGGAGTATGTTCAGACCCTATGTATTTTGTGAATACCGGTAATTCTGCCGTAGTCTAGCCATTCCCTTGTAACAATGACATTTTGGTGAAGTTAATTGTTTGACAAAATGAAAATGATAGTCCTGTGAAATTTTTGAAGTAGAATATATACGTTCTTCATACTCAACAAAGCGCTCTCTGCGCTTACTCAAATCTGATTGAAAGATCAGCCTCTTAAAAAGAGGACAATAACACTATCTAGATTTTCATCGTTTACCGTGTTTCGTTAGAGAATTAAACGAACTACTGCGGTGCTACCGTCTATTGTTTGAATTCATAGTACCGGCCTCTTTGAAAATGAACATTGTATGGTTTGTTTAGAACCAATATAACATAAAATTTGACATCCGTAACAAATGACCCTGGGTCTTTTTTCTACAGTTATAATTGAGATCGATGTTGTGCGGTTCTGAAATGAAGTCTTTTCTGAAGTTTTTTCATCAGATTGTAAAAAAAATAATAATAATAATGCACAATTAGAGATATGCACACCCTGGCCTGAAATTTCTTTTTATCCCTGTTGAATTTTTACCCAAACGTTTATGTAAGGGTCACCATTTAGGAATATTGTCATATTGTAATTTTTGAATTTACCGGGTGGTAGTAAATACAAAAATTACAATATGACATATTGTAATTTTTGTATTTACTACCACCCGGTAAAATCAAAAATAACAATATGACAATATGGTGAAATTCACCTACTTACGTTAATATACATCATCGGGGAGGGGGGTGGGGGGTGGGGGAGGGGGTGTCATTGAACACTTAAATATCATCTCCGCCAATATGACCCTTGACCAATTTCAAAGTTACTAAGCAGTGCAATGGTAAATCCGTTATTCCGATAACAATTCGCCTTTAAAAGTTCGATGACGAAACGAATAATGCCTAAGATTTTGATAATAAATTGAATTAGCCATTCCTTCAAGCAAGCGTTTGTACAAGACATTAAGATGGAGATATTGGTGACATATATAACCTATAGCTTAATGACCAAAAATCCAAGTCACTTAAAAAACAAAATCCCTCGCGATTTTAATGGCTGCATGTAGACTTTTTGATGGCAGGTACACTTAGAGGAAAATGAAATCATTTCCAAGCATTGGGGGACTGGGGAACCAACAAACAAAAACCAAATTAAACACACACACACACACACACACACAAGAAGACACCAGATCATATTTGAAAACTTCTGTTTTGGACATGTTGGAACATAACCATCTGCGTTTTTCATTCTTTGTGGGTTTTTTTTTCTTGTGGACTTTCTCAGCTTTGAAAAAGATGCCTCTGACAAAAAAGATCGCTCTCACCTTCATCAATTACCAGTATACCCCACCATATTACCTTGACATGCATGACCTTTGAGATATGAACAAATAGGAAGTTTCAAAATAGAATATAGTCATTAGGACCCAGGTGCGAGTACAATCCAAATATGGTTTCCAGAGTTACGGCTCCAACACCCTTAAAGTACATCCCTTTGTCAAGTGACCTTGACTTCTGAGACATAACCTTGACTGTTCAAGATCATGACACCTAGGTCACGGTCACTGGCAACTACATGCGCGGATCAAACCTTCATCTAGCAACTATAAGGGAGAAGGTATTATTTCAGCAATATTTTCAGAACTTTTATTCAACCTTCATTGACAGCACTTTTGAATTTATGGGATTTCAATTATTAACTAGGGGGTTTGTTAATAAAAATAAATTTCAGACATGGCGTAGTTTATGTGCTGTTTGAATTTTTTTGACAAATAAATTGAAGTTCATTGTCGTTGCTATCTCTGAATCCCCTTGGACCTTGATTAAGCTATTTAGCATCCTTTATCTTCACTGCAAACATTCCCAGTACCCCAGATATAAAGATAACTAATATCAGTAACAAACTAACCCTGGCATGTATACAAACAACATGACGGACAAGAAGGACTACTGCCCGGTTGTGTCCACTCTTAGTACATATAAGATTTTCCTCATCGGGGAGCAACTCAGGTTAGACGTTCAGTTTGTTTGGTGGTAAGTCTTAACTGTCCCAAGGGTTAGTATGTTGTCTATAGTAATGGTAAGACATTGTTAGGGACATTATTAGGTTAATGAGAGAATGGATTGGTGCTAGATGTTTAACATGAGTTTGTTTGGTAGGAAGTCAAAACTCTCTCTAGATACAGGGTTAGAGATCAGATGATGTGTCCTGATCCAACACGAATGTCATTTCGATAAAGTTAAGATACCAAGATTTTGAAGTGAGGCATGGCCCTAAAAGGATAAATACATGTATAAGAAACTCATAGAGTATTTCGTGACCTTGAAACAAGGGCATGTAGTCAAGGTCATAGGTTTTAATATGTAACATTTTTGTCCAAGGAAAAACACTTTTTAATCAAAGATTGATCTAGTTTCATAATTAGCACTTTTTAGTTGCTCTTGACTAGAGCCTGTGTCATGACCTTACCTAAGGCTCAAGGTCAAATCAGAGTTTTTTTTTTTCAATGCAATAGTAATTATTACGTAGAGATGACAGAAGCTCGACGTTAGTTTTTTTTTTATACTCATACCGATCTACTTCAATAAAGTAATGATTCGTAAAGAACGTGAAACGTCCTTTTTCCATTTTCAGATCGTGCATGAATGGAGTGGGGCTGATTAGAGACCGGAAATACAGACTCCGCAGCTACAAATCTTGTTTCCAAGGCAACGAGACAGTTGATTGGCTGGTCCGAAGCAGAAGATGTGACGATCGTCTCTCCGCTGTACGCATAATGCGGACCTTACAAAAATGGGCTTTTTTCCATCATGGTATGAAGTTTGACAAAAAATGTGCATACTGTGAAGTTGTGAATGCATATTCATATTTTTTTAAATGATGGGAGGATTTGAAAACTTATTCCAAATTATTCTTCTCTTCTACTCAATTTATAGTTTGCGATGACCACAAATTTAAGGATGAAATGCTCTTTTATCGATTTCGCCGTGATGATAACACAATAGAATCTCACAAAGACCTCCTGCTCTTCTACAAGGTGCTCGATATATACCACTCGTAAGTATATCACTCGACACGTACAAATCTATTTTTATCAGTTAGCGACTTATTCACACGCTTGTTTCATACAGAATATTATTAAAGGGTGTTCGATTTATAATACCATCGCATTACTATACACTTATGTTGGTTCGTTCTATTTCATATGAAACGCTTAACAGATAGAGTAGACTTAGGTCGCTTCAATCTTTCAGAATAAATTTTTCAAAGAAAGGTATTTTACGGAGCTACCAGGTGCGCGATCAGGTGTTTGACAGAGCCTTTATGGGATCCGCCTTCGTGGATTGGTTGGTGAACACGGGGATGGTAGACACAAAGGAACAGGCTATTATCACAGGGAGACAACTCCTGGAGAACGACATCATCAGACATGGTAAACACGTTTCTTCTGTAAGCTTAGGGATTACTAGTATCATATGGGAAAAAAAATCAGAGAGGATTTTGAAGATCTAGAGAATTTTGATAAGCTCCAAATATCAAAGATGGGTACCAAAAAATAATAATGACGAAAACCCCATTTTCGGTTCTTTCCTGTGATGTTTTGAAGCATAGCATTGTGAACTTAAAATTCATCGTTTATTTGATTATTTCCTTTGCTTTTTTGTCTACAGTGACAGACGACCACCACTTCCGGAACGACAATTTGCTGTTGTATCAGTTCAACCTGGATCTGGATCAGCGGCGCCGGATGTCTGATGTCCTCATTCTGGACGAAAAGCGACGGATGTCGACCGAATCACGCTCTTCCACCGAGTCGCAGGATACCCCAACTCGATTCTTAGAGTCACGTGATTTCTCCATTCCGCCTAATAGCTGCGGTATATGAATTATGATATGAATATGAAAACTGGGAACATATTGCAGCAATAATTAATTTAATCTTTCAAATGATGAAAAAAAAATGGTTGAATAGGTCGCCTTAACAGTGATATAGGAGTACATGTACTAATAACGCACCTGATCATAATGGGGAAAATCAAATATCTAGAACTTTGTTCAAACTTAATATTGATCAAAGCGCTAATAGCTTTATCTAATTCAGCTAATTTTACACTTCATAATGACCAGGAGCCCACATCACATAAGACTTTTTTTATTCTCAGATAACGAATGTACAGAAATCGGTTCGGAAACAGAAGAGTCATCGAACACGTCCTCAATGCAGCCCAGATCTGGTAATTCATTTATGCGTGTAAAAATTCATCAATGTGATTTTATACATAACATACGTAAGCAATTTTTTTCCCATCCTGTTACTTCATAATTTCTTGTATTTTATATATAGTACTATTGAGGTATGAAACAGCTGACGAACTGGAATCTCCAGACACACCTTATGTTAAGTCGTGCCTCAGAGTAAGTACTCTACAATAGCCATATTTACATGTCACAAGATAGGATACATTTTTAAACCTGAATCTGACTTCTCCTTGTAGATTTTTAGTGACTCTGTAGGTTATGGGTTTGTCATACGGGGCATAGGGCCTACTTATGTACAGACTGTCGATCCCGAGGGACCAGCCGCGGACGCCGGGCTCAAGGTAACACATGTACTTGATCAATAAAAAGACCAAAAAATAAAGAGCATGTAAATAATCGTTTTTTTTTTTTTTAGAAATGTCTTTCATCAATATGCTTTTGCTCTAACAAAAAATTGCTTCACCATCAGTGGCGGATCCAGGAATTTCATTACGGGGGGGGGGGGGCGCAGTAGAAGGCAGAGGGGCTGATGAGGGTCCGGGGACGAAGCCCCCAGAAACTGACGAATTCTAACAAATAAGAGGTGTTTTTTCCCTTGATTTTAGGATAATACAAACAAAACATAAAAAAAAAAAATTCAAACGGGAGGGGGGGGGGGTGCGCACGCCTGGCGCTGGATCCGCCTTTGACCATACTTAAGAAATTCTTTGTATTTCTTTTTTTTTTAGTGAAGAATCTAGTTTACAAATAAGTAATACAATAAGTAATACAAATAAGAGAATAAGTAAAATTCAGGAATCCTTTTTCGTGGACGATATCAAATCAAGAATAAAACTTCCCATAAATGAAAATACATGTAGTATTAAAAAATTGCAACCAATTTCTATTTATCAGAATGTTAAATTCTACTTTAAGGTCCGACAATACATCTACTCTGTTAATGGTGTGAATGTTCTACGAGAAGACCACCATTCTGTGGCCAAGAGAATCATTGAGTGTGGGAGGGACTACATCAACATGTGTGTCATGTCCCACAAACGTGACATCAACGATAAATGATCTGGTCTTGGCAATGGAGACAGAAAACTGATGCATTTCTGTTTGAAGGATTCAAGCAGGTAGCACTACATGTATATTCCACAAAAATGGTGGCAATCAAAGAAAGATGCGACAGATTCTTTACCAAGGATGGATCAGATGCACTACTTCATTATCTATACCATGAACAATGACAGAGGACTTGAAGACTACTTCATGTAGTTTATATTAATGGAGCCCCAAAGCTCACTTAACTGAAACAGAACCCTGAATATGATGAAATACGAGTGACACTACATAATTAATAGTTAATGAAAGACCAAATATGATCAAGCAATTGGCAAATGCATGATCAAAAGAGGACACTTTTTGTACACATACATCAAAGTTCTTTTCAAATATTGTTGTGAAAAATAAAGTACATGCATGAAATGTATCGTAAAAATCTTAAAAAATCTCCTCCAGAACCACTGGGCCAGAAAAGCTGAAACTTATATGGAGGCTTCCTGGGGTAGTGTAGATTCTAAATTGTTCAAATCATGAACCCCTGGGGGTAGAGTGGGGCCATGATGGAGAATCAAAGTTTTACATTGAAATTTAATGAAAAAAATCTTTAAAAATCTTCTCCAGAACCACTGGGCCAGAAAAGCTGGAGTGGTGTAGATTCTAAATTGTTCAAATCATGACCCCTAGGTATGAGTGGGGCCACAATAAGTATTACAAGGGGAAAATCTGGTAAAGAACAGCAGGGTCAAAGTTACTCAGCTGAGCGCTGTGGTCCATGGACCTCTTGTTTTTGTGTTTGCTTGTTTAAAAAATTTCTGAGAGGGATTTTTTTTAAATTGCCCTCCCCCCCCCCAACAAGTGGTTTGATGAACAAGTATTCTAAACATTCAGTTTCTACAAACATCACCCAACCACGTGAACTGAAAATGAATACAGATTGATGTCCAATGTCTTTTTGTGCACTGGCCTTTACATGCTGAACTTGTAACACAATGAACTGGTGAGTTTTGGGATTTATTCAGATTTAACATATTATTAATTGATATAAAGTTTTAGTCCACCCTTAAACAATCAGAAGTATTTTTGTAGTGGTTCTCCCAGCGTATTTTCCATCTGACTGACATTTAAGTCCACCATTTGATGATCAGAAGTATTTCTGTAGTGGTTCTCCCAGTGTTTTCTCCATCTGACTGATGACGGACTGACACATCTTCTCCACTTCTTCCTCTTCATCTGAAAATAAAACAAATTTGTAAATGGAAACTGGACAGTAATTAATTAATTCATTCCAATAAATAAACAGACAATTTAAAAGTAAAAAAAATAAATTTTAATTGAAAATACATCCAACTACAGTTGAACTTTGGTATCTCGAACACGGATATCTCAAATACCATGGATATGTTGAAGTGATTGGGAAGTCTTAACCACATATTTCTTCAGTATTTTATCCTTGATATCTTGAACCCTCGGATATCTCAAAGTTTTTCTCGGTCCCATCGAGTTCAAGATAACAACGTTTGACTGTAAAACTCTGCTAGCAGGATGTTTTAATTCATGAGGTCTAATTTTCACGGAATGCCTAAAGTTTAAAACACTGTGGAACATAAAGATGTAAAAAAGGTCTCGATAGGAAAAATGTAGATAAAATATCAATATTCTTGAATGTTGTATAGTCCTGAGTAAGGTTCACCCATAAAATAAAAATAATTGACCCCCCCCCTTCCCCAAAATATGATACCCAGTAAGCTTTGTGCCAAGTATGAACGACAACAATCTCTGCTACATAAATTGTAACCTGGACAAGAATTTTACACTTGATCAATTTGACCTTGACTTTGTCTAAATCAGCTTTTCTGTGGGTCAAGATACACCCTTTGATCGTGACCTTTGTGTCATGTGTGAGCTTCTAATGCCTCTTTAGACATAAGTGGAATAGAGAGACTTACAGATGGATAAATTAACTTAAATGTGGAATTTCTATTTAACTCCCTTTCCAAACTTTGTTGGTTGGGGTTATAAAACCTGTAAATTTTGAGATTGTTTAATTACTTACCCTCCATGAGTTCTGCTAGGAATGGGATGGTTTCTGGTAGGAGAGGCATGTAATCCTCAGACAGTTTCTTGTGGAACTCATCCACCGCAATCAGCGCTGCATATCTAACCTGTAAACAGAAATAATTTGTTGGGATGCTCTATGAAGTACATAAACTAAATTCTAAAATAATTAGAAAAATCTACTCTATAAGAGGTCAATCCTGCTGTTCAAAAACTTTGCAACTTGAAATACAGCATCCAAATTTCTACTTTTGCAATTTTTTCCTATATCGTTAAATGTGTTATACATGTACTTGATAATTGTGACAAAAATATTTTAAAATTCATTTTTTTCCCTGCAAATTGACCCAACTGAAGAATTTTATAAACAATAGACAGCTGTGAGTTCACATCCTAGGGTTTATGTACCAGTAATTAAAAAAAATAGTCCGAAGAAATAAGACATTTTATTTGTGTGAGTTACCTCGGATGAGGAGTGCCGAGTCTTGAGCAGTATTTGATAGTTAAGAGTTTTCCAGAGTGAATCATCCTGGGTTGCTGCACCAAATTGTACAAGACACGGAACAAGATGCTCACTCACTCTCTCTTTGGATAAAGGTTCATTGTCAACATTTTCCAGCTAAAAGATAAGTATCTTACTGATAGACAAAGAAGACTAAAACTTAATCTAGAATTTAATGAAAAATAACGTTGACATGTGTTTGTATAGTGAAGTTTTGTTTAAATCATGGTAATCATTTAAGGATAAATAGGAAATTTTAAAATTGTATAAATATTTACTCAAAAGTGAAAAATTGTCATGAAATGCACATAATTATATTGTAAACATACATGATTTTTAACTTCTGCAAAATTTTGATAATTATTTTTGCTAACCTGGTCAACTAGAGGTTGAAGTAAAGTATCAAATCTCTCTTTGGTGACAAAGCCCTCGGTGTCATACAGGAAACACTTGTACAGGCAGTCACAGATATAAACCAGTAACTTATGGGCCTTGTATTTACCCAGCTTACTCGAATCAAAGAAGTCCTCACCTGTAAAGGGCAGAGAACTCTACAGTTATGAAAGGGAGAGAACTCTACAGAGGTAAATGGGATACAACTCTAAAGAGAAACAACCATTGTTCTTGTCATAAACACAAAAATCTGAGAAAGTGACATTTAATAAAATAAGAGTACTAATTGTTATTAAATTTTTTGAAATACTGACCTGTCATTTCTTTGTTGTTGTCTTTTAAAATTTGTGCCGCATGAACAATAATGTGACCAGCAAATATAGTAAAAAGACTCTGCATCTTCCCAGCCAGCCTGAAATGTTAATATTACAAATATAAAGATCTGTACCCCTTTCCTTCTCTTAAATCATTACAGATGTAAATGTATGAAGTCCAATGAACACAGGGCCTAATTATTATTACAAATCTTCTTGGACTTAAATTTTCACAAACCTGTCAGCCATTTTATAGAAGACCAGATTTCTGTGCTTCAATTCTTCCTCTCTTGTGGCCCAATCAAACATCTGAAGTAACAAAATTAAATCAACTTGATTTAGGAACTCAAACAAATTATGCTTATATCTATATCATTTATTTGGTATCATATATCATCATACATAAAACAAATATACATAAATATACATAATCATTTGAAAGATGATATTTGGGAATCCATAAATTTTAAATAGATTTATAAATAAATATTCAGGAAACCATATTTTAGATAGTGACTATTTGATACCAGGATAACCCATTAAAGCTGGAGAGCTTATTTCCAATGGGGTCCTACCCTAAATAAGATGAAAATACAATGTTTCATCATTAAAGCACTATAACAATTTTTGGCACTATAATCTTAGCACTGCGTTGCTTACACGTTAAATTTAATTTAAGTATGACAACATATAGGATCAATAAAATAATAAAATATGTTTTATAAGTTAATGCTGAAACATATCACTTTCATGTTCTAAAATGCCATTTTGTAAGATAAAACTCTTAACTTGTTTCTTAAAAGTAATCTTTCCTTTAGTACATTTAATAGAAGCTGGTAAAAAATTCCAGTCCTTAATGCCATTATAGTAAAAAGTATCAGCTTGACATGCTTTCACATGAGGAATAAAAAAATCTTCATTAGTGGATGCTCTAGTGTTTCGTGAAGACACAGCTGACCTTAAAGTAAAATTTTCGCTTAGATAGGATGGTGCACAACCATGATATATGTTATACACATGGTTTAATCTGAGTTGTCTTACCCGGTCTTCTATATTTAAATAATTTAATGTACTAAGCACTTTGTAGTTTATGGAATGTAAAGGAGTTAAATTCAGAATAAATCTTACCATTTTGTTTTGACATACTTGTAATTTCTTTTTCAAACTCTTTGACAAACCTGCATACCATGCACAACAAGCATAATCTAAATGACATTGTATAAGAGCAGAACATAATAACATTTTACTTCTTATATCCAAAAAACGCGCTTGTCTGTATAAAAAACGCAACCTGTTGTTGACTTTTTGTACAATGGACTCAACAATAAATTCACCACTCAAAAATTGATCAACAAAAACTCCTAAATATTTAACTTTTTCCATAGAATGTATTGTATGTCCATTACACTCAATGTGAAAATCTTGGACACTTGAAAGCTTCTTTCTTGATCCAAATAAAATACATTCAGTCTTTCCAAGGTGTAGAGATAACTTATTATCTACTAGCCAATTTGAACATTGTTTTAAAACAGTACTAAGTCTTTCTGAAATAAAATCTACATTTTTATGAGAAAATAAGATTGCGCTATCATCAGCATATAAAATAAGTTTGCAGTCAGGATCAATACTGGAAGCCATATCATTGACATAGATTAAAAATAGTAGAGGGCCTAAAATACTGCCTTGCGGTACACCACATTTTACTGTACCTGGGTCAGACATAATATTTTCTAATTGTACAAACTGTTTTCTATTTGATAGGTAAGATTTGAACCAATCAGTATTTCTTATTCCAATAGCATTAAGTTTTTTGCATAAAATTTCATGATCTACAGTATCAAAAGCCTTTTGAAGGTCCAACATGACCATACCTGTAAATAGACCCTTTGATGTATTTCCTTTTATAAAATCATACAAATGTATTAAACAAGTTTCAGTTGAAAAATGTCCTCTAAAACCAGACTGAAAATCATATAAAATTTTATATTGGTCTAAAAATTTAACAAGTTGTATATGAACCGCCTTCTCTAAAATCTTAGAAACAATACTCAAAATACTGACAGGTCTATAATTTCCAACATCAAGTGAGCTACCTTTTTTATACAGAGGTTTGATTCTAGCTATTTTCATATCATTGGGAACAATACCAGAAGAGATAGAAAGATTTATTATATATGTAATAGGTATTTTCAAAAAGTTTGCTCCATCTCTAACAAATCTAGCTGGGATGTCATCCAGACCTGTACTTTTGTTGGGATTGAGTTTTAAAAGTTCTTTATAAATAAAATCCTCATTAACAGTTTTAAGTATAAAATTACAATTTTCGACTTTTTTCTTCTGATAAAATGCTTCATATAAATCAAGTGAAAGCAATTAGATCTCGGCCCACCTTGTAAAACATGGGCCTGAATGTGGCCTCTGACAGTTTCATCACCGTGGTAACAATGGCATCTATCACAGAATCTTCTATATCCTCAACTTCTCCCTGAAATAAAACAGAAATATTTACCACTACACCCTCACACTCAATACAGAGATGCATGTATTCAGTATATTTACATTAGTGCTAATTTTTCTCACAAGATTTCCGTGTAGTAAATAAAAGGTTTTCTTGTCATGATCTACCACCAATAAGCAAGTCTATGATTCTTTTCCTCAGTGACAGATATATGATTTACTTGTTAACAGTGACATATAAAACACCATACAAAAGAAAACTGGTTTACGGTAAACCCAGAACTTTGATGGTATGAGACAAAGTTAGATAGTCATTACTTGATTCTTTAACAGGAGGCAATTGTATTTAAAATTACGTTTTGTAATAATACATGTATATTCAGAAAGGTTAGATAATATGTCTGTACATCAAGACAGTTGAGATAATAATTACCTGGTACTGTGCCTGTACATCCAGACAGGAGTGATAAAAAATACCTGGTACTGTGCCTGTACATCCAGACAGGTGAGATAATAATTACCTGGTAGTGTGCTTGTACATCCAGTCAGGAGAGATAATAATTACCTGGCACTGTGCTTGTACATCAAGACAGATGAGATAATAATTACCTGGTACTGTGCCTGCACATCCAGACAGGTGAGATAATAATTACCTGAGTACTGTGCCTGTACATCCAGACAGGTGAGATAATAATTACCTGGTACTGTGCCCGCACATCCAGACAGGAGAGATAACAATTACCTGGTACTGTGCCTGTACATCCAGACAGGTGAGATAATAATTACCTGGTACTGTGCCTGTACATTCAGACAGGTGAGATAATAATTACCTGGTACTGTGCTTGTACATCCAGACAGGTGAGATAATAATTACCTGGTACTGTGCTTGTACATCCAGACAGGTGAGATAATAATTACCTGGTACTGTGCCTGTACATTCAGACAGGTGAGATAATAATTACCTGGTACTGTGCCTGTACATCCAGACAGGTGAGATAATAATTACCTGGTGCTGTGCCTGCACATCCAGATAGGTAAGATAATAATTACCTGGTACTGTGCCTGTACATCCAGACAAGTGAGATAAAAGCCTTGTAGTTGCACTAGGTGACTGTTTAGGTCCTCCTTTTTTATGTTACTGACATGGTCTGTTAGCATAACCATCATTGACTGGATTCCTCTCTGTTGTAAAATAGAATTAGCCATTAATTGTTGTGCTACATACAAGGATTTACATTATAAACAGGTGTATATATCTTTTCATGAATTGACAATTTTCCTTTCAATGTTTGACTTAATAATGATTTCTGCTGCTGACTTACAGGATTGAGAGTTAGAAGTGTGTCATAGCAGTCAGGTAAAATCCCGAGGAGTACCCGGGGAGGCAGAGTGGTTGCCATGGTGGTCCTGAAAAGATTCCAATTGAAGAATTTAAACATTCCTATTTGATAATTCTGAAAAGAAAGATTAAAATCTAAGTTTTTGTGGAAACTACCGGTATTCATTCTGAGATACATGCATTTAGGAAATTAGTCAGGCATCCAATTGGCAGACAAAGGGGAATGAACTACATGTACAATATATAGCATCGAGTCTTTTGTCATGTTGAAGACAACAAGGGTTAGTTAAGCTTCTCTGACTTAAGCATCAACATTTGAAGATTTTCAAAGACCATCAGGGGAGAGGCGATTTAATTAAAAGGAAAGCATTTCCTCTATGGAAAAATACTACATATTGGTGGTTTATTTTCTCTCAATTTTAAAATACATTGGAGGTACAAATAATTATTACATGCACATGTACAGTTGAACTTTGTTATCTCAAACACTGACATCTTGAATACCACGGATATCTCAAAATCAGCTGGAAGTCCCAACTATAATTTCTTTAATGTATTTTAACCTCAGTATCTCAGATACTCAGATATACTTAGTTTTTTTCTTGGTCCCATTGAGTTTGAGATAATGAGGTTTTACTGTACTTGTATTATATACCTGATGGCTTTGAGTTTCTGTTGTATGGTGGCTTTCTGTAACACTTCTGTCTGGTCTCCAGATAGGGAACAGATCTACCAATCAAAAGGCTTCCTTTAACTTTCTCCACTACTTTACAGGTTTATCATGTAAATTTAGTCATCTTTGCAAATTTTGTGTTTTTTTTCAATGAGGGTGTATTCAACAAATATCATTTAAGAATAAAACTGGAAGGCGACCTTTTACAAGTGATTATAAATGACTGGTGACCAAATGATTACCTGTGTAACAATATCTTGTAGATAAGGACTGAGAAACAAACACAAGTTCTCCATCACTCTCAAAACAGCTGTTATAATACTCAAAAGGAAAAGCTCATTCCTGCCCAAAGAGAAAATAAAAGTTGATAAAAACTAAAAAAAAAAAAAAAAAAAAAAAATGAAATTTCATGAATTAATTTTCAATGGTTAGAGGACTGCTTTTACAATCCAGTGAAAAGTAGTTACACAAACAACTTGTTGTCCATTCATATAATAAACAATATTATTTCCCCTAATTTTCGATATGAAATTGGATCACAAACAATTATCTTCTAAATCTTACCCCTCCAGGAGTTGCTTGTCTTTGAGACAGGAGATAATTTTTGGCATGAATGTTGACAGATGAGCGATGACATGAGCCTTTAGAGTACTACAGACCTCCGAGACACACAACAGGGCACTTGCCTGTAGAGACTGGTTCACTGCCTCAGAACAGAAAATCTCAACAGCCATGTTCAGTACCTGTAAAAGATTACCTAGGTATGTCAAAAGAGGCAGGGACATGAAGTGTTGTATCTGCTGATTGTGATCTTAACTGGAATAACATTATCAGAGAATGAGACCTCCACTTCAAGCATGTCATACAGACAAAGAAAAATGCTACCAAAGTTAAGCTAAAAAGTATATTTTTATCCTGTTTTTAGAAATTTTACTTGCATTGAACATTGACCCCCCCTCCCCCCCCCCCCACCACCACCACCCACCAAGGATGGTCCTACACAGTAACCTGAGGCTGTATATAGTTACCTTTATAAATATCTGAGGATGGTCAGCTCCTATCCTTCTACACAGTAACTTGAGGCTGTATAGAGCTGTTTGTTTAGTGGTCATCTCTGTTTTTTCTGCTACACAAACTTTTAAAAGCTTGTCCACAATCCCCAGTAAACTCATCTCCTACAATAAATCACTCTATAACTGAATTTACTTTATTTAACAACCACAATCATGAGCACTCTTTTGTATGACTGGGAAATATTCCTGTGAAATCCCAGAACAAGCTGTACAATCAAAAGGTTATGTCTGACATGTGGTTTCAATAGACCACACCTTCCTTACCTGGGAGTGTTCTTTCTGTAGCAGGAAGTTGTTGAGGAGTTCCATAGACTTCCTCTGGATGTTGGAGATAGAGTGATCCATCAGTTCCTTTATCACCCTCAGTAACATTTTCTCTGGTAGTAAACCAACCACCTATAAAACAAAGATGACAAAGTCTGGCATTCCAAATAATTCTACACCATTGCTATTGTGAATATAATGTGATAACTGTTGCCTGTTTCTTTTGTCACCAGATTTTTTATGATAAATCTTTTAACTGGAATGAGTAACTATGTTCATTCTCACACATAAAACACCAACGAAAGCCCCAGTGACCTAGAAACACTTATCATATGAACTACATATATTTAATGGAACTCCAATAATTCAAAGTCAAAGTCTCCAGGTTTCCAGTAAGAACTAATAAAATCTTAGGAGTCTAAATATAATTTGCTTAATATGAATCATGCATTATTTTTTGTGAAAGAGCCATACAATTCTAAATTGAGAAGACAAACTATTATATTTTGGAGCACATCAACTTATAAACAATCAATAATCACAGAAAACCCAGACAAAGTCATCTTAACTTATATTTTGGTTAAACAATCTCAGCCCCCAAAATGTGATGCTGACACTGAAGGTATTACATAAGCTTCCTCAACTTTGTTGAGTTCAATTAAAAAGTCATGAAATGATTGAATTCTGGCTTTAAAACATTGCAGATGACTTTAACTACTTAAATTTTAAAAAAAGAAGGAAAGTTGCAGCCTGACCTTGTCAAGAAGGTCATACATCTTGTGGGTCAGGGCTCGGTAGAACTTGGCCAGAGTCTGGTCTTCTAACTTCAGCTCCATTAAACTACAGATGTAGGTCAGGATAGTCTGGACCAGGTGATGGAAGCCTGAGGTTATCTGATTCTCTTCACAGGTTGACAACTGAAACACAATGAAAAAAAAGCTCTAATTAGCAGGAAACAGTTGAAAGATTACCTATGATCCTCCACATTAGACGCGGGAAGTCTGCAGTGGTCTGGCTATTGTAGAGGACAAAATCTAAACACTGGTAATCAAAGATAATAGCTTACCTAAATCAATGTACTGTAGACATACATTTACTTTTTCCTGCGTGGGATTAAATTACGCTATGTATACAGTCACAAATTTTCACAAATGCAGTCACAGTGTACTTAAAGTACATCTAAGACCCAAGAAATCTGCATAATTTTCTAACCATGGATGAAATAGAAATAGTGAATCCGCAGAATTATGACCCCATGGAAAAAAAAGCATCCTTACAGTATTTTATAAGAAAGGCAAATAATTCTCAAATATAAGATGCATGAGCTAATTTTAATCATCTCCATGTACATATAATATTTTCTGGAAAATACAGCATCTGAAGCAAAATTTAAAGTATGATTTCCTAAATGCATCATCTTCACAAAATTGGTCTAATGGTTCTTAGAAATGGATCTGCACCAAAAATTTAAAGCAAAAGGGTTATACATATATTGATCAATCATCTAAAGAAATCAGATCCGATTCAGTCTTGCGACTATGGTAAATGTTTGTCAATATGGAGTAGAAAATATGGAAAAGTTTTAATGTGAAACATCATTACATGAGAATGTAATATAGAGATTTTTTGAAACTTGAAAATATGAATGTACTCGTTTGACATGAACAGTAATGACAATGATTACCTGCTGAACAAGAGTAGGGCTGACACACCAAGACAACAGAAGCTTGACTGTCCGGAATTTGAAATGCCTCAGTTGTTTGGCTGTGTGGGTCTCCACTTGGAATATGCCAACTTTTTCCAGTGAATGTTTTCCAGATTTTCTTCTTTTGGTTGTCTCTGATAGTAGAATGAAAAAACATAATCCCATATTCACTCCCAATTTAGTACCGAAGGGGCTTAGAAACTTGAAAAATAGGTGCACTGATCATATCTAGCTTAATTATAATGATCTAAAACAGATTCTTTTTTTTTATTTAATGAGTAAAGTTTCCCAATTATAAAAATATATATATATTCAAAAAAATATTTGTAAAGACAAAGCTTAAGATGCCCTTTGTTGTCAGTTTGAAAATGACAGGGTTATGCTTCAAGAAGCATGGGACATTTATTTATTAATGTTTTTACACAAAAAAAATTCCCTTCTCAATTGGTTCTTTTGATTGTTTAAGTGCACAATGTGACCTCTACAAGTATATTTCAAGTCTTCACTTTTTTTCTGAATTACTTTCAGTTTGATCACACATTGAGCAAGAACTTCTTGTATCTTTGTTGTATTACGCAGAACATATCCATAAAAAAATTTCATAAACTGGGCCATGAGCAATGCCTTTAAATACTCTCTCTTCAAAGACCTCCAGTTAAAGATATTTTTACCTGTGGGTTTGTCAACTGGCAGTTCTGATATGTAGGATATCATGGCTGCTATGGAGTTGATTTGCGTTGTCATGGAGAACTGCGACAACAAATTCAAGTCAAACTGCATCTCAGAATCTTCTTCCTGTTAGAGTAAATTTTTGCTTATTGACCATTCATAACTACTATCAGATAATCATTTTTTGTGCAGTGCAGTGTATATTTTGTGAAATAAGACTCAAAATGGCACATCTTAAATTCTGAATATGAACTGTGAAGTTATCTTGCTACCTTATCTTGGAGCCTTTTATACTGAATCAGTCCTTGAATTTTTTAAATTTTATTTTGCATTTAAGTTTTTGCAATCCTCAAATTGAAGTAAAAACATGCAAAAGTTAAACTATTTAGAAAATAATCAGCTATCCATGTATAATATTTAATACCATACATTTCAGGTTTGACACTGAACTGTTGACTTACTTCTAGTTTTTCTGTTGTTGGTCGTGTTATTTCATGTGTCATCTTGAGAAGGACACACCTCCACAAGAAGTTGTCTCCTCCCACAATTTCTACCAGTCTGGTAAAAAGCATCAGGCGGCGATGCTCGGGAATGTGAGAGTATGCATCCACAAACACCTGCATCACCATAGTGATGACCTCCTCCTTACTCTGACCTCCAGTGTGGGCCTCCCGTTTTTCACATGCCTGGTAACACAAGAATATTACACTGACAAATTCTAATACTAAGAAGTTCAGATAATCAAAATCTGTACTGTCATAGCTTCTGTTCATTCCACAGAAAAATCAGGTTAAATGGAGAGACAATGAATCCAAGCATTAAGAATGCCAGTATATGCATTAAGTTTAACATCAAGAATGGTTAATTTTACCGTTACTAAGGCTGGCACCACTGTCTCCAAGATACGGTTGATGACATGGAAACTGTACTGGTCATCATGACGCATGATGTTTGCTCCCATGAAGGTGAACACTGACATCACCTTGTGCAGAAGATCCTCCTGAAAATAGAAATAAATTGAATTCACAGAAAATACCAGAAGAATTTACTTATCAATATGACAATTTTATTGAGTTGATTTTTCATGTGATCATGCAGCACAAATTAGAGTGGCTGTGAACATACTGGGAATATTTTGGAGGCGGTGGTCAGAAGCAGCAGGGCTTTATGATGGGTCTGGGGATTACTAGATGTCCTAATGGCATTCACAATCAGATCAATGTTAAATGATGTCTCCTTCTTCAAATCTGTACAAGATAGAAAATTTATCAGTAAGACTGAGAATCCACAGCAGAATAATACAATACAATGAATCTGTAGAGAAGGGTCACCTGGTGTCAATTCATGGTTAATGGCTTTTTGACACACTTCATCGACCACAGACAACAGAAGCTGTTTGATGTATTCAGCTGATGAATGCTGGTCTGAATTTAACACCCTACAAAATCAGATAAATTCATATCATAAAGTGGTATCCATCAACTATACCAAAAATGTAATCAATCATGATCTTCTAGTAAAGATCTCTTAATTTCCTCATAAATATGTACAATATACATGTACTTACTCTGAAAGTATCTTAAAAAGTGTCGGCAGCAGTTGGAGATAGTTGCTGATTTTCTTTTTGTTTTGAATTGTCTCCAGGACAACTACCACTCGTTGCCATGGCAATTGTTCAAAAATATCTTCCTCTTCTTTATGAACATCAGACTTCCTACAATGAAAAACAATTTCAAATTTTACTTGCTGCTTCATAACAGGAAAATCAGAATCTATATTTTTTAATAGATGTACATATAATTTCATGAAAGTATCCAGTGCATGATACCTATGTTTTTTACGTTCCTTGACGGTGGAAGCAGAAGGAGATGTTTGAAGACATTTATTCAGCTCCTCTACAACATGGCTGCTCTCCAGGGTCAACTGTTAACAGATGATAAAGAATTAAACTTTATTGTATTAAACTGGACAATACTCAAAAAACTGTTAACCAACTACATGTACATGCATTATAGTCAACAAACTTTTATTCATGAATTGCCAAAAAAAAAAAAAAAAAAAAAAAAAAAAAAAAAAAAAAAAAAACCAGTCTGAAACAAAAACAAGAGGCCCATGGGCCTTGAATTGCTCTTCTGATAAACTGTACAACCTATCACTTCTATTTGAAGCCTCGAAGTATCCTGTATATTTACATAAACCCTTGAAATTCCAATTCACACTCTGAGAACCCAAGATGATTCTAAGCCAATTAGTACCTGAGAGTTGGTCATGGTGACCTACTTATCACTTGTCATTCTCTGAGGACCCATCAACTAAGTTTGATGATTCTAAGCAAATTAATACCTAAAATATTTTTTAAAATTATAATCATAAAATTTTATAAGTAGGTCAAAGTGACCTACTTTTCAATTGTTTTACTCCAAGGACCCAAGATGCATCAACTGACAAAGTTTGATGATTCTAAGCCAATTAGTACCTGTAATATTTAATTAAAGCCATAAATTTTCAAAAGTAGGTCACGGTGACCTACTTTTTAGTCGATCTACTCCGAAGACCCATGACGCATCAACTGACAAAGTCTGATGATTCTAAGCCAATTAGTACCCGAAATATTTAATTAAAGCCATAAATTTTCAAAAATAGGTCACGGTGACCTACTTTTTAGTTGATCTACTCTGAAGACCCAAGATGCATCAACTGACAAAGTTTGATGATTCTAAGCCAATTAGTACCCGAAATATTTAATTATCGCCATAAATTTTCAAAAGTAGGTCACTGTGACCTACTTTTTAGTCGACCTACTTCGAAGACCCAAGATGCATCAACTGACAAAGTTTGATGATTCTAAGCCAATTAGTACCCGAAATATTTAATTAACACCATAAATTTTCAAAAGTAGGTCACTGTGACCTACTTTTTAGTCGACCTACTCCGAAGACCCAAGATGCATCAACTGACAAAGTTTGATGATTCTAAGCCAATTAGTACCCGAAATATTTAATTATCGCCATAAATTTTCAAAAGTAGGTCACTGTGACCTACTTTTTAGTCGACCTACTCCGAAGACCCAAGATGCATCAACTGACAAAGTTTGATGATTCTAAGCCAATTAGTATCCGAAATATTTAATTAACACCATAAATTTTCAAAAGTAGGTCACTGTGACCTACTTTTTAGTCGACCTACTCCGAAGACCCAAGATGCATCAACTGACAAAGTTTGATGATTCTAAGCCAATTAGTACCTGAAATATTTAATTATAGTCATATAAATTGAAAAGTAGGTCACGGTGACCTACTTTTCAGTTGACCTTTTTTGAGGGCCCAAGATGCATCAACTTACAAAGTTTTATGATCAGAGGACTTAAAATGTCCAAATTATGCCTCTAAAACGCTTTGAAATCGAATGCCTGCAAAGTTCAAAAAGTAGGTCACTGTGACCTACTTTTTAAATAAATATGTTTTATGGCCCCAAAATGCATCATCTTACAAGATTTAATGATTTTAAGCCTCCCTGTATTCGAATTAATGACCTTAATTGTTTTAAAAAAGATTAGCCATAAAATTCAAAAAGTAGGTCAAGGTGACCTACTTTTTAGTTGACGTACTTTGAGGACCCAAGATGCATCAACTGACAAAGTTTGATGATCATAGGCCTTAAATTGTTCAAAATATGCCTCTAAATCATTTTGAAAAAGAATGGCCGCAAAATTTAAAAAGTAGGTCACTGTGACCTACTTTTGAGTCAACATGATATGAGGTCCTTAGATGCACCAACTGACAAGATTTGATGATCCTAGTCCTTATAGTAAGCAAAATATCAACATTTTAATAAAATGTAATTTTTGGTCAACTTTGAAGTGACCTTGAGACCACGCCCTTTGCCCCAGGGTAAATCCCCGTGCAAATTTTAATCTACAACATATCCTCATCCTTTTGTGTAAGTTTGGTGATAATCTGCCCAGTGGTTCTTGAGAAGAAGATTTTTTAGCAACCAGTACTTTTGTTTCTATTTTCCTAATTATCTCCCCTTGTTAAAGGGTCACAACCCCAGTTTTAGTATAAAAGGGAGCCCTTGGGCCAAGGATACCCTGTGACAAATTTGACAATAATTGGCCAAGGGGTTCTTGAGTTATGGCCCATATTCTAAAAAGTTTACGCACACCGCACAAATGGCCATAGCATTAGCTCTTTGAGCCTTTGGCTCAGAAGAGCTAATAATATGATCCAAGATTGAGATTTTCTGTATCATTAACCTTTTGAAGTCTTATTTATGTTTAACAACCATAAATATCCACAAATTGGAGTTGCTTGCCAATCTCAGATATTTCCCTTATGTACATGTAAATAAAAGTTGGTTTACAGGACTGGTACATGTTAAGCAATTGAATTGATTGTTCACTGTAAATGAAAAGTGTTTAATTGCTTCAAGAATTTTGTTCGTCTCCCTGAATGTTCCTTATTTCTTTATAATATATCTGTGTGACTTACAAGTTAGATTTAAGTCTGTGTGACTTACAAAATAGATTTAAGTCTGTGTGAGTTACATGTTATTAGTTACAAGTCTAAGACTTACAAATTTAGTTTTTTATAAACTTAAATGTTTGATTAACATAATCCGCCTGTGAGACATAGCTCTAATTCTGTGTGTCTTACTTTATTAAGTTTCAAAGACTTATGCATTTCAATGTTTGTCTGATCACTTTGAATGTGGCTTTTTAACCTATATGTTTCATTTAAGCCTGTGCAAGTTACATGTGTGTGATTTACATGTGTGTGATTTACATGTACATGTGTGAGACTTACAACATTTATGATTTGGGTGTTTGGGAGCCTACAGCTTTATTTCTGCATGACTTACATGATTGTGACTTACAACATGTATGATATAGGTATCTGGAGGCTTACAGCTTTATTTCTGCATGACTTACATGTTTCAGTGTCTTTTTGATCACTTTGACTGCACCTGGACCCGGGGCTTTCACCCAGACATCAAACAAACAGGACAGAATCTGCTGCTGTGTTCCTGATGTCAGTTTGTTATAAAATTCTCCTGTCAACTGTCAAGGACCAAGAGAAATATTCATTTGATAGTTTGATTTTGAGTAAATTGAAACAAACTTGTTCTGACAACATTCTGCAGTTACAGAAATTAAACCTCTCACATAAGGAAAAAGTTTTTTGAGTTCTGAAATATTACAGTTATACACTGTACATTACACATGTCCATTGATTGTGGCCTATAAAGCAGAAATATCATTTTGTAAGACCTGTGAGATCATATGTTCCTGTATCCCCTTGACTGGGCTAGCTAACATTTCCAGGACTAAGTTCAGAGCCTCAGGGTGTGAGTCCAATGTGGAACAGGTGTCAGGGGTGAACCTCTCAATCAGTAACCCACAGGAGTCTACAGCCAGCGCTGGCGGACTGTCACCATGACAGATGGATAACAGTGACCTCAAGGTCGGTAGAAGGTCACAAAGAAAACTCTACAACACAGTGAGAATAATCAGTATAAAATGTTACCATCATAAAGGAGTACTGAGTGTAACATTAGATTTCCAGAGAGACAAGGAAAACAATCAAAATTAAACACTCAAGTGATGAACAGATATAGTGATACTGAGCACCAAGTTTCATTTATATTCTGATGGAATGTAGATAGGAGTATGATGTACATGTACATCTCCAGAAATTCATCACTAAAGTTGTACCAAAATAAACTAGTATTAATTGTAACGGGGACCGTTACAGATGTTCCCCAAACGCTCCCCAACTCCCTTTTGGTGTCATTTCCTGTAAGCTTCATTAAATAAGGCAATTAAGTATATTGGTCATTTAACGCATTTCACGCGCGCGCACGTGCATGCATGCATGTGCAGGTTGACCATGTAATTCCGTCTATACTATAAATGCATCTTTATATTCTCAGTATCAAAACATTTCATCAAAAAATATATAAGTTCCGGCTATATCAAGTATATTGGTCATCTTAGCATTGCGCGCACGCGCACCTGTATGCATGTTCATAATGACCATGCCATTTTGTCTACACTTATAATATGTCTGTTCATTCTTAGTATCAAAGCTTTTCATCAAAAAATATAAAAGTTATGGCTATATTAAGTATATTGGTCATTAAACACATTGCACGCGCGCGCATGTGCATGATGGCCACATCATCTTGTCTACACTTTTAATATATCTGTATATTCTTAATATCAAAGCTTTTCATCAAAAAATATAAAAAGTACGGCTATATTAAGTAAATTGGTCATTTAACACATTGCACGCGCGCGCATGCATATGCATGCATGTGCATGATGGTCATGTCGTCTTGTCTACACTTTAAATACATATAAATGTTTTGAGTATCAAAGCATTTCATCAAAAAGTTTCAAAATTACAACTATATCAAGTAAATTGGTCATTTTACGCTTTGCGCGTGCGCGCACGTGCATGCATGTGCATGTTGACCATGTCATCTTGTTCACACTTTTAATATATCCTTATATTCTGAGTATCAAAGCATTTTATCAAAAAATATAAAAGTTACAGCTATATCAAGTATATTTGTCATTTTACGCATTGCACGCGCACGCACATGCATGCGCGTGCGCGCAAAATGACCTTCGTTCCGCAAATCTACATAACATGCCTAGTAACCCTAAAAAGGTTTCACCTCAATCGGATGTGTAGTTTCGGAGATCACTCACGGACAAAAAAGTACCCAGGAAGAAAAATAATAATAATAATAATAACTAGTTGTAATTGTAACGGGGACCGTTACAGATGTTCCCCAAACGCTCCCCAACACCCTTTTGGTGTCTTATTTCCTGTAAGCTTCATTAAATAAGGCAATGAAGTATATTGATTGTTTTTTGCATTTCACGCGTGCGCACGTGCATGCATGTGCAGGATGACCATGTCATCTCATCTATACTATAAATGCATCTTTATATTCTCAGTATCAAAACGTTTCATCAAAAAATAAATAAGTCCGGCTATATCAAGTATATTGGTCATCTTAGCATTGCAAGCATGCGCACCTGCATGCATGTTCATAATGACCATGCCATTTTGTCTATACTTATAATATGTCTGTTTATTCTTAGTATCAAAGCTTTTCATAAAAAAATATAAAAGTTATGGCTATATTAAGTATATTGGTCATTTAACACATTGCACGCGAGCACATGTGCATTCATGAGCATGATGTCCACATCATCTTGTCTACACTTTTAATATATCTGTACATTCTTAATATCAAAGCTTTTCATAAAAAAATATAAAAATTACGGCTATATTAAGTATATTGGTCATTTAACACATTGCACGCGCGCGCACGTGCATGCATATGCATGCATGTGCATGATGACCATGTCATCTTGTCTACACTTTTAATATATATAAATATTTTGAGTATCAAAGCATTTCATCAAAAAGTATAAAAGTTACGAGTATATCAAGTATATTTGTCATTTTACGCTTTGCGCGTGCGCACACGTGCATGCATGTGCATGTTGACCATGTCATCTTGTTTACACTTTTAATACATCCTTATATTCTGAGTATCAAAGCATTTCATCAAAAAATATATAAGTTACAGCTATATCAAGTATATTGGTCATTTTACGCATTGCACGTGCACGCACGTGCATGCACGTGCGCGCAAAATGACCTTGATTCCGCATATCTACATAACATGCCTATTAACCCTAAAAAGGTTTCACCTCAATCGGATGAGTAGTTGACGAGATCATTCACGGACAAAAAAGTACCCAGGAAGAAGAAGAAGAAGAAAAATAATAATAACTAGAAACTCATTGTGAGCAATGAGAGGTCTTCCGTCCGATTCTGAATAAAAGAAAACTCAAGCTGAAAAAGTGATAAAAGAAATTCAGACACTCTGAAGATTTAACCCTGGTCGTCAGCCTGAAAATCCAACGTGCTTACCATTAACCATTCCCTTTTTTGCATCACTACCTGTCACGACCGGAAATAACGGCGATACAAGATTTTCTCACGATTCAAATCAACTGATGACTGACTATCAGTCCTGAAAATTTTAGACTTCAGTCGTTTACTGTTGCCGAGCAATAGACCGGAATTTGACGTTTTATTTCCGGTGGAATCTAACATATTTCAAAACAGCGAAAGAGATGCAGTAAAGTGATGCAAGTTTTAGTTTAAAAAAAAAGAAATGAGCGCATCCTCTGATCTAAAAAATAAAACAGGTTTTGTAATCCTCAGAAATAGTTCTATCATTTAATAGTTGCACATTTAAGATAAAAGGTTACGCTCTATATTAAATATCGAAAAATAGCTTTAAAAGTTAGCTGTTTTGTAGGAATTTTCAGGATACAAGGAAAATGACGCATTTCATGACGTCTTATTGCATAGGCTAGCCAGAAAATTACGTCATTTTTGATAGATACGCAGTCATCAAAAGTCCAAATAATATTTAACGCATTGTCAACTAAAACCAAGCAGTTTCAGTTTTTCTGAAATTCACAGGGCCAAAAAAGGCCCGAAGTGAACCTTGTTCTTTAATATTGAAACCACTACACTAGCGCAATGTACCAGCCATCATTGATGTTTACCTTGCACTCATTCCCTGAAGTAACGAGTGTCAGGCAGGTTAATTTTGTTTTCTTATAGTGCGGAATTATAGGATGAAAACTAGCCAGCTAAATTTTGTGCAAGTGCTAGTAGATTTACATCGGATTTGTTACTTGAGTTTTAACAATAACTGATAGCAGAGAAAATAATCTGTTACTGATAAAAACTAAAAAAAAACTATTGTGTTTACTTCCTTTATTCTTTATGCATTCAACTTTCTATTCTATGCAATTCCAAATACAGACATGTCCATGTAGTCTTTTTCTGTACTTCTACACTACTGCATCAGACCATTTGTGAAAGGCGGGTCAAGATACATTATTTCGCGCCAAACGTCACGAGTAAATCTTGGCACCTTTTCTTTGAAATGTGTCTTCAATTGAATAAGTGTACGTGATAGCTTCAATGAAATTAAAAGAAAAAAATATGTTGCCATAGCCTGATTTTCGAGCCTAAGAATGTTTATTTATCACACTGTACATATAACATATCATAATATATGGGCAAGTAACATAAAGGCAGCGCTAAGTTTTCTTACACATTTTATTTTCCTCTTTACCCCCAAAGTGGACTATTCCAGTTAGTAACACATTAATGAAAAGACTTGAATGTTTTGCAACAAAACACGTCTCGCCATATGACGCTCAAGGAATCTGATACCTTTTATGTTCGGTAACTTGCATCTATAAAGGAATATAACCCTACTAAAATCAAAGAAAAATATTGAAAAACGTAAAAGTTGAAAAAAAATGAATTTTTTAATTCGCTTCCGTTAGCGACTGGAAGTACCCACGACGCACGAAAAGGCAAACCCGCACATCTAGAAGTCATGTTCTATGGTCTCCAACAATTCTCCAATTCATATCTTTAGCCGTTCTTTAGATCTCGCGAGGATAAAATTTCATTTCAAAATCAGAAAATGTCCATAACTTGGAACCGGAAGCGAATTTCTCCAAAATTCTTTCAAATGTAACAATGGCATTTTATAGCGCATTATCCCTGAAAGTTTGATGAAAAACCATTGAATAGTTCTCCAGATATTGCGTGCACAAGATTTGTCTAAAAAATCTATTTTTAAAATGTATTCCGGTAGACAATTTTAAAAACAAATTATATATTAAGCATTACAATAAGAGTCACTATTAACCCTATTAAAATCAAACAAAAATATTGAAAAACTAAAAAAATGAAAAAAAATGGACTTTTTAAATTCGCTTCCGGTAGCGACCGGAAGTATTCCCGACGCACGAAAAGGCAAACCCGCATATCTTAAAGTCATGTTCTATGCTCTCCAACAAGTCTCCAGTTCATATCTTTAGCCGTTCTTTAGATCTCGCGCGGATAAAATTTCATTTCAAAATCAGAAAAATGTCCATAACTTGGAACCGGAAGCGAATTTCTCCAAAATTCTTTCAAATGTAACAATGGCATCTTAAAGCGCATTATCCCTGAAAGTTTGATGAAAAACCACTGAATAGTTCTCGAGATATTGCGTGCACAAAATTTGTCTAAAAAATAAGAATAATAATAATAATAATAATAATAATAATAATAAGAAACAGTAGAATCACTATAAGGTCTTCCGTGAAGACGGAAGACCTTAATAACTAGAAACTCATTGCGAGCAATGAGAGGTCTTCCGTTAGATTCTGAAAATAAAAACGAAAATTCAAGCTGAAAAAGTGATAAAAGAAATTCAGACACTCTAGAGAATTAACCCTGGTCGTCAGCGTGAAAATCCAACGTGCTAACCATTAACCAGTCACTTTTTTGCACCACTTCCCGTCACAACCGGAAGAAACAGCGATACAAGATTTTCTCACGATTCAAATAAACTGATGACTGACTATTAGTCCTGAAAGTTTTAGACTTCAGTTGTTTACTGTTGCCGAGCAATATTGTGAGAACAAATTCTAATTTTGAGGACAGCAAAACACGCGACCGAAAGTGAATTTAAAAAAGTCTCTGACTTTTCTCTGGATATCTGCAGTATTTACAATGTATATCAAATCATTTCAAGTACTTTATCGATAATCAATATTTATGAGAAAGTTAAATATAAAAATAACGTAGTTTATCTCATAAAACCGGAAGTTGACGTTTTTGTTTCCGGTGGAATCTAACATATTTCAAAACAGCGAAAGAGATGAAATAATGTGATGCAAGTTTTGATTTAAAAAAGAAAAGATAAAATTTTGATTTCTTTGATCACTTCCCGTGACAAGCGGAAGTGACGACTGACGCGTTTAACCCAAATGGTTTCGCTTACTCCTCAAGGTCTATCACTCATAAAAGTTTGGTGTTTTAATCTTTCACATGTTTTTGAGATCTCGCTCAGACAACTCATTTTGAGGACAGGAAAACACGCGAGCGGAAGTGAATTTTTGAAAGATATTTGAGGTTACTCTAGACATTTGCAGTCTGAATGACATATTTAAAATTCATTTCAAATACTTTATCTAGAAAAAAAAATATTGATGGAAAAGTAAAATACTCAAATTATGTAGTTCTTCTCTTATAACCGGAAGTTGTCGTTTTTGTTTCCGGTGGGACCAACATCTTTCGAATCTGCGAAAAAGATGCAATAAAGTGATGCAATTTTTAATTAAAAAAAAAGAAGTTAAAATTTTCGATTTCTTTGATCACTTCCTGTGAAGGCCGGAAGTGACGGCTGACGCTCTGAACCCAAATGTTTTTGCCTATATCTTAAGCTCTGTTGCTCATATAAGTTTGGTGTCTTAATCTCTCACCGTTTCTGAGATCTTGCTCAGACAACTTTTCATTTTGAGGACAGGAAATCACGCGACCGGAAGTGAATTTTTCAAAGATATTTGACATCACTCTAGATATTTGCAGTCTAAATAACATATTTAAAATTCATTTCAAATACTTTATCTACAAAGGATATTAATGGGAAAGAAAAATACTCAAATTATGTAGTTTTTCTCTTATAACCGGAAGTTGACGTTTTTGTTTCCGGTGGGACCAACATATTTCGAAACTACAAAAGAGGTGCAATAATGTGATGTAAGTATTGATTTAAAAAAAGAAAGTTGAAATTTTACGATATCTTTGATCACTTCCGTAAACGACCGGAAGTGCCGACGACGAACGAAAATGCGATTCTGCAAATTTAGAAATCACGTTCTATGCTCTCCAATAAGTCTCCAGTTCATATCTTTAGCCATTCTTGAAAAAAAGGGGCGACAAAATCTCATTTTAAAATCAGGAAATTGCCCGTAACTTGGAACCAAAATGGAATTTTCCAAATTTTTCTTGTGATGAAACAAGTTCATACAATGACCAATTTTTTCTGAAAGTTTCACGGAGAACCAATGAATAGTTTTCGAGAAAACGCCTGCACAAAATTTGGTCAAAAAAAAAATAATAATAATAATAATAATAATAATAATAAGAAACAGTAGAATCACTATAAGGTCTTCCGTGAAAACGGAAGACCTTAATAAGAAACAGAGTAAAAACAATATGTTCCCCAACTTCGTTTGGGGAACATAATAACCTGAAGTTATACAGATGATCTATAAGAGTAGTACTTACTTTGTTGTTGTGTAATGCTGTGATCTGAAGTAGACTGTTCCTGACACAGTGTGGTGTATCTGAGTTCTGTATAATGTCCACAACAACACTGACCAGACTACTGTCCATCTTCTTACCGGAATGAGATCTCCTCCTATTCTTTCTTGGTTCATTGTCCATAACGGACCCCACAGCCTGGACAAAGAAAATCTAACACTCAGACAAATCCTTATAAAAAAGAATCTACTTGCGTATCAGTACATGTTCTTTTAAATCTCATGATAGAGTAACATTGATCAAATTCTTTATATGATGCATTTATATCTAATATTGAAATTGTACTTTATCAGGTATATTGTCTGAAGAGAAATGCTCTGTGCCTGTATAGTCTGTAAAGCTCACCTGTTTTAGATAGTCCTGGTCCGCATCAATCTCAACCTCACACTGCAGGATGTGGTTAACTAGTGGCGTGAATGCCCCACGACCAAGATTACTCTTGTCATTGAGAAGCTTCAAACATTCCATTGATGTCTGGCGAATTCCCACAAATGGACTGGTCAAGGCCAAAACCAGATCTACAATCACTGAAAAATAACAAGAGGAAACTTATTCAAACATGAATAAAAAATGTGTATATAAAGGGTGTTTATTTCATATCAATTCCATATCTATATCTATATATATATATATATATATATATATATATAAAGCACTAAAAATGACCAACGACACGAACAATAATAATTGTCAAAATTTGACAATTATTATTGTTCGTGTCGTTGGTCATTTTTAGTGCTTTATATAAATTTCCATCCGTGACCTTGTATCTACTTAGTAGATCCGACACTTCGGATATACAGTGTTGTTGTTTTTTAGTGCTTTTTATATATATATATATATATATATATATATATATATATATATATATATATATATATATATATATATATATATATATATATCCTTTCAATTCCCACCTGCATCTGCAATCTTGATATTTCCACTTTGCTGCAGAAGCTGTTTTCCAATCAGAAGAGCTTGAATCTGTAGACTGGTCTTAACCCCTGACCTTTCACTGAGGTCATTACAATGCTGTGTCCACAAAAGTCCAAGAAATTTCAGTTTGGCATTGCTGTCAGGTAGATGCTGGAAGTCAAACACAAGGTATAAATACACACAGCTAATTGCACTAGGTCTCTATTTTCAGTGTTTCTTTAGCTTACTTTATGTACTTGTATTATTATATGATCAGAATATTGTTTTAGTGCTGAGGAAAAAAGGCACTAGCTCTGCTGGTGATTGCTATGGTACCTGTAAGAACTAAGTGACCAGCTTCCTGTAAGCCTGTCTACAGGGGGAGTTACCTGTAAGTACTGAGTGACCAGCTTCCTGTAAGCCTGTCTACAGGGGGGGGGGGGGGGTTACCTGTAAGAACCGAGTGACCAACTTCCTGTAAGATTGTTTACAGGGGGGAGTTACCTGTAAGAACTGAGTGACCAGCTTCCTCTAAGCCTGTCTACAGGGGGGGGGGGGGAGGGGGGGTACCTGTAAGAACTGAGTGACCAACTTCCTGTAAGCTTGTCTACAGGGGGAGTTACCTGTAAGAACTGAGTGACCAGCTTCCTGTAAGAACTGAGTGACCAGCTTCCTGTAAGAACTGAGTGACCAGCGTCCTGTAAGCTTGTCTACAGGGGGAGTTACCTGTAAGAACTGAGTAACCAGCTTCCTGTAAGCTTGTCTACAGGGGGAGTTACTTGTAAGAACTGAGTGACCAGCTTCCTGTAAGCCTGTCTACAGGGGGAGTTACCTGTAAGAACTGAGTGACCAGCTTCCTGTAAGCCTGTCTACAGGGGGAGTTACTGGACAGAAGGAGGAGGTAATCAAACAGCCTCACAGACAAGGTCAGAGCTTCATCATCAAAGTCCCAAAACTCAGCATCTGTGGTAGAGTATAGGATATTTATCTTAAGACCTGTATGTTCAACTGTAAATTCAAAATCTAAATATATTAAGTATCTAATTATCTGCTGATAAACAAAAAAATGATAATTAACTAGGTCTAGTTTTTGGAACTCACCAATTTTGACTGAAGGAACCAATTTTATAAAGCTGAAAAGCAGATAAAGGCTTATGGAGTTTCCCTGTATCTGACTGGCCATAAGAGTTTGACAAGTGTCTGTTACCATGGTGATGACCTCCTCCCAGTCTATTCTTGGCTGACCTTGAGGTCGTAGCTGGTGAAGAAGTTTGAGCTGTTTACCACACCAGTGGATCTGGTTTTTCTGTTCAGACATCAGTGGGATGATTGAGTTGAGGAACAGTGCCAGATGACATTTATATCGAGCACTGTCATCCCCCTCCCGTAACTTGGTTAGAAAATCGTCACAGTCCGGCATCTTAATCACAGCAGCAGCTATCCATTCTGTCACCTCTACAGAGAGCTCGGCCAAATCCTCCGCTGACTGTTTCTTCTTGCCCGCTGCTTTCTTCTTCAACTTCTGAGCTATTGATTTGATCATGGTGTTACTTTTGGCAAGGACTGTGTCACACAGATCTTTCAGAAAGTCAAGGTCATCAGAAGTGCAGATCAGTAAGCGTGGAAATAGATGAAGAATGACTGAAGAATGATGTTTTGGTTCACAGCTACACAGAATCTGTAGGGCCTTCTTACCAATGGCTGACCAGGGCTGACATCTTAGGACAATATTACCTAGCAAGTGACATAGATGAGTGGTGTCACTTAACATGCTCCACAAGGACTGAAAGAGGAAAACATTCATCAATTTTTAGTTAACAAACTTTGGTGAAAGACTATATTACTTAGGAAATATGTGTATTTTTGTTTTCAATGCACAATTGAAATTAAGATTTTCTTAAAAATCAAACAATAATTTTTTACAGTAAATGAACACATATGTAGTTATATTGGCTTTCACTGACCTGTCCTGCTTCAAGAACTGCGTCCACAACTTCAAGTGAGTCATCAGCAAGTCTTGCTGATAACACCTCCGATACATACTCACAGTCACACTAAAAGTAACAAAAAACCTCTAAAGATCCTTTATACATTTTGCTTTTTTCTTGTGCTAGATTTAGTAAAAATAGCATTTCATATGCTTATTTCTTAAATATTCTGATGAGATCACAAACACAAATTTAAAAATTATTTACTCCCTTGGTGCATGTACATAAAGAACACCTAATTGTATATTGAGTACTTTCAGATAAACTCTGTGTTATAAAAGGTTCTTACAATTAAATACTTTTGTATACTGAGCATTCAATATTATTTCTTTACTATACAGAGTAATCTCCCTTACCTTGTCTGTGTTTTTCAGTAGATATTGTACAGCATTGACACGGACAGATGGTGTTCTATGATTAATGGACAGAGAGAGACTGCCTTCAATGTCTGACAGATGCTGGTGCCTCAGAGACAGTACGGAGAGGTTCAGGAAATCCTGGATCACCTTCTTTACTTTCTCATCCTCCTCTCCCTCTAATAAACTTTGTACAGCCCTGTCTAATGAGGCCGGATACCTGTTAAAAATCAACAATAAACTTTGTACAGCCCTGTCCAACGAGGCCGGGTACCTGTTAAAAATCAACAATAAACTTTGTACTGCCCTGTCAAACGAGGCCGGGTACCTGTTAAAAGTCAACAATAAACTTTGTACAGCCCTGTCAAACGAGGCCGGGTACCTGTTAAAAATCAACAATAAACTCTGTACAGCCCTGTCTAACGAGGCCGGGTACTTGTAAAAAAATCAACAATAAAATTTGTACTGCCCTGTCTAACCAGGTTGGGCACCTGTTAAAAATCATCAATAAACTCTGTACAACCCTGTTTAATGACAATTGGTACCTGTTAAAAATCAAGAATAAACTTTGTACAGCCCTGTCTAACGACACTGGGTACCTGTTAAAAATCAACAAATAACTTTGTACAGCCCGTCTAATGAGTCTGGGTACCTGTTAAAAATCACCACATGATTTGCTTTGTATCTATCTATACAATTACCTGGCCACCATGTGACTTGTTCCTTCATAATTACCTGGTCACCATGTGACTAGTTCCTTCATAATTACCTGGCCACCATGTGACTTGTTCCTTCATAATTACCTGGCCACCATGTGACTAGTTCCTTCATAATTACCTGGCCACCATGTATCTTGTGTCTTTGTAATTACCTGACCACTATGTGACATGCCTTCATAATTACCTGGCCACCATGTGACTTGTTCCTTCATAATTACCTGGCCACCATGTGACTTGTGCCTTCATAATTACCTAGCCACTATGTGACTTGTGTCTTTGTAATTACCTGTCCTCCAGAAGTTGCACAGTTTTTTTGTGTTTGTTGCTCAGATCCTCCACTCCTTCATCATCAATAATGTTATTTGCACAGAGAAGATAATTTTCCATGACTTCCCTGTGAAAAAAAAGAATTTTTGGGGGGTAGAATCTTATAACTGATTTTAACTTCCTCTGCATCTCCACACTTTTTAAATTCCTTTAAAATTTAACTGCTGTTTTGATTTATGAAAGCGATATAATAAAAATGTCAAAGGCTAGAGGAAATATTTTGGATTAACTGGGCTAGAAAGTCTCATCTTCACTCTATCATCCAGCCATCAAAATCTGAACTCAGGTCAGATACTTACTTTGTGAGTTGGTCTGCAACACTCTCACTTAGTGGCACACTAGATAGGAAGTCGTGGAGGATACTCAGATACTGGGGGGTGCTCCATATCGCCTCAGAGTCACTGCTCTCACTCGCACTCATGTCAGAGTCCTGTTGAACAGCCATAACAACAAGTCTCTCCAAAAAGGCAATGGTGAGTCCATCACAATATCCTTCAGATGTGAGAGTTTTGAGGCTCTCTATCAACCCTGGCTGTCGACAGATGTGTTTGAAAGATCTGAAGAAAATGTACAATAAATCCATAATTACACCATTTGTAATAAAATTGTAATTTTTTAATTTGGCATTCAAAATCAAGGAAAGCACATTTAATAGAGGCACAATGTACCAAAAACTCATTAAAAAGATCACTCATGTATTGCACATTGTAAATTACAAGTACAATTCTCAAAGTACCTTGCTGGAAGACTTTTAATCCTCTGGTGTTGGAAAATCAGTGCTGCACAAGTCATTGTTTCTTGTTCAAGTTTCAAGATTGACCTCTTCAAATAAAAATTGAAATATTGAAACAAATGTGCAATTAAATCAAATTTTATTCTTTTACCACGATTAATAAATAAAACATCAAATAAATGAATATTTAAATAACAGTAAATATACTAAGTCTGGTGACACCTTGAAGAGAGCAGATAGCAAGGATTTTAACAAGTCCTGTTGTAGACTGCTTTTGAAGACAAGCTGAGCTAGTATCATGTAGGTGGCAGCTCTATACTGTGTGACCTTTGACTTTAGACCCCGGCTAAGGTGGGGAAGCAGGGAAGACACCAGATTCTCCGTAGCACCACCAAACTCCAGCACCCCCACCACCGTGGACATGTAGAAGGAAAAGATAACTCTTAATTTGTCTTCTTCATCTCTCTTTAATGTCCCCTGTACAAGTATAAATAGTCTATTTAATGATGCACTCTGCTACAAAAGATTGTCTATGAATAATCTTATTACCTGCAAAACTGAAGAATTTACATGTACATGTACCTTAACTTATATACCACAAACAAGCAAAAATTCTCTTTATTATATCATGCATCATCATTTACTCAGTGCTAATAAATATGACAATGTGAAAAACTTTAAAAATTAATCAATTCAAGTCTAACCCTTCCATCAAAAATAAAGTGATAAATATAAATCACCTTGATTGTCTTGTAGATTTTATCACAGAGAAAGGAAAGGAATCCAATATTTGAATTACAGTGATTGATCAAAGTCTGTCTAGGTAGGTGAACACCAGATGTCTGGAGAGAAAGGAAAGAATTTAATGACAACATATTATGCACTTATTTTACAACATTACACCAAACTCTATGAGCCTTGAGCACTATACTCGATTATAGGGAATTTAGTAAACATCATTGATAGAGTTCACCTGAATAGGAAGTAACCAGTCCCAGTTTGTGGCTGTTCTGGATTTTAATTTCAGAAGCTGTACAGCTCGTATAAATATCTTGCTTTCATGAAACGGAAGGAGACAAACCATGAAGGCATCAATATTGTACACATCAATGTCAAACCTACAAAAAAATGTCAAAATCTTCATAATTATAAAAATAACAATCTCATGCAATCCAAATTTAGGACATTGCTATAAATTACACAAAATTGTTCACATGGTTTTTAAAGACAGTTTCAGACATTTCATCCTAATGAAAATGAAGAATACTTTCCAAAGGTAATCAGACAGGGGGATTTGTGGACCTAATCTTTCTGGATCCTTCCATATGTAATCTATATTCTGCCTTTAAATATTTCTTCATGAATGATTTTTTTATTCTATCAATATCTTTTATATATTCAACAACAGACAATACTATTAAAGAGATAATTCATTACTCCTTATTCATCAGCTTCATGTATATACCGGTAGATTAACTACACCAATGTTAAGCTATATACCGGTAGATTAACTACACCAATGTTAAGCTCTATACCGGTAGATTAACTACACCAATGTTAAGCTATATACCGGTAGATTAACTACACCAATGTTAAGCTATATACCGGTAGATTAACTACACCAATGTTAAGCTATATACCGGTAGATTAACTACACCAATGTTAAGCTATATACCGGTAGATTAACTACACCAATGTTAAGCTATATACTGGTAGATTAACTACACCAATGTTAAGCTATATACCGGTAGATTAACTACACCAATGTTAAGCTATATACCGGTAGATTAACTACACCAATGTTAAGCTATATACTGGTAGATTAACTACACCAATGTTAAGCTATATACCTGTAGATTAACCACTCCAATGCTTTCTGTGCTGGTTTAAGCAGACAATATGGAGACAACTTCTGAAGGAATGATTCAATTGTTTCATCTATTTGTGCATTGATTTCTGCTGTTTGAATGCTCCTCTGGAAAGACATAGTGGATTCCCCAAACAGAATCTCCTGAAACTCGTCAAACACTGAATCAATGGCCTGTAACTCTGCTATTCCATTTGTACCTGAATAAAAATACTTTTTTCGTGAAATGACTGTCCTTTTCACATAGTTTATAAATTGAATTCAAACCTCAGTCAATATGAAATATTGTGATTTGAATGCATTTTAAGTTTTGGGCAGCTGAACTTAGCTGCTTTATCTGTTCAGGAATTTTTTAAACTTTACTTGCAATAGTTACACAATCTGATTCCCATTCCTCTTTGTGTACTAACAATATGGTGGATATAGCCAAATTACTTAAAAATTTCTTCATATATTATACATAAATAATTATTTTGAAAACTCTATTAATTTTTGCACTTTATCCTAAATTTTGTTAGTACATATTCATAAATCTTCATTAATAATAACATGGATACACCTCAGGTCCCCCCCATATGTCATCAGAGTTGCCGCCCACGATAATACTATATCATATATGATAACAAATTGTCAAACCTATGGCAAACACAGCTTCTTTATCCAGTGCCGCTGCCTCTTTTGGGTCGAACAGGAGTGATTTTCTCCTTTTATCCTCGCCATATACAGCCCGAGTGTGAGGTACTGCTAACCTCTCTAACTGCTTCGCCAATGATGTCATGATTTCTGAAGGAGGTTTAAGGATATCTTACATATTCCAAGGCAAGAATTAAACACTTTATTTTCTGCTAGTCTAGCAATGCTAAAATATTTTCATATCTATGACCTTGTTAGTACACCATAACACACTTTGAGAAAAGCCACGAAAGACCAATGAACTGGTTTGGTCATAGTAAAAACTACTAATTTACAGTCGTAATAAAAACAACTAATTTACGTCACATTTACCTTTTTTCCCAAAAAGATCACCTCAGCACGTGTAAGTTCTCAGATCACATTCATGTTGGAAATAGTCGTCGCTCTATAAATGGGAGAATGATGACTGTCCAGGAATCCGTATAAAACTTAATTCTCTTATTGTAATTCCATTATTGTAATTCTAAATTGTGTTGATAATTTGAAAGTCTTTATGTTATTTTATACCAGTACTAATTTTAATGACTGTTGGAAATAATGGTAAAATTAACGAGAAAAAATTTCCCCAGGAATTGAAAATGTACAACTTGTTCATTAACCAATACGCCAGACAAGATGGCGGAAGATGGGGAAATCGACATCGAAGGGGACTTTGAATTTAAGTTAGAGTGAGTTAGAAACGAAATTTATAGGAACTTTACATTTTTCATGGAAAGTAGCAAAAAGTATATTCATTTTTAAAGACAGCTTCAAACGTTTGTCATGTTCATGCTGTGTAAATATTGAGTCAAATTATGGCTTTAGTCTGAGGATTTGGTCAATTTTGTTGTAGTGTATACAGTCCATATCTTAAGTTACAATAATAGTAAAATGCAAGGAAATCTTTTATTTTTTAAATTTTTTTGTTAGATTTAAATATGAGAATGATATTGATAGTTCATATGCAGTGTTCGTGAAAAATATTTTAACACTGGACATTAAGATCGACAGTCTGATGTATTTCACAAAAATGAATTTTTGCCTGATCAAAACTTTTTTTCAACAAGGCCATATATTTTTATTAGTTGTTTTCCAAGGCTTTCAAACCACAGGCACCTGACAAATGGATGGTGTACCCCCCCCCCCCCCCCACATACACACACACTTCTGAGAATTTTTATTAGACAAAAAAGGTCCTCAAGTACTACTTTGTTTAGCGTAATGAAAAATCCAGAGATAGCTAATCAGAACTCCTTGGATATTTTCCAAAATCTACAATCAATACCTCCTGTTTCGCTGCAAGTGAAGGGAAATTAGGTAAATAAACTCAAATTTAGGACAAATAAATTATTAATTTGTATTAGACACAAAAGGTAATCAAGTACTACTTTGTTTAGCATAATGAAAAATCCAGAGATAGCTAATCAGAATTCCTTGGATGTTTTCCACAACCTACAATCAACACCTCCTGTTTTGCTGCCAGTGAAGGGAAATTAGGTAAATAAACTTGAATTTAGGACAAATAAATCATTTTGATCGGGTGTGGATGTAAGAGGCTTGTAAAACAACATCTCCCTGAACTACATTTTGCATAAATTTCATTGATTATGTTGTAGTAACGTAGAAAATTTCTCCCGAAGCAGGGCACCTTATGTGTTTTTCAAGATTTTGATAGTATTTTTATATACGGTATAGGTCCAATCTCTAAAACTTAATGAAAGCGGAAAATGATATCAGATATTGAAATATAAGAATGATAGACTAGGAAATCATGTATTTTTGATAAGTTTTTGTGTCTAATAAAAATTCTCAGAAGCGGGGGTGGGGGTGGGTGGGGTGGGGTGGGGTAACACTATCCATTCGTCAGGTGACTGTGTTTCAAATATTTCAACTGAGTCAGTTGCATCATGTGTGTCATAGATTGGTGACCTATTACAATTGTTATGTACTGTGTTTATTTTCGTAAACAGGAGAAACAAAAATAATAAACTAGAGTGTTCCATGGAACACATGTGTTGCCTGCTCTTTAGAATCATTAAAGGTGTAAATAAATCTAAGCATATTCAGCTATCTCAAAGCTAAAATCAGTAATGAAATTGAAATTATTGGAAATAATTATGAACCAACACTCCATCAGATTCTTGACTAGAGAAAGAGAAAAAAATTCAGTCTGTCTTTACTGCAGTGGTCAGTCTACAACTTTATTTGAGGTGCGATCCATTTTGGTATATCGATCCCAATGTATTTTCATACTAGTATTTAAAATTTCAGTTTGAATGGTAACTATATATTATACAATTTTCAAAGAACTTGTACATATTTTATCATAAAGACATTTATAAATATTTTTCTATTATGTTTGCTTTACTCTATGCTATGTCTGTGTTTCGGAATCTTCAAATCAATTTGATGTATTAATTATTCTTGATATGAGCAATTTATATAATGTACTAGTATATTGTATCTGGTATGATTTATATGTCTGTCAAGTGATTAACCTGGTATCATAATTTCTGTTAGACTTTCCAATCCATTTTCCTATCTGTGTTTTAGCGACACTCGGAGATGAATATAGCTGTCTCTCCCTGATCTGTACCATGCATGAATTTATATATGAGCAAGAATAAAAGAAAATGTCAAATAACTTACTGGCTGAAAGATAGAGCAGACATGTTCAAATATGAAGTTGTTCATTTGGATCTAATTCAGTTTAACAAAATTGAAAGTAAAACCTAATTTACTTCAAAAGAGTCAGTTTTCAATTGCTTACTGGGACTGGGTTCTTGGACCTGGATGCAAGGGATATTAAGCCCTGTTTATGTGTAATTTATTTTGGAATTGATTTTATTAAACTAAAATTGGCTAACCTGATCTTTTGTTTTTATGCCATCTATCATAATTTTCTGCTTCTAGTTTTATGTTTGTCTCAATTTTTAGCTCACCTCAACGAAGTTGGGGGAGCTTATGTAATACCCTCGGCGTTGTTGGGGGGTGTCGGCGTCGGCGTCCCAAGTTAAGGTTTTTGGAGCAGTTTTCTTTTCAAGTACTTCTATGGCCTATATTAGTCAGAGATGCATGGAGGATGCTTCTAGTGTGTTTCATTGTACCAGTCAAGGTTTCAGATGCTGCAATTTCAGCTAAAGAATGACCAGGTTAATGTTTTTGGAGCAGGTTAAAGTTTTTGGAGCAGATCTCATTTCCAAGTAACTATAAGCCCTATATTGACTAAACTTGCATGGATGATACATCTAAGGATGCACACTACTGGACTTGCTTCGGATGCTGGATTTGACTTACATTTTCCGGATGAGTGACCAGGTTAAAGTTTTTGGAGCAGATGTCATTTCCAAGTAACTATAAATCCTATATTGACCAAACTTGCATGGATGATACATCTAAGGATTCACACTACTGGACTTGCTTCGGATGCTGGATCTGACCTACATTTTCCGGATGAGTAACCAGGTTAAAGTTTTTGGACCAGGTCTCATTTCCAAGTAACTATAAGGCCTATCTGAACCAAACATGCATGGATGATGCATCAAGGGACGAACAATCTCAAAACTTGCTTCAGATGCTGGATTTGACTTACATTTTCTGGATGAGTGACTAGTTTCAAGTTTTCAGATAAGTCTATTCCCAAGTAACTGCAAGCCCTATCAGACCAAAATTGCATAAATGTTGCATCTAGGGATGCACACTCCTAGATTATTAGCCTTACTTAAAGACAACATTCGTTGAGGTAATCTCTGATTACCTATGTTTATGATTGTTTTGATATTTATTAACATTTAAAAAAAAAAAGAAATCTTTGAAAGTGTGTTCTAACATTTTATCTATTATACCCTACATGTGAATAGTCAGACAAGGGACATGACTGTAATGTATTGTCTTTTAATAAGGGTGAAACATTGGAATTAATCTCTCTTGCAGTGTGGACAATGAGATCTATGATGAGCTTCCTTCCAAAAGTGCCAACTTGCTGCCAGAATACACAAATCCTGCTTGGATGCTGGAGCAGGTTGGTAGATAAAATTTGTGCACTTGTTTTGTTTGATAGATTGTTAGCTCACCTGAACCAAGGGTTCAAGTGAGCTTTTCTGATCACCTACAGTGTATTGTCTGTCGTTTGTCCGTCTGTCCATCTAGCCTTCTGTCTGTTAACTTTTCGCATTTTCAACTTCTTCTCTAGAACCAATTGACCAGTTTCAACCAAATGTACAATAAAGCATTCTTAGGGAAAGATTCAAGTTTGTTAAGATAAAGGGCCATGTCCTTTTTTTGAATGGGAGATAATCAAGAAAAAATAGGGTGGGTATCTTACAAAATCTCCTTTTCAAGAACCCCTTGGCCAGAAATGATGAAACTAAATTGAAATCAAATTATGCCCCCCCCCCCCCCCCCCCACACACACACACACAGTAGGGGGAGGGGCCACAATAGGTGATCAAAGTTTGACATAGAAAGAGGGAAAAAGAGTCTTTAAAAATCTTCTTCTCAAGAACAGCAAAAGTATGATGTCATATTTATGTAGTAGCATGTCAGGAAATGTCAAATAAATTTTATTCAAATCACCCCCTCCCCTCCCTTCCGCTGGAAGTAGGGTGGAGCCACAATAGGAAATCATTTTTACATATGAATATATAAGAAAAAAATCAGCTAATGAAGATCAGCAGGACTTAAGTGACTCTGGTGAGCTTTGTGGCCTTTTGTTTATATCCCAAGTACATGTAATTGGGTTGAGGTGCATGTAGAACTCATCCAGCCACATGAAGAAAACACAAGTTTTTGGGGAGTTTTAACTCAGTACACTTAATAAGAAGAAATTAATAAAAAAAATTCCTTGAACACATTAACAAATGGACCTTCAACCAACAGTTAAAGTCATGAATTGGCCTTAAAGATCTTACTGTAGTTGGATCTGACATAACAAACCACTTTGAAATGACAATGCCACAGTTTGAATAAATTATTGTTTCTTTAAATTTATACTTTTAAGTCATCATAAACAGTTTGCAGTTGATACAGTTAGAAGTGCAATATTTATTGTTTATATTTCAGGGCTGGACAATGGACACTTTTGATGAGAAATCAAAAGCTACAATTGAAAAAATGCTGCAAGAGGAGCAGTATCCTTTTCTTTTCTTCAAGTTGTCAGTCCTATACTGATCAACATGTATTGTCAAGTCAAATGCTGACTGCATGTATTGTCAGTCACATATTGATTCAACATGCATTGTTAGTCAAACACTGACACTAGTTCAGCATTTTTTGTTAGTCACATTGATTCAACATACTTTGTCAGTCACATACTGACTCAGCATGTACTGAATAAAAAAAATAATGTCTGCCAATTTCCCTTTGTCATTGTTATAAAGTACATGATAGTAGAATTCCATGACTTTTACCTAAGTTATTATACCAGTGGAAAGGGAAGTACACGTAGAGTGAAGAATCCAAGGCTTCTGTCTAAAAAGTCACACATACAGAAACAACCATGGACAGAGGAAGAAAAAGTCATGTTTGAAAAATATCTGGTACAGAGATGTTTTTGATGTTTTTATTGTAAACACGTTCTAAATGTACTATACACAATGTTAAGATTTAAGACAATGGTTTTGTTTATATTGTAACTGACTAAAAGTAAATAGTGTAATATGACAGAATATATTTTTTAGCTATGTTGATCAGATCTCTGTTTTATTAATTAATTGAAGGAAGTATTTGGTCGAAGCTGGTCGAAAATTGCAGAGCATATGCCAAGCAGGACAGGTCTGCAGGTGAAGAACTACGCCCAACAGTACTTCAAACAGAAAGTAAGATTTGTATTATGTCACGTATAACTGTCATATACATGTAAAATGTCAAATACAGATGTTCTGAAGCATTTATGCCTTCTTTGTTGATGGGTTTAACCATTAAATCTGTTGCATAATTTGTGCTTTCGGATATGATGATATTTTTATGTAGTCAGATATGATGATAATTTATTTAGTCAGATATGATGATATTTTTATTTAGTCAGATATGATGATATTTTTATTTAGTCGGATATGATGATAATTTATTTAGTCAGATATGATGATATTTTTATTTAGTCAGATATGATGATATTTTTATTTAGTCAGATATGATGATAATTTATTTAGTCAGATATGATGATATTTTTATTTAGTCAGATATGATGATATTTTTATTTAGTTGGATATGATGATAATTTATTTAGTCAGATATGATGATATTTTTATTTAGTCAGATATGATGATATTTTTATTTAGTCAGATATGATGATATTTTTATTTTAGGCAAAAGAAGATAACAGGAGCAGTGAAACTGATGTCAGTAAACCATCTGTGCCTTCAACAGCCAAGAAGAAGGATGACCTAATTAAAGATGTCCTCTCTTTAGTCACGACTGCACAAACGACAGTTACCACGGTATCCAAGCAAAAAAATTCCTCTCCAGGCAAAAACAGCATGTTAGGAAAAATGTTAATAAATCATGGAAATAAGAACAAAAATAAAAACAAACTAGAGGTTCAGCTTTTTCAAAAAATGCAAAGGGCAAAAACTGAATCACAAGGTCAAAAGAGGGAAGCAATAAAGAAGGAAGGCATGTCAAAATCAGGGAGTAAAGCATCATGTGCCAAGCAAAGAAAGATAGAGAAATACTCTGAAACACAAGGCCAAGTACAAATAACTGTCAAAACTGTTCCTCAAACAACTGTCTCACAGCCAGAGACCTCGACTGCAAACCCCACCACAGCATCTCCAATGGTAAGTTTACTGGTCACAGCTACCTCTAGTGGGGGCATTGGTCAGCTAAGTCCATCTCTAGAGTCTCGCCTTCAGCAGTCGACAGGTGTCATAGAAAATCTGGATGGATTCTGTGCAGTGGCAGACATTGTGAAAGAGGATGAGGATGAAGATGGAGAGATAGACATAGAAAATGAGGACGAAGAGAATCCAATCCTCAAATCTCGATCAGCTTCCCCTAATTCTGTGTATGAACAACTGATCCGAGCAGCCAATCTCAACAAACCATCAGAAAAAGGAAAGTACAAAGAGAAAAGTGAAGAAAAGTCCCCAGATGATGAACCAAATCAAATTAATGCTGTCTCTGTCCTTATTAATGAGAAAGAAGAGGAAAATATTCTTGACACTAAGAGTGAAGTACCAGAATTTTCTAAGCCAAAATCAAGTGAGTACCCCTGCTGAAGATCTAGCTCCCCCAAAATATAAAATATATGAATAAACCATTCTGTTTAAGTAAGATCAAATCTTGAAAATCATTCAAAGGTTTTTTTCTAAGGTATAGTTTAATTATTATTATTTTTTGACAGACAATTGCATTGTTTTATGGAATGGAGAGTACCTTGATTTGCCTGTACCTACTCAGGAAGCTCAGATTAACCTAGATACCATCACAGAACAGGAGCACCGAATTCATGCAGACTTTTTTGATGGACGACCCTCTAAAACCCCAGAACGTTATCTAAGAATTAGAAATTACATTTTAGAAACATGGTAAATATTCCATATGATGAAGGAAAATGAAAAAAGTTTTTCCTGTATATTAAGTAATTTCTGTGATTCACAGCTTTTTTGAGACACTCTGCCCATGTTTCTTCCTGCACTAATTGCAAGAAATTGAGCAACTGCAGAGATTTTGTTTGGTAGCTAAATGGTCAATATATATACCTATATATTTTTCTGATGTACAAGAGAATTTGCTAAAGTGTGATTCCATTTAAGAAACACAAATCTCTTTAAAAGAAAAAAAAATTTCAGGGCAAAATGTAAGCCAGGATACCTAAACAAAACCTGTGTGCGACCTGGATTGAAGAATTGTGGTGATGTCAACTGCATTGGGAGAATTCATGCTTTCTTGGAGTGTACAGGAGCAATTAATTTTGGATGTGGTAAGAGCTGCTTTACATCTGTAATTAGTGGGACAACAAGTGTGCAGTATTGTTACATTGTATACTACTGAGGAAAATGATTAAAGATAAAAATGCTGAATACTTTTGTCATGACTTCAAAAGATTTACTTTATTAAGCTTTATTATTTTTATGTACCTATCATTATTTAGAACAAGCTTGTTACAATCAGACATCAAAAGTAGGACCCCAGGTATCAAGAGATAGAACCAGAGAAGCCATAGTCAAAGTCAACTTCTCTAAACTAGAGTCCATGGTAGGTAGACAATACCTGTCCAGGGGAATGGAATGAAAATTTTATATGAAGTATCACTTGTTATGTATTACATGTATATAGCAATAGAATCATGTAAATATAAAAAGTGATGTTTATTTGATAATATATCAAATCAAACTAGTTGAGCAGAATGATGTTGATTTGTTTGTAGAGAACAAGGAAGAGAAGAATAAGAAATGAATATGGGCAGTGGGTTGATGAAAAGGAATTACAGGGCAAAACTATACAGGTAATTAGATTACACATGGGTGGATGAAAAAGAATTATGATGCATAACTATATAGGAAATGGGTACGGCCAATACATATAGATGAATGAATTCAGAAACTGCAAGGCAAAGCTACACAGATAATGAGTAAGGGTAGACACTTGCTACAACCAAAAAACTGTAATTCTGAAAACAATGAACTTAAATTTTGGATTTTAGCACCAAGATAAAGTTACAACCAAGGAGAGCCCAGGGAAGATTTCAAGATCACCCAAAGTCCAAAGTCTTGACCCTTTCAAACTTATACCTTGTCAGAACTTTTCTCAAGAGAGACCAGTAAGTCTTTATTTTCACAATTAGTTGATTAGATATTGCAAAAATAATGATACAGTATTAAATAAGAATGTCACTTCTATTTCAGGCCCCGTTCTATGTTGAAATACACAATACAGCTTTAGTGATAATGGATATTCATGCTCATATATCAAAGACTGAGGTCATAGGAATGTTAGGAGGTTGTTACCATGACGATGACCAGCATTTAGAGATTACCATGGCGATTCCGTGTAACAGTATCAGTACTGGACTTCAGTGTGAGATGGATCCAGGTCAGTAACAGAAATCAATCCAGCAATGATTATAAGCCACAGCTTATATTATGGCTGTTTTCCGTTTATTAAATGTTTCCGTTTGAGCAAAATGCTATTACATTTTTAGTGTGACAGTTTTTTTTTCTCCTAAAATATAATGCTAAGGTGCAAAGTTCCACTTCTAGTTCTTAAAATCAGTCCCATTTTAAGTTATAAAATGCTGCTTGTAGCACTTCAGATTTATTTACTTTCTTAAGTTTTCATGTAAATCTGATATTTTTTACTGTAGTCTTTTTTGAAATTATCAAACCTCTCATTATTAAATTTTGATTTATTTAATATCTGAATATTTCTTTTTATTACTTTTGCGAGCATTGATTTGTTTTTCTGCAGTGTCTCAGACATTTGCCTGTGAGGAGATTAGTAACAACAGAATGAATGTTGTCGGCTGGTACCACTCCCATCCGACCTTTAACCCCAACCCCTCAATAAGGGACATTGAGACTCAGCTCAAATTTCAGGTGAGATTTATATGATCACGTTAACTCCATGTTCTTCAGAAAGGGTCATTGATGTTCAAGTTAAGACAGTGGACTTTTCAACAGAAAATATAATACAAATAACAAATAATTGCATTCAGAATTAGTTACAATTACTGTCTTCACATAATTTTACTAAAACATAAAGAGTGATTTATTGTGAATGTGAAAATGTGGGGGAGAGAGAGTAAAACTTAAATAAGAAGCATTCCTGCAGATGGTACTTTTTTCATTGCTTGTTAAATGTTTTATGGATGTACTCCTAATATAAATTGTGCTTATTAGCATTGCAAATTTCCTTTGATCCATGTTTGAATAAAGTAAGAGAAAGTACAGACTTGTCATTGGTTTGTTTTTTACATACACACATATATGTAACCATTAATATATAGGCTTCATATTAAATGATTTTATAATGATTTATAAGTGCTGTATTTAGCATCTTTTCCCTAGAATTACATCATTACTGACATCACAGGTTTAGCCTGAATTTCCTCTGCTTTTATTTAATTGATGCACAATCAAATATTGTTTCTAGAAGAATCTATTCATCTTATTCTAAACTGAGTATGCATGAACCTAAAGTGACAGATCTGATTCCAATTGAATTGAATTCAAACTGAGCTATTTATAAGAGACTTGACAATTTTCTCAATTTTTAGTGCAGATTGTTTTGGTGCAAACAAAGAAAAAAAACGACAATGTATTTTTAAGTTGTTTGAAGTTTTGTGTGCTCTTTATTTTAACATATTACATTATCTGGGGTCCTACATGTATATGATTTAGTGTTTTATTTGGTGATGGGTATTATGTATGCTGCTTTATACAGGACAAATGTTACACAATATTGTATGAAGTTTCCAGTTTGTGTCCATGATTGTTCCCACAGCAATGATAATTTTCAGTGTTCCATCCTCATATGGCTTTGGAGCTATAACTGACTTTTTCTTTTATTACAGGAATATTTTGCTCAGGACGGTTTTTCCTTTCTTGGTGTAATAGTCAGTCCGTACAATAGGACCTCTTTGGGCCTTTGTTCAGAGTTCCAGTGTCTGACAATCAGCTCTGAAGTCAGCCCTGTAGACAAGTGCAGTAAGTTTGCCTCTGATAAAACTTGGAAGTAAATAATTGGGTAGTCATTAAAATTGAAAGAAAAAAATTATCTTGTTTACAAGCTAAACTGTCTTATAAGAAATTTTTTTTTTGTTTTTTAGCTTAAGTTAAACAGAAATGTTTTGTATCAAATAGGAAGTTAATGTGAAGGAAATTCCTATATCCCTACCATGATAATCAGTCTACCTCATTGTACTAACATACATTCCACTTTATTATTCTACAGATATACCATTCTCGTTTAACTATGGAATGATTATGCAGCCCTTGCAGTCAGAGTTAGTGATACGTAGTATTAAAACATTGGCTGAGAAGTATAGCCAGGATAGACACCGTGTGGAGCTCTTACAGCCGTATCTCGGGGATATGTCATGTCTCGACAAGGTATAATTAATTGTCTAAATAATACCAGTCCGAAATTCCAAGTAAGTAAAACCCAGTCAGAAATACCCAGTCAATAATACCCAGTCAGATATACCCAGTCAATAATATCCAGTCAATAATACCCAGTCAGTAATACCGAGTTATAAATACCCAGACAATAATATCCAGTCAGTAATACCCAGTCAATAATACCCAGTCAGTAATACCCAGTTAGCAATACCCAGTCAATAATACCCAGTCAGTAATACCAGTCACCATTCAATAATGCCCAGTCAATAATATCCAGTTAGTAATACCCAGTCAGTAATACCCAGTCAATAATACCCAGTCAAATATCCAGTCAGTAATACCCAGTCAATAATACCCTGTCAGTAATACCCAGTCAATAATTATACAATTAATCACCCTTCATGAGGTCAACATGGTGAAATGATGACCCGAGACCTGACCCACGAGGTGACCTGACCTGACCGAGGCCAACGGCCGAGGTCAGGTCAGGTCATCGAGTGGGTCAGGTCAAGGGGCATCATTTCACCATGCTGACCTCATGAAGGGTGATCAATTGTTTTATTATACCGACAATAATAATAATAATTATCAATTTTAACACATGTAACATTTTATTTCAACAGAATAATGCATATTGTGAAATAACGATTTAAGCAGCAATAACTTTGAATTTGAAAGTTCAATTGAAAAGTGAAAAAACACATCTTAGAATCATTAAATGATTTACAGAGTCCAATAAAGAACTTTACAGTATCTTTACTTTTGTTGTTCTTTTCCCATGTAATAGTGAATGTGCACTTGACCGACATTTCTGAATAATGGGCCACAAGAGTTTTGAGGCGTTTGGTCAACTTTAACATTCTCCTTTTCTTCTGGAACATTTGCAAACAAATCTGAACCATTTTCATCAGGTAGGATTTCAGATAGCAATTGTTTGGTACTGACAGTCTCAAATTCACAGTTATTCAAATTTAAGAGCTGACTTTCTGAAGTACTGGTACAAGAATTTGTTGGAACAACTGGGTTTTCTAGCCCTAGCTTTGGTGATGGGTAAACCACAGATGACAATACATCAAACATTTCTTGCTTTTTTGTTTCACTTACACATCTTGAATAGCTTTTTATGGAAGTTTCGGACTTATGTCCACTGACAGACATGATGTGTCGAGCTTCTATCCCACCCTGATCCAAACTAGTAATACACGTGGCACGTATGCAGTGGTTTGTATACAGAGTTGAGAGTTCGGCTTTCATAGATATTGTTTTCATAAAATTTCCCAAAGTATTATGACCTACTGGAGAATTGTCATACCAAACAGCATCTGAATCGTTGATATGGCGCTTCGGTCTCTGCCAAAAACTTTCACAATTTGGATTCAGCTTTCCGAGGTATTTCTCCAGACTAGACACAGGACACTTCTCATCACCTACATGGACATATGAAAAATTGTAAATCAGTTGAATTCATGAAAATTGTCACATAGACAAATATATGATCTAAAATTAGTAAATGCTGAAGTTTACATTAATTTTATTTTACATGTATTTCAAGAAGTATATTACCTGGTATTTCATATATTCTTGCTGAAGATGCATCATGGTCATTCACATCACTTCCTCTGTGATTTTTGGTTTCATACTGAGCGACATTAAGATAATACCTCCTTCCTTGGCCATCTGTCCTCAAAACAAAATCAGTTTTCTTCATGCTTCTCAGATTTTCCCTTCCTCTTCTACATGTGTAGAACATCACATCAAGAAAAACTTTATATTGCAATCCCTGTGGACTGTTTCCGTTTAGGACGCCGCTACTATACAATGTTGCCATGTCAGCATCGCTGATAATTTCCTTGTGTTGAGTGGTTCCCTTTCCAGTTCGTTTGATGTTTGTTAAAACTGCCTTGAACATTTCGTTTGATAGACGAAAATCTGGGTCATTAATAATGTCATAGTTAATTTTTTGGAAAAATCTCTGCAAACCAAACCTGATGCTGATCATGGAAGATCTACTATACAATTCACCATCTTTTCTTCGGAGTTCAGCGTAAAAGTTGATCAGAATTTCAGCAATTTCGCCTTTTGTTTTTTGCAGTATTTTGTCCACAATCAGTCCTTTTTCAGTGCAGTATGTAATGAACACTCGTTTCGCCGAGTCTACACATTGTTTTGTGTTGGAACTATCGCGGTTTTCTAGGATTGCTTGTAGTTCCTCACTTGTCAGAGTTGCAAACCTCGATTCGCCAGCCATCGTTTTTGTAAACAGACGACAAAATAACTCATGAGAAGTGACGTAGTACACAATTTTATAGTCTATATCTTATTTCTCAAGAATAACTTACAGTTATAGTCTTTATCTAAAAACGGTACAGTAACCATGAAGAAAAAACGAAGCGACCATATGTTCCGCCATTTTTATTTTCTGCACAGGTCAGGTTCAGCGGTCAATAATATTAATGACCGGTCAATATCTCATACACAATCAAGTCATTAATGGTCATATGACACAAAAACGGGTCATAAGCTAATTTTAATGTTTTCTCATCAACCAATCAGATTCTTTCATTCTAATTGGAGGTATAATAATACCAAATCAATAATACCCAGTCAGTAATACCCAGTCAATAATACCCAGTCAGTAATACCAGTCACCATTCAATAATGCCCAGTCAATAATACCCAGTCAGTAATACCCCGCAAGTAATGCCCATTCAATAATGCCCAGTCAGTAATACCAAGTCAATAATGCCCAGTCAGTAATACCCAGTCAATAATACCCAGTCAGTAATACTGAGTCAGTAATACCCAGTCAATAATACCCAGTCAGTAATACCCAGTCAGTAATACCCAGTCAATAATACCCAGTCAATAATACCCAGTCAGTAATACCGAGTTAAAAATACCCAGACAATAATATCCAGTCAGTAATACCCAGTCAATAACACCCAGTCAGTAATACCCAGTCAGTAATACCCAGTCAATAATATCCAGTCAATAATACCCAGTCAGTAATACCGAGTTAAAAATACCCAGACAATAATATCCAGTCAGTAATACCCAGTCAATAATACCCAGCCAGTAATACCCAGTTAGTAATACCCAGTCAATAATACCCAGTCAGTAATACCAGTCACCATTCAATAATTCCCAGTCAATAATATCCAGTTAGTAATACCCAGTCAGTAATACCCAGTCAATAATACCCAGTCAAATATCCAGTCAGTAATACCCAGTCAATAATACCCTGTCAGTAATACCCAGTCAATAATACCAAATCAATAATACCCAGTCAGTAATACCCAGTCAATAATACCCAGTCAGTAATACCAGTCACCATTCAATAATGCCCAGTCAATAATACCCAGTCAGTTATACCCAGTCAGTAATACCCCGCAAGTAATGCCCATTCAATAATGCCCAGTCAGTAATACCAAGTCAATAATGCCCAGTCAGTAATACCCAGTCAGTAATACCCAGTCAGTAATACCCAGTCAATAATATCCAGTCAATAATACCCAGTCAGTAATACCGAGTTAAAAATACCCAGACAATAATATCCAGTCAGTAATACCCAGTCAATAATACCCAGTCAGTAATACCCAGTCAGTAATACCCAGTCAATAATATCCAGTCAATAATACCCAGTCAGTAATACCGAGTTAAAAATACCCAGACAATAATATTCAGTCAGTAATACCCAGTCAATAATACCCAGTCAATAATACCCAGTCAGTAATACCCAGTCAGTAATACCCCGCAAGTAATGTCCATTCAATAATGCTCAGTCAGTAATACCAAGTCAATAATGCCCAGTCAGTAATACCCAGTCAATTATACCCAGTCAGTAATACCGAGTTAAAAATACCCAGACAATAATATACAATTAATTACCCCTTATGCGGTCAACATGGTAAAATAAGGACCCGAGACCTGGCCCACGAGGTGACCTGACCTGACCGAGGCCGCGTAGCGGCCGAGGTCAGGTCAGGTCAGCGAGTGGGCCAGGTCGAGGGTCCTTATTTTACCATGTTGAACTCATAAGGGGTAATCAATTGTTTTATTATACCGATATAAGTTAAGGCAATTTTTGTAAGCTTAATTACTAAAATAATCAATTACATGTATAAGACCTACGAACTGTTATCAGTGTTCCATCGGGATCGGGATTCGCTTGTGAAGTTGTTTACTTTTCGGCTGCTAGTCTTGTAAGTTTTTGCACCGCCGATTTATTAAAACACTCTGTGATTGTCAGTAACATTGCATTTTTATAAATTCACAGATACCATTCCCGACTACAATGACAATCTGGTGCAGACTTTTACTGTACAAGAGAGCCGAGCCTGCGTTCGTTGAATTTGACATTGTATTGTAACGAAAGTTAATTTCAATGAAAACGATAAATGTTATGACGCATCTAAAGGCCAATCGTGTTCCGTATCCTAAAAATACTATACATATTTTTATAACGGCAATTTTTGTAATGTACAATCATTACTGTATGCATATTTTTTTTCAATTTGAATGGAATTTGGATTAACAGGTCATTTTTAGCGGTCATTAATTTTATTGACCGGTCATTATACCCCACGTGCAATGATTCCTAGGTCATTATTGCTGTAAACGGTACTTTTTGGAGTCATTATTGAGTTTAAAAGCCTTCTAACAAGCCAATCAAATTTGAGTATTCTTAATAGAGGTATAATAATATCCAGTCAGTAATACCCAGTCAATAATACCCAGTCAGTAATACCCAGTCAATAATACTAATAAAGAAGATTGATCTTCCCATGATTTTTTTCCCAATATATCTTGTTTATAGTGTTGATTTGTCAACTGTATTTCGTATCAGATTGATTACAGTTGATCAAATAAACATAGATATCGTGCTTTCATTACTTAGAATCATGTATAATCATAATTTCTGCTCACTTTCAGCTGTTAAAAGAGATTGCCATTCTATTGCAGATGCTTGAGTCACTGAAAGATTCCCTGGAGCCAAACTCGGATGAGTCCACTCAATTTGTTGAGATAGTTAGAGAGATTTTCTCTGCAGCATTCACTGCTGAGAAAGACGTTCAGAGTCAAATTGTACAGTTTCAAGAAATCACAGTCAACACCCAGTCTTGACACATGTTGAAAAATTTGTAAATCTGGTTTCCTGCATAGATAAATTGTAAGGTTCTTGACTGACTGAAATGCAGATAATAAATTTGTGTTTCAGACTTTCAGTACAAGGTGATATACATGGCATTTAACAAGCAGTTCTACCTGGTGGAGGCAATTGTTTTTTCATGCTTAACTTTTTGTAGTTGCTTTGGTAAAATTTATTTCTATTTCTTCTCATGTTTTATTTTTTCTGGAGAAAAAAAAATAAAAAAGGCAGAGTAGAATCAAGATGTTTCTTTCAAAAATTATTTTGTAATTTTGGTTCAAACAATAGATATATCATGACCCTAGGAGCATGATGCAGTTTTAGACTTCAGCCAAAATTTGTATGTTGTCTTAAAGACCCAATTTTTTTATTGTACAGTTACCTGAGAAGAGGGTGTGGTCTTATTAGTACAGATGTTATTTACCTGGAGTGCCCTAATACTCAAGATGCCAAAAATTCATAAACATATTGCATTATACAGGAAGTCTTTATGGTGATCATGGTCAACATTACACACATTTCTTGTCTAATTATGTCTCCCCTTCCAGGGGAGACATATTGTTTTTGTCGATTTTCTTATTAAGGTCTTCCGTCTTCACGGAAGACCTTATAGTGATTCTACTGTTTCTTATTATTAAGGTCTTCCGTTTCAGACGGAAGACCTTATAGTGATTCTACTGTTTATTAAGGTCTTCCGTCTTCACGGAAGACCTTATAGTGATTCTATTGTTTCTTATTATTATTATTCTTTTTTTTTTAGACAAAATTTTGTGCACGCGATTTCTCGAAAACTATTCAATGAATTTCTTTGAAATTTTCAGGGATAAAAGGTCTTTATATGAATTTTATATAAAATTCCGTTTTTTGGTAAATTCGGTTCCAGTGCCAAGTTATGGACAATTTCCTGATTTTAAATTGAAATTTTGTCCTCGAAGGATCTAAGAAACGGCTAAAGATATGAACTGGAGACTTGTTAGAGATGATAGGATACGACTTCTAGATTTGCAAAATTGCCTTTTCGTTCGTCGTCAGTACTTCCGGTTGCTTACGGAAGTGATCAAAGAAATCGTTAAATTTCAACTTTCCTTTTTTTAATCAATACTTACATCACATTATTGCATCTCTTTTGTAGTTTCGAAATATGTTGGTCCCACCGAAAACAAAAACGTCAACTTCCGGTTATAAGAGAAAAAACGACATAATTTGAGTAGTTTTCTTTCCCATTAACATCTTTTGTAGATAAAGTATTTGGAATGAATTTTAAATATGTTATTCAGACAGCAAATGTCTAGAGTATTTTCAAATATCTTTGTAAAAGTCACTTCCGGTCGCGTGTTTTTCTGTCCTAAAAATGAGAAGTTGTCTTAGCAAGATCTCGGAAAGGGTAAGAGATTTAGACACCAAACATATATGAGCAACAGACCTTAAGATGTAGGTTAAACCATTTGGGTTCGGAGCATCAGCCGTCACTTCCGGTCGTCACAGGAAGTGATCAAAGAAATCGAAAATTTCAACTTTTCTTTTTTTACTTAAAAATTGCATCACTTTATTGCATGTTTTTTGCAGATTCGAAAGATGTTGGTCCCACTGGAAACAAAAACGACAACTTCCGGTTATAAGAGAAAAACTAAATAATTTGAGTATTTTACTTTCCCATAAATATTCTTTATAGATAAAGTATTTGAAATGAATTTTAAATATGTTATTCAGAGTGCAAATGTGTAGAGTAACCATAATAATCTTTCAAAAATTCACTTCCGGTCGCGTGTTTTCCTGTCCTTAAAATGAGAAGTTGTCTGAGCGAGATCTCAATAACAGGTAAAAGATTAAAACACCAAACTTTTATGAGTAATAGTCCTTGAGGAGTAGGCAAAATCATTTGGGTTAAAAGCATCAGTCGTCACTTCCGCTTGTCACAGGAAGTGATCAAAGAAATCAAAAATTTTAACTTTCCTTTTTTGAATTAAAACTTGCATCACTTTATTGCATCTCTTTCGCTGTTTTGAAATATGTTAAATTCCACCGGACACAAAAACGTCAACTTCCGGTTTTAGGAGATAAACTACGTTATTTTGATATTTGACTATCTGATAAATATTGCTTATCGATAATGCACCTGAAATGATTTTATGTATGTTGTAGATACTGCAAATGTCTAGAGAAAAGTCAGAGATTTTTTTTTATAAATTTCACTTTCGGTCGCGTGTTTACCTGTTCTCAAAATTCGGATTTGTTCTCACAATATTGCTTGGCAACAGTAAACAACTGAAGTCTAAAACTTTCAGGACTGACAGTCAGTCATCCGTTTATTTGAATTGTGAGAAAATCTTGTATCGCCGTTACTTCCGGTCGTGACAGGAAGTGATGCAAAAAATTTAATGGTTAGCACGTTGGATTTTCACGCTGACGACCAGGGTTCAATCTCCAAAGTGTCTGAATTTCTCTTATCACTTTTTCAGCTTGAATTTTCGTTTTTATTTTCGGAATCGGACGGAAGACCTCTCATTGCTCGCAATGAGTTTCTAGTTATTATTATTATTTTTTTCCTGTTTTTTGTCCAAGCGATTTCTCAGAGATGGCTCGATGGATTTTCTTGAATCTTTCAGGGATTATGACAAATAAAATAAACTAATAACATTTTGAAGGATTTTGCAAAATTCACTTCCGGTCGTCAGATATGTCCAATTTCCGTTTTTTTCAAAAGAGATCATGTCCGGACGATATCTCAGAAACGGTAAAAGATAAAGACCTCAAACTTTCAGGGATTATAGATCATGACAAGTACGTTTGCAGAATATGTTTAAATCCGTCAGCCGTCACTTCCGGTCGTCACAGGAGGAGATCAAAGAAATCGAAAATTTCAACTTTTCTTATTTTAATTAAATCTTGCATCGCATTTTTGCATCTGTTTTACAGTTTCGAAATATGTTAGTCCCACCGGAAACAGAAATGTCAACTTCCGGTTATAAGAGAAAAACTACATAATTTGAGTATTTTACTTTCCAATAAATATCGCTTATAGATGAAGTATTTGAAATGATTTTTAGATATGTTATTTAGACTGCAAATGTCTAGAGTAACGTCAAATATCTTGGTAAAATTCACTTCCGGTCGCATGTTTTACTGTCCGCAAAATAAGAACTTGTCAAAGTGAGATCTCAGAAACGGTAAGAGATTAAGACACCAAACTTATATGAGTAATAGAGCTTAATGAGTAGGCAAAACTCTTTGGGTTAATAGCGTCAGCCGTCACTTCCGGTCGTTACAGGAAGTGATCAAAGAAATCGAAAATTTAAACTTTTCACCTTTGAAATAAAACTTGCATCATATAATTGAATCTCTTTCACAGTTTCTATATGTGTTGATCTCACTGGAAACAAAAAATGACACTTTCCGGTTATAAGAGGGAAACTATGTCATTGGGATTTTTAACATTCCCAAAAATATCACTTATTGATAAAGTTTTTGAAATGATTTTTACATATGTTATTGAGACTGCAATTGTCTAGTGTGAAGTCAACCATCTTAGGAAATGCACTTCCGGTCGCATGTTTTTCTGTCCTCAAGTTGAGATTTTGTTCACCTAAATGCTCAAAAACACTACATGACTGAAGTCAAAAACTTGCAGAACTTATAGTTAGTTACCAGTTTATCTACATCATGTAAAAATCGTACGTTGTCGTCACTTCCGGTCGTGACAGGAAGCGATGCAAAAAATTGAATTTTTAAAGTTTTTTTTCTTTTTGCAGAAATGTTTGGCTAATGCAGATTTTAGATAGACCATGACCATGCAAATTATATTTATACATTTTATTCGTTTGGAGCACTTTCGTTCATGACGAAGTACATAAAGAAAACAGAAAAGTAATTCCGTTTGTTTTAATCTGTATCTACATATCTTTGGAAGCCTTGATATAACTTTTGTTATTATTTAGAGTAAGTTTATTGAGATGATTGTGGGTTTTTTTTCAAAGAAGTCAAGAAAACGGAAGACCTGTTATTGCCTAGGCAATAAGTGTCTAGTTATTATTATTATTATTCTTATTTTTTAGACAAATTTTGTGCACGCAATATCTCGAGAACTATTCAATGGTTTTCCATCAAACTTTCAGGGATAATGCGCTTTAAAATGCCATTGTTACATTTGAAAGAATTTTGGAGAAATTCGCTTCCGGTTCCAAGTTATGGACATTTTTCTGATTTTGAAATGACATTTTATCCGTGCGAGATCTAAAGAACGGCTAAAGATATGAACTGGAGACTTGTTGGAGAGCATAGAACATGACTTCTAAATATGCGGGTTTGCCTTTTCGTGCGTCGTGAGTACTTCCGGTCGCTACCGGAAGCGAATTAAAAAAGTCAATTTTTTCAACTTTTACGTTTTTCAATATTTTTCTTTGATTTTAGTAGGGTTATATTCCTTTATAGATGCACATTACCGAACATAATAGGTATCAGATTCCTTGAGCATCATATGGCGAGACGTGTTTTGTTGCAAAACATTCAAGACTTTTCATTAATGTGTTACTGATTGGAATAGTCCACTTTGGGGGTTAAGAGGAATATAAAATGTGTAAGAAAACTTAGCGCTGCCTTTATGTTACTTGACCGTATACGATATGTTATATGTACAGTGTGATAAATAAACATTCTTAGGCTCCAAAATCAGGCTATAGCAACATATTTTTTTTTTTAATTTCATTGAAGCTATCATGTACACTCATTCAATTGAAGACACATTTCAAAGAAAAGGTGCGAAGATTTACTCGTGACGTTTGGCGCGAAATAATGTATTATGACCCGCCTTTCACAAATGGTCTGATGCAGTAGTGTAGAAGTACAGAAAAAGATTACATGGACATGTCTGTATTTGGAATTGCATAGAATAGAAAGCTGAATGCATAAAGAATAAGGGAAGTAAACACAATAGTTTTTTTTTAGTTTTTATCAGTAACAGATTATTTTCTCTGCTATCAGTTATTGTTAAAACTCAAGTAACAAATCCGATGTAAATCTACTAGCACTTGCACAAAATTTAGCTGGCTAGTTTTCATCCTATAATTCCGCACTATAAGAAAAAAAAATTAACCTGCCTGACACTCGTTACTTCAGAGAATGAGTGCAAGGTAAACATCGATAATGGCTGGTACATTGCGCTAGTGTAGTGGTTTCAATATTAAAGAAAAA